GTAATTTTTAAGGGGGCAGGTTGGCGCAGAGCTTTCATTTATTAGGCACCATGACCGATTTCTTAGGCGCATTTGACCCGTTAGCGCCTGTGAGTTTCAAACACTGGATCCCTTGCAATCTTCGAAATCTGCAACAGAACCGAAAATCAATGGCCTGGTATGAGTCATTGACTTTGCTCGGTTCGCTATTGGTGGTCCCTGGTGCGGTCCAGATAAAGTGCATGATATGGAAGATGATCTTGAGGTCATTACGGTTTTTGGCAGGGTCAAACTGGCGTGCGATATATCGCATTGATAACGTCAAGAATCTCCGCAGATTTTGAGATGAAATACAAACAATTCCCCCTGCTCATAAGCCTGAAGAATCATTCTAGACCAAAAAATGAACTATTTCAGAGAAATGAAAGGAGAATTTCGTTTGGAAAAACCTTGCATTTGATACGGAAAATGATAACTGTATCGAAGGCGAAGTTTCCATCCTAACAGGATTCTGCTTTCATTACTCTGAATTTGGTCAATTTTGTGGTATAGAACAATTAATTAGGCTTAGGCGCAGGGGCTACAGTCCATACTCGGGCTGGAAGTTCAGAATCAGTGGAGATTTTCGACGTATAGCTTGCACATCATATGTTGAGACAAACATCAATCTTTGATAAGCTCTGAATCAACACCACTCAACAGGCTAATACATTTAGACAGATGGCACTACTGAAGAGTGATGACTTAAACAATATGTGCTTTGGCGTTTATCTTAACATACGATACATGAGCTCTAATCAATGCGATATGTTGCACACCAGTTCCGCCACATCGGAATCCTTGGCCAATGATCTTTCTTCAATAAGCAGTCGCTAACTGATGCAAGGACGTCAGGACTAGCTCCGCTAAGGATAGCTGATAGTTGCTCATAAGTGGTTTATTAATGATAACATTCTTCAACTGAAACAGGAGAACCTTACAGCTTGGCAGGGGAATATCCTAACCTAGCAGCCACATGAACACCCAGCGCTGACCCAAAATTATGAAAATACAGCAGAGAAAAGAGAAATTACCCTGTAAGAGAGTGGGGCAGTAATTCTAATGCGAGTGTAGTTGCGGGCGCTAAGAAATGCTCGGATGCGGGAATTGCGTGATTTCACTACATATGGTTGTCCGATGTCGGCACGTTGAATACCGCATACCTAACCATGCAAAGATGATAAGTACATCAAATTTACCTTGGTCGGATATTCTGTCTACAAAGCCCTCTTCATCGCTGAAATTCGGCTCTTCATTTTCGTTCGCTTCATTTTTCTTCTCTTGCTGAGCTGCCTTGTCTTTCTTGGCCATTTCGCCTAGGCTCACAGCGGCACGCACGCACTTCACACACTCACACTACTCACAGCCACAGTAATCATGAGAAGTGATGAACCTAAACTGAACAGACTGACCACTCCCACTGAACAGCTTGCGGCGGCGGCGGCAAACCTAGGTCATAAGCGAAAATCGTGACAAAGTTGGGTCCAGCAGTCACAAGCAAGCCTTATTCTCATTGGCTAGTACACCGATGTACATTTTTACATCACGCCTAATTTCTAAAGAGCCCGCCAAAAATACCGTTTCGAAAGGGGTCCCATTTTTGACATTTTCGGAATGGGATTTCTTGGACTTAGTTAGAAAAGCCTGAAAAATTCTTAAAAGCTTAGGTCACTCTGTCCTTCCAAAAAGTTAATTTTAAAAAAAAAAGTATGCCAGTCCGGGAGTGCGGCACAAACATGGCTTTTGCTTTTCCCCAAGTAGGTTCTCCAGGTTCTCCCTCTCCATAGACGTCAGACGTAAACAAAAGTTTGATAAGAGGTAGAGGAGGGCCACTGCTGATAAGTGATTTTAAGTGATAAAAAGTTGACAAAAGTGTTTTCAGCTAACCCAATGTTTATTTTTCCACGTCCGGTTTCTCAGTTTACCGCAACCGCATGTACCCATTTTGATGAAAACGATATTACATCTTCTATATCCTCCTAGAACAGGACTGACCTGAAGAAGTGAAGAATCAAGAATCCCTGCTCCCCGCAAGTTGCTTTAAATGTGTCCGGATCCCTTCTTTTCGAGTGGGCATGAGTGATAATCTAATTGCTGCGATCATAACTAAAGATTGTAGGGTAACAGGTCAGTCAAGAAGACATAACTGTATTGAATGTGCTTGCAGGCATTATCGAACCTATGACGAAATTAGCAATCATATTCTTACCATGTGATCTCTATCAAGCACGTAATGGTTTTCTATATGGAATAGTTCAAACTCTGGCAGAAGGATCAACTGTCTTCTATGTTTTAGGACATAATGAAGAAAGATCTCCACTTAAATCGAAAACCGGGTTGAAATACTTGGGATCTTTCGGATCTGACAATAATGGTGAACTCAAGTTCTCTTCAGAGAGACATTGGCTCCAAGTGCAGCTACTGAATCAAGAGCTCCTAATACATCATGCAATTGGGCATAGTAGGAATTTACTCAGCGATTGTTCATCAGTCATATCAATCATTTATGACCCTCAAGCCTTCTTAACGTCAGAATTGTTGGAATGTTCTGCCAGTCCAAGCAAAATCACAGGCAAAATAGAGGATGTGGAACACCTTAAAATTTTAACCAGCCTGTTACAAGACTTGAAGCATGATACTATCCGGAATAGCTCTGTAGAAAATTTTCCCCGTTCTACTTTACTGCAATGTCTGTCTTATACTTTAAGACTATTGAAGCCTGTTCTCTGCATTTCTCAGAAGCTTTTTCCTGTTTTGAAAATTTTCTGGATCTGCTGTCGTTTCATTTGCTTCCTTGAAAATGTCATCTGGTGTATATCAACGTATGTTACGGAGAAGAAACTCACTCTTAAAGCAGGAAACTACATTTTTGGGAGAGTTCTGGATTCAATTTTGGGAATCTTGACCCTTTATTACCTGATGGAGAATTTTACAAATGATGAGCTGTTCCAGTTGATGGCGAATCTGTCAGAGGTACCATTTATTGCTTTTTAGCAACATTTTAGAAACTACTTAGATACATAATGTTTGTATTAGGATTATTTTTCATTGTAAAATTTTTAAGGATGATGGGTTAAGTAGTGTAAATTCACAACTGAATCAAAACCATGCCCAATTAATTGAATTTCATGAGGTCCATTGGGGAAATGGCAGATTTCCACAGAGGGAGGATTAGAATTGAGGGTTTTAGGTCTCCGGTCTATTTGAACCAAAGGGTCCTGTTGATAGGCTGTGACGAAAAAAGAGAGTGTGCCTCATGCTGTGTCTTCTATCCCTAGGCTAGGGACACATGTGGCGTTTCATCCTAGCTAAGATCTTGTTCTGCAACCCATATTTTTGCCTATTGAACCTTCAATTTTCACATCAGATTCTTCTTGATAGAGCAAGATTTTTCTCCCTCTTTACAGAAAGTTATTTGAGGTGGACAGAGTTTCACAATGTGAAGACTAAATACCTATGAAGTTTTACTAAATTTTTGCATCTAAATTTTTTCTCCAAAATTTGTTTTCAGGATATTGTTATGAAGTTGCGCATCATTATTCACTGGTTGATGGGAAGCCCTGCTGGACTTAAATTGAATGCTCCGTTAACTAATTTGCTTGGACAGTTTTATCTATACCATGTCAATCTTTGGTGGTCCTTTTTAGGCAAGTAGTAATATATTTTTATTCTAAAGATTTTGATGCATCTGTAGTTTGCTAGCTGTGAGCGAGCTCTGAACAGTCATCTACCCAGGTTCCCACTGAGCACTCGCCCATGGGACTGAGAGGGGGCTGCTGGTTACTAACGTACCTAACCTTGTGAGTCACTCCGCTGTAAAAGTATTGAGCTATGTAAGAAATTAAGTGCATGATTGAAATGGAAACGAATGTCCAAAATTAGGAGGACCATCCGAAGTTGTTAATTGACTATGAAAATGAAGACCCGTTCAATCAAATAGCACGAACCCTTGCTGAACACTAAACATTCTTTCCTGCAATTTTTTTGACGCCAGTCTACAGTATACTTTCGCTCAATACTTTTACGGCAGAGTGACTCACAAGGTTAGGTAAGTTAGTAACCAGCAGCCCCCTCTCAGTCCCATGGGCGAGTGCTCAGTGGGAACCTACGCAGATGACTGTTCAGAGCTCGCTCACAGCTAACAAACTACAGATGCATCAAAATCATTTCGTAAATTTATCTTCATTAACACCCTCCACTCTTCCCTCTCCCTTTTCTCATCAATTATTTATCCATATTCATAAAATGTGGGAGAGATGACTGACATTCATTAGACGAGAGTTTGGTTTACAACACCTCTACGATTATAGACAAAAATTCCGACATGATGTCATAACTTTTTTCTTACCTTCCACTGTATGTATGTTGCAGTTGTCACCCGACCAGGGCTGGAGATAATTTATGCAGCCTTCTTGCGAATCGGTTTACTTGGATTATCTTTTCAAATTTCAATCTTATCCGATCTCCTAATGTTTACAAGTTTTCACATCTACTGCATTTACGTTTATGCTGCCAGGTTTGCATTTTTGTTAGTTTCATATTTTCCTTAAAAATATTGCTAGATAATGTAATGTATTGTATTACCAAGAAAATATCTATGTTAAATAACTATTAGTCATCTTGAATCAATGTGGTATTGAGAAGGAATGCCCAGAATGAATGATGTTAAAACTTCAAAACTGACAGTAAGCTGCTCATCTAAATCTTATTCAAGAAATTTTCATTTCATTGAGGCTTCTAATGAGACTTGAGAGTGTGAGGAGATGAAAACCAGGTTTCTGAGTTTGACACACTTTAACCATCTCCTCATCTCTGCCGTGCTAAGGCAGAACGCATTATGAACCTTCAGACATTGCCACATCTCCTTCAATAAAAACTTAATTTCCTTGGAATTTTTTTCTTAAATCTTTTAGACAATTTTGCTTGTAATTCTGTCTTAAATATCTAAAAATTTCAAGGATGATTACGCATTATTGTTTTCAAAAATACATGTTTCATTCGGGGCAATTTGGCAACTCTTGAATGTTCATACGGCGTTCTTTCTTAGCATGACAGATCTGCCCTGCTTCTTTCCTTTACTTCCGTGTCTCATTAGATGTTCTACTTTTTACAAATTCTCCTTTTATTATCCTAAATTTTCATCGATGAAAGACTTAATGCTCATGGACATCATGTAATCCGTTCAACTCTTGTATTAAATACTTTTTTAAAGTAGTAATAGGTATTTTTTCTTGTATTTGTTATCAGGTTGTTTAATCTCCAATTAACATTCCTATTCTACCTCCTGCGGGTGATGATTGGGCGCAAGCGAAATCCAGAGCCAGGACAAGTGGATTCAGATCCCTATACCACTGAGACATTGTTCTTAGGAACTTTGGCATTCACGATTCTTCTTTTCCTTCTACCAACCACCTTTGTATATTATTTAATGTTTGCAATTGTAAGTATTCTCATCTCAGGGGTAAAACACTCGGCTAAAAAAATCTGCTGAAAATTGAGGTTTTGGTGATAAATGGTCCCCTGAATTTTGATATAAAGTTCCTTTAAGCGGAATTGATATTATGATCAATAGACAACATACAGTATCCTTATGAAATTTGCAGTCATATGTTTAAAAAGCCGAAATCACTAATATGATTATCATAACTTGCAAAGGAGCCACAAAAATGGAGCTCGTTCAACGAATGAAATAAAAGGTTGAAGAAATTTTGCGGGGGAGAGAAAGCAAAAAAGTGAATCCGAAACCACCCATAAATCCATAGACATTCGTTTTTTATAATTTTTCAACTTTGATCTTTTAACACTAATCTAGGAACTTGTCACTCTTTTAACTTCTGAGTTCTCAAAATCTCAAAAAAAGTTCATGAGAACTTCACCTTAAACTATGGAGACGATAATGAAAGTCTTTTCTTTGTTAGTTGCGAATGATACTGGTGGCAGTGGGAGGTCTATTGGCACGAATCAACCTTCTCCTGCAGACCCTTCCAGTCTTCGTTACATTTCAATGGTTCTTCAACAGCTCACGAATGGCCAGTAAGTATTCTTCATTCACAATGATCTGAGGAAGAAGGCGAAAAACACTGTATGAGTACAACTGAAATAATTTCTCATCATTAGTCGTTGACAGAAAAGCAAAAGCTTGTAAAGAGATTTAACAACCCAGGATGTTAGAATTTACATTTTGGCGCTTTATTGCAACCTCCAAATTCAATGCTTTAGAATTGATGATGCCAAAAATTTTGAAAAAAAAATTATGATTTTAATCCTAACATACTTTGGAGTAGCTCTCTGACTTTCGTACTCTTTTGCCCTCAGTAAAATGATAACACCTGTTTTCATTATTAATATAAATGCAGCCACTGTGAATATGGGAAGATTTTAAAGAAGTTTGCTGTACCTACGGTCTTATCTTATCTCTGTCTATTTATGGTTGAATGACTTATCAGAGATAAAAGACCTGCCTGTCGAGTTTTAAGATGCTTTCATCAAGGCTGCAGCTTGCAATTAAGACATTTTTGTTCCAATACTTGATTTAAAAAAAAAAAGTTTGTCATGCTACAGGCAAATTTAGTTTTCCTGTGACCCTCATGCATTGGTATGAGTCTTACTTGTGTAAAATATAGAGTAAGAGATAATCCAACTGTGTTATACATTTAGTACATATAGGATTTTATAGGTGTCAAGGAGGAACCTGAATTCGTCCATCGTGCATGTAAAAATTTAAGTTGGAAGTTGACCCTCTCGAACAGACTGAATGGCCCTGAATGTAAGATTGCAGAATGACAATTTAGGCTGGATATTCTCCAAATTTTTTGATTCAACTGTTTTTAATCATCTTATGGATCCTAAAAAATTCTTCTTTTTTCACCATCCTCTCATCATTTGCACAAAAACTAGATTCAGTTAAGTAGACTACATTTTGCAACTCGGAAATAAAATTTCTGGCCCAGTTTAGAAACAACGCATTGTACCATTTGTTTCCCCATGCACATAAGCTTTACAGATGAGCCAGAAAGTGTAGTTTCAGATCAAAAAATGAGGTTCAATTTGCTTTCCTTGTTACCTAATTTACTCTTTATTTTGTTTTTATAGGAAAACGAAAGAACATAACATATTAAAACTCTCTAAGAATCTACTTTACATTATGAAGAATATACTCACATACTTTTCGAATAAGAATTTTTCTAAAACAATTGCCAATCATGTAAAATGAAAAACAAATTTAGGCTACGTATTATACAGTGAGGCTGAATCAGTCCATTTTGACTGCATTTTGCAATTAGGAACTATAATTTCTGGCTCAGTTTGGAAACAACATGAGCACCATTAGTTTTCCTATGTGCATGAGTGGTTTTGTAGATAAGCCAGAAATTGTAGTTCCAGGTTGCAAAATGCAGTCCATTTAATCATTCTTCATCATATGACATGAATTTTATTTGCATGTTCCAGATTCCTTTGACCTGAGACCAAAGTCAATCAACTCTCACAGCAACCATGTTGTGCTCAGCATTGCTCCAGTTACCACTTCACTCTGGTCCATTATCAAATCAAGTATACCTGATGCAGTGAAATTTCCCCGACAGGTGGACTGGCCTCACATAATTCGAAGCCTGGCATTTGGACGACTTATTTACACCATATAGAAAAATGTGAAAGATTAAGTTCCTCATAAATTTTTAAGGTTAATATAATAAATTTTTTATACATTATTAAATATCTCATTAAGATAATCAAAATTGAATAGTACAAGCAATTGAATTCAGAACTAGTCTAAGAGTGGGTTCGAAGAACTAACACAGTGACAAGATAATTTCCCGGTTTTAACTATGTTTTAATCATTTTCATTAAAATAATTTGTACTATAGTATTTTTCTTATCATTACTGGGAACAAAGCTCAAAAACATACATTTAAGGGGCTTAGAGGACAGGCGCATAAGCACAGTTATTGGAAAAATTGAGATAGGCAATTAAGAGTTCAAGGAAACTAGTCTTAATGCATATCCTGTGAAAAATTCGGTCTCAAATTCCAATTTTTAAGCAACAAAAAGTCAGTTTGTACGTTTTTTCAGCTATGAGGATCCAAGTAATTTCGAAACTTCAAACTCGTATTTTTCGAAATAGCAAAAACAGCACTTGTGCGCGTTGTCCTCCAAGCCTCTCATTTAAGCAAGAGAATCCATCAAAAAATATTAAATGGTTCTAACATTAAAAAGTGGGGAGAAAAATTTTCAGACGTCCCTTACATGGTCATCAAATGCTGTTCCCTCACTGTTAAGTTTTGCAGGGCTTAGACAATATATTTCTAGGATGAAAGTTGACTGTCTAAAAACCAAATGAGTTTCAAGTGTACATTATACTGGAATAATATGCAAATTTTGAGCATATGTTGCGGGTGAGGCGGATTGGGTAAGATTTCCTCTTCATAGCCATGGTAGAAGGAAAAAGGTACGGAAATTGAACCGTCTTGCCTCTGATCGACTTGTCCGATTTGTACTCCATGTCAAAGTGAGACAGGACCCAAAAAATCACTTGCAAAAATCAATTTTATGGGTGTTGAAGTTTGACAACATACATGATTAGATTCTACAAATGATGACTTGAAGTGATTGAAAATAATGAATTTTCATCGATGTTAACATTGGAAGAAAATAGGCAAGCAGTTCAAATCACAAAAATTGTGAAACTTTTAAGACTACTCACCAGTGTCTTCAATAGCTGTAACTTCGGGTTTCACAAGCATCCTTGATTCTGAGAATATAGTCTGGTAAAGAGCAGCCAATTGCAAGTATCTGACTGTTTCTTCCTCTATGTTTACTACTTTACCTGTGATCAAAGTTAAGGCATTCACAAAAAATTAAAGCTGTCCTAGAGAACCTAAAGAATAAATAAGGAGGGCTCAGAAATGTACCAAGGTAGCTATGTATTATATTACAGTCATAATAAAGGGTGCCCTAGACCACTAGAACTAGTTTTTTTTTGTGTAGTTATTTTAGATCAGAAAAAATTGCAGACTATGGAATGATTCTGACTTGTCTATTCACCTTTTTCACTGAAAGGAGTAAAAAACTTTTACATAATAATAATAAATAATATTGACAAATAAAAGGATACGAATGTTGTAGGCATAAAAACTTATAGTGTCTTTAAAATCATACAGGACTCCCTTAGCTTGAATTGTGTCACCAATTTGGAAAATAAATTCTTCACATCTTGCACTATGATTCTCCATACAAAGTTGGAACTGTAAGAAAAAAAAGGAAATATTCTTCAAAGACTTGAAACTCAAAATTGGTCAATTTTGATGATTCTCCTGAAATGTAAGGTTTATTTGATGAGGGATTCAGTTTGCACTGTGGAAAGCTATAAATTTTTTTATAATGATTCACTTGATAATCAGTCACATGATTTATTTTATTTATTTATTTATTTTTTTTTTTATTGAATCGTTTGAAAATACAAATGTGCCGAGTCGTTTCGCCTCATTTTCAATTTATTTTGATTCATAAGTCACAGGAATATGTTGATGGTCAAAGTGCAAAACCATGTAACTCCATCGCCTTGTTTTAAAATTTCCGCTTCTATTTCATGTTTTCAAAGCGAATTTAGCCAACTTGACAGCTTGAAAGTTGTGCAGAATATTCTGCTAACAGAGAGGAAAAATCAAGGTAGTTTTCAAGAAAATGTGTTGACTAGTTCTCTAAAGAAAAAAGAAAGTATGACAAGAAGTCTGCAACGTCGCAAACAGAGATACGTTGACTTGCATTTCGGCCATCAATATGTACTATGAACTTAATGATGGAAAAAATTAGCAGACTTAAAATACAGCTAAGTAAAAGGATGTATTTGTAACCTCCTATTAACTGTTTTGCGGCAAGTGGAAGGTCCCAGATGTAAGAACAAATGTCCAGCACCTAACCTTTACTGATAATATGAGCTGCGATCGACAAGGCTTGGCCTCAAATTCTTTGAAAGTGCTCATTATTTGCCTGAACGAAAGAGAAGAAAGTACTGCTGTCCTAAGAAAGCTTGTTGAAACTCCATTTCAGATTTTTTCAGTTCTTTCTTCAAAAAGATTTGCTACTATAGGACAGTCAGCATAAGAACCACCAGCATCTTTTAACATTTTAGAATGACTGGTGTCATTTATCAGGACCCTGTAGGTACTAAAAAAATGAAGCAATCATTTCATTTTGGATAATTCTATCTTGGGAAAAAACGAAGATTGTGAAATGAAACGACTGTCTCCTTGCTTTCGACAACAAAGTGTGGTATTATCACTTCCCTTTTGCATTTCATGATTGTCTAAATGGCTTTTTACACAGTTTCATCACATTTTTTCTGTTCAAAGTGCAGCTGCATTACATTTCCTGATAATTATTTTTTTAAGAATTTTTAGGGGCATGAGCTTGAAAGTTCCTTGTCTTAAAAGTTAAGGAAAGGTATAAAAACTAATACTTAAATCTTCAAAAGTGGAGCCTCCTCTGAGCTAATAAAATTACTCCATACTTTAGTAAACACCACCTGAATATATTTTGATGTACATCTTACCTTTCTTAGGGCAGTATCCTCATCGGAATTTTTCTCTTCGGTGGAATTGTTTGTGATGGTGATTTCCGTTTGATTCAATGATTCATTGTTTAAAGTCTCATCCTTTCTCTTTGAACTTAGGAGATAATTCAATTTTTGTATTTTTGCTTTTAATCTTGTTTGACTGTGAACGCAACTTATAGTTCCAGATCCATCATCCACTATATTTAAGAACATGAAATGAGAGATTAGTTACACTGAATCTTCAACAATCTTATGGGGAAACTATTATTTTGATGAATCATTTATTTTATCTCTTCGAGAGAGATTTAATTTTACTATTTACCTTTAAGAATATAAAAAACGCGAATAAAAATAATTGAGTAGATTACATTTTATTGTATAATAGATAGATTAACATTGTTCTGCGCTCAAAGGAACGCATCTCGTCTCTGCTGTCTCAGTATTTCCCTGAACATTAAATTTGTTTATGGGAGGATTCATCCTACAAATTTGTCTGAAAATTTTAATCTCTTTTTTCACAAAAGTGAAAAAAAATTCCAGGGCATTTCAAACAGATTCATGCAATGATTCCCCTATGAAAAAGTAAAATATGAATAAAAAATATTGAAACAGTGCAGTCGAGATGCTTCTTTCATGCGAGAGATGGATAATTTGTGACAGTTCCGTGATAGCTTCGTGGAAAGGGAGGAGAGGTAAAAAAACACAATTTTTGGATTTTGTAAACCGATAGAGAGGATAATGGGTTCTTGGTTTCAGATCAACATACTTAAAAAGAAAGCGTACTGAAGACGACTTTTTCAGGTTTCATTTTTCATAGTTTGATGCATAGGGTTGGAGCTTGAAGGAGTTATTGGATCAAAATTAAATTTTTTGCGCTGTTTTCACTTTGATAAAAGTACATCATTAGACCTATGCTTGTCGAAATTAATGGATGAATAATTCTAAAAAAGGTCAATTTCGCTAAATTTTAATTTCCAGCTTGAGAATGTTCATTGAAAAGCGGCACCTCAAGGAGTCGTCCACCCACAATGAATTTCAATATTGGTTTCTTGAGTCTCAAATGTTGTTTCTGACTTTTATTTAATGGACTAATTTTGGATAGAGGGGAACTAAATTATTTAAAAAGCATAGAAATTGAACAATTTACCTTTCATTCTTAGGTAAGAGGCCAATCAGAACTTGATGTCTGAAAGAAAATTGCTTTTGTACACTTTTTGGAGCGATTGATCAGTGCTCGCCTTTCAATGGCAATTGAATTTATAAATACATGATGAAAAATTCCTAAAATTCAAATTTTTTGCTAGTCCAGCAGTTTTTAGAAACGGCCAAGAGAGAGAATTTTTGCATCAAGAACTCCTTTAAAACACTTTCTTTTTGTGCCTAAATATAACTTTTCGGTACGTTAGTAGATCGCAAAAAAATATTGTGTTGTTTTTCCTCTCCATACGGCAGTCTACACATATTTCTTAAAAAGAAATGAATTCTTGAAAACAACAAAAAACTCACCTTCATATATTACTTTATCATCTCCCACCAATCGAACTCCTGTTACAACACCAAAAACATCCACCCGGTGGATAATTTTATCGTTGAACAGATAGTGATTTCTTTGAGGAGTCGGAGCTACTCTTAGCAAATCTATGATGAATAGTTTGGTGATATTTTTCACTGCCACCTGGTTTTCTGTATCTGACTGTTTGACTGTCTGGGATGGAATTTTGAAATTAGTAGAACAGGATTCTTTCATCGATATGTTCAAGTAATTTACATTGGGTTTACATTGCTGAATGTTATCGGAATGTTCTGCTGGTTGTTGAATTGATTCCTCCTTTACAGCAACGAGGTTCAAATTGGAAAATATCTTTGGCGAACAAGTGGTTTTCTTGAGTGAGGCTTTTGATTCATAGTTTGAATTGGTTCTTGGATTTACATAGGAATTATGTTCGTTAGCTTCTGACCGAAAATTCTTAGAAGCAGGTAAATTGTGCGTTTTGGTAGCAATTGTCAATTCAGACGGACTGTTTGAGTCAGAGCTGTTCGATTTCCCATCACAACTGTTGTCACATGGAAAAAAATGTTTCCATTCCGCAACTGATGAGAAGAGAATGTCACACTCATTTGAAGGAAATTTAGCAGTTTCCTTACTGAGGGCATGGAAACCTTTTTCACTGGTGCTCTGATTTTCAAAATTTAAGTTGATCATGGAATCCATGCACATGCTTCGTTCATGAGAGGGCATCTTTGAAATTAAAGAGGAGATCCTCTCATGATCTGATACTGGTTTTAAATGAGACAACTTTTCGGCTGATTCTCTTGTTGAATTTAGTTGATGAAAGGCAGTGGTTGGGGAGAAATAATGAGACTTCCATTTTCCCACAGTAGGGTCAGTGTCAGCCACCTCTAAGCTCTCTGACTGCTGGACGGAAAGTGAGAAATCTGGCTCAGAACACTCAAGTTTATTCAGAGATTTCTTTTCTTCAAAAAAAACTTTATTGATCTCTGTATTTGAGGTCGTCTTGTCAATAGGTTCCTCAAGGGGTGAAAAAGAAGTATGCAGCAGATCAAACTGGTTCTTGCGATGATTATGAAATTCTTCAGGCTTGGAGATGAGGATTTGAGTCCTTGGAAAAGGCTTGGAGTTAGTCACAGTATTCAAATCTTTAACAAAAGAACTTAGGGTCTGGTTTTCTTTATCACTACTTGTCGAAAGAACTTTCTTGTTACCATGACGTGGTGATAATTTACTTTCTCTCTTGAATATGCAGTATTTTCTATTGAGGTTTTCATTTGATATATCCGACAAGCAATGAGCTTGAGTAATAAATACAGGCTTAGACTCCTTCATCTGCGTGCTTGGGACTCTTTTTTGACAATTCATTTGAGCACCAGTTGAATTGCGATTGACTGCGGCAAATGAGGGTTTAAGAAAACCAGAATCATGGCCCAAAGTTTGGAGAGAGCTGCTCGTCTGAGAGACATTTGATGCTTGAACTTTGAGCAATGTTCCCTTGCAATCTGAATGGCAGAAGTTGTCACGGGAAGTTTCTTCTGTTAAAAAGGCACAATTATCTTTCAGTGCTCCATTATCAGAAAAAGAAGAGCATAGTTCTTGAAATTTCTGTTTGAAATGTGGTTGTTTATCTGTAGCTTGTTTGGATCCTAAACTGGTCTTATGTGGCCGAATAGGACTTTCATGTTCCGTGAGTGATTTATTTTGTTGGCAAGGATTTTTTAAAACATGTTTGGAGCAAATCTTCAGCTTTTTGGATGGTTTGGCAATTATGGGTGATGAGTCACAGTGGTAAATTGTGGTCTCTTTGACACATGAGGAGGCCATTGAAAAGAAAATAATTGACTCTACTACATATTATTTACATAATCATTCCACACGTTTCGGTTTGCGGAGCTGAATGTCTTATGTTTCCACTAACATAGCTGCGAATTTCTGATCAAAAGTAGTTTCCGCTGAAAAATATAAAATTTTATTATTTAAATGGAGTGCCGGTGGCAATGTGTCTTAGAGCGCAAAAATTAAATTCTTTCTTGCTGATTGCTGATTACTTACGACCGAAATCTTCCACAAACTGTAAATATAAACAATATAAATTCGTTACAAGAAGAATCAACTGCACATCTACATATAAACAAAACAACTGATAACGCGTGGGAACTTGGGAAGTGATAACACATTTAGCTTCTCATTGGCTGATACTAGTCTACGTCATTTTTACGTCACGACCAATGATCTTCGGAGTTGGAACAGGCGCTCCTTCTCCTTCGGTCGGCCACCATCTTGAAATTTCGTACATTCACATCAAGACCAATCCACACAGGTCAGTCATTGCGCAGCTTTTTTGAAATCCACTCCCCCGCCCGGCCCTAACTCGCAGCACTCATTGTGACGTACTATTGAGTGCACCCATAAGAAATACATTGTATGCACTCAATACTACGTCACTGCGCAGTAGAGTACCAAAATTCGTCCTCGGGAATGACTGACCTGTGTGGATTGGTCTTGATTCACATTGTCAAATTTTGGTAGCCTTACGTTTCGTGTCACAGAAAAACTTCTGAGACTTAAAGTAAGTCTTTATTTTCATTAATTATTATTTGTTCTCCACTAACTCTGTCTACTCAATGTTTCTGTTAAAATTTCGTTCCTGAACCCTTCCTATTCTTTTCATTCTTAACTTAAACCCGGATTACAGGCGGCGAGGTCGTGGTCGCCACGTGCTACGCTGTTTTTCTCAACTACCCTTGTTTTCCATCATCTAATGTTTAGCTTATTTGTAATTATTTCCCATTGGGATTACTAGGTATTACGAGCATTCAATGGAATGTATTTTTTCGTTCACAACTGCGGCTGAGATGTAATTTACCATGCTGTGCTGTGTAGCTGCGCCGAGAAGCCTACAGAGTTTTCAGCGAGCAGAAGTATCTCTCCCTACATTGGCCTAGCGCTCTAATTCAAACTACTTAAAAACTCGTCCGAACTTATTCTAATACACGCTGTGTAGTGGCTGAGAGGGTTCATCCAATTCCTACCCAGCATTCCTGGTCATGGGTTTGAGGTGTAATGTTCGTAACTGCGGAGAACACACGGAATCGTACAGGGAGGACTTAGAAAAGTTGATGTTTTTACTTGAGAGAGTGAATTTATTCTGGGTGTGGAATTTTCAGTTGAATATTTTGCCCAGTTTTATGGAAAGAAACACATTTGTAGGGCATAGTCACATTCTAAATGAAGGAATAAATTATCAAATGTATGCCACCGTACGGAAAATAGGCGGGTAAGAGTGGAAACAGATGCAATCTGCCGAACGTAGCCCGGCGGCTTCCCTTTGTTTTCCGGAGATATCACTTGTATCACACATTCTCCAATTGCCAGGAATAGGAATTGGTTCAACTATTTTTAGGTTAATTTATAACATCTTGTTCATCCTCTGTCATTCATCTGCCTTCTATCTCTTGTTATATCACACAATTATCATTGTAGTAAATAGCACCAACGGGGTGATTATTGAAATGATATCGACTCCATGTCACCGCTTTGTCGTGTCGCGCCATCGACTGAGTGGGACTCAGTTGATGGCGTTACACGACAAAGCGGCGACATAGAGTCGATGTCATCCCAATAATCGCCCCTCAGTCAAACGTTTGCCTCTTAGATTACTTTGTCAGGTTAGCTTTAAATCTTTTACAATAGTGGTGTCTAGATCAATTGAGGATCTTTGTCTTCATTTTTCAGAATGCGTTACGTAGCTGCCTATTTATTAGCCTCTTTGGCTGCCAAAGACCCAACTGAAGAAGACATCAACAAAATCTTGAGCTCAGTTGGTATTGAATCTGACTCCGTCAAGTTACAGAAGGTTTTGAATGAGTTGAAGGGGAAGAACCTTGAATCCATCATTGCTGAAGGTAATTATGGGCTAAATTAATTTCGTTAGAGTTATTCTTGTCCTCCAAGTTACGAGTCACTGATTATCACAGTCATGGGTTTCAAAACATCGTGACCATGCGACCAGGTAGACTGGTCATGATGGAAGGGATATCCAACACTTCCCTGAGAGCCCACCTCTATATCCAGAAAACTCTCTGTGCAATGATAGGAAGCAAATCCATCAACAGGGTCGCCTTTTGTTTGAGGACTCCCATGGCTACCCTGCTAATGTATTTGCTGTGGACCCTAAACACAATCTAAACAGTGCATTTGGATGTTTCGGCAAGACGCCAGGCAACCCGATTGCATGTAGTGCTGTCCAGTCATACTGCTAGCAGCCTCGAGTGCTATTGAATTTCTACAAGTGCAAACTACCCTTGGAGAAAACAGACGCGAGGCCATACCCCTTCTATGGGAGTCACATGGACATACCAGGCTGCATCCACTCAGGTGGAGGCGTATCTTTACCCCCCTACCTATCTCGTCTCTCCCGCCTGAAGTTGAGCCCTGTGCGTGATATAGATGGTGTCCTTCATCTATGATTCTTTCCCTTCGCTATTTAGAAAATATAGGATCATCCTTGTATTTACTCATCTGTTAATGAAATACATAATAATACTTCAATGACGTCGGCCTAACATGTGAAGAGCAAACTTGTCAGTGTATGTAATGTCGACCATTAAAATCAAGCTTGATCATTTAGCCAAAGTTATAGGTAATTGTATGAAGGACAGTTGTGTAGAAAATGTCTGTGAATTTTTGATTCACTAATCAGACGCAGTTGAGGGTATTTAACAGATAACGAGAGCTTCATTAACTATGTGATGAAAAAATATTTATTTCGGAGGGTCTTAGAGCTTTCATGCTGACCTCTCATGATTCTGATAGTGTAATGAATGCTCCCTCCTATATTTTTATGAGTATTACAATTTAAATTACACAGCCAGTTATCTAATAATTTAGATGTGCCAAAGAATCGCAACCGTAAAATGAAGGGCTGCAATAACTCTAAAATAGCGATCAATGTAATCGCTCACAAAACAACTTTCTACCAATTTCAACAGATTTGTGTTGACTAGAACTGGGGAAAGAACAGAATAGACAAATGTCACATTAATTTAGGTGCATCAATCATCAGTTGTCCCATTGGTTACCATGTAAATTTATGTTGAACGGTGCCAATCTCTGATGTGTCATTTGTCTACTCTTTTCTTCCCCCTTTCTAGTGTAATTCGACAAAAAAATATGCTTTTTCTGTGAATAATATTCGCAAATAATCAATATTCGTAAGCTGTCGCAGTTATTAGGTATCAATACTTGATTTCAAAGCTGTTTTTGGAAGCTTATATTCAGGCTAATTTATCCATAATTTTTTTTCCTTGCCCTGCAGGAAAAACGAAGTTAGCTTCAATGCCATCTGGTGGAGCTGTCGCAGCTGCTGGTGCCCCGGCCGGTGGTGCTCCTGCTGCTGAAAAGAAAGGTATGGTAATTCTCAATGACCTGATGCCTCTTCCTCTCCTAATTCAAATCCTTATATTCCATGGTGTTGTATTTTTCATGTGCCGCTATGCAGGGTTGCCACATTTAGGGAAAATTGGGAATGGGGCAGTGGCAAGGAATTTTAGAATGGTTGCAGTAGTTTTCTTTTGTGAAAAAGTCGGACAAAACCATCAAGTTTGTCATTGAATTCCGTCAAGGTGATTCGTCAAGCTCAAGTGACGCGGTCTAACTGGCATGCGATATATCGCATCGATTAGGTCAAAAATCTTGGCAGATTCTGAATTTTTACCAAAAGCTATTGATTTCTGTATTGAATGGGAGGTTTTTTCCCTAACACTATTCTGCTTTCAACTCTCTGAATTTTGCAAACTTTTGGGCTTAGAATGATTCTTCAGGATCATCGTTCTTTTTGTCGCTATAAATTCAGAATCTGCCAAGATTTCTTACCTATTTGATGCGATATATCGCATGCCAGTTAGACTGTGTCACTTGAGCTTGACGAATCACCTTAAGCAACTCCAATGAGAGAGAAAGCTAATCAAAATACATGTGTGGCAACTCAATAGATTTGCCTGCCTGAAAGATTCATCAATTCTTTCCTGACCAATTCGATTAGAAGCGAACGAATTTCCATATTTAATTTCTCACTGTCAAAATAATTGAAAGAGCGGTTTCTGTCTTTCTTTTTAAACTCTAACGTAGATTTTTTGCTAGATCCATTCAGTGATGGTAATGAGAACGCTCTTCCTCTTCATACTCTCATTGAAATTTCTTGCTGATCAGTCTTTACCACTTTTCTCTTATTTCTTGATAATAGTTAATCTCAAAGCCATAATTAACTGTAATTCAAGGTAGAAAACCTGTTTTTACGATGGTGCAGTTATGTCTTAATCTTTGGTTTAGCCAGCATCCCTTTCCTTTAAATTCCACTATTACCTGCTCTCGAAATCACAATCTGGCTTATCTTACTGAAATAACATTACTTTTTTGACCTGATGAATTTCGGATCCACATAAATCGATAATGTTTAAAAATTAGAGATGTATCTACAGTCAAAATCAACCTGTCAGTGTAGCAATGATGGAAAAAATAATCACAGGATGTTCTGATGAGAGTTTTTGTGCTAGTTTTCCTGGTTATTTTCTTAGTGATTATAATTCATTTTAGGTATATTTGAGAAGTTGGTACATTTATTGAAAATTCGCTCCATGAAAACTGGTTACCTATTATTTTGCACCTGATTTTGCTCATCAAATTGTGAAGTCAAACTGCTCCCAAGATTTCACCTGACCTAATCATTCCACTATCCTCATGCTTCTGAATTATGTACTATCACCGAATTTAGTTTCGCGCAGAGTCTCTGGTGACTATTTAGCGACAGTGCGGCGTTTTGCCTGATAACGCTCTCATGAAGACGCACTCGTTCCTCTGTGAGTGTCGCACAGTTTACATTTGATTTGGAGCGCCCTATGCGCGAAACTAAATTCGGCGATAGTACATGCACTGGTGTTTTCATCTTCCACTGCGAATTTCTTGCCAATGCCCATTTCAATGATGATGAAAGTTATTAATCACCATCTTTCGGCTGAGCTGAATGATGATTCTTACTTGATCTGAGAAATGTTTTTTTTTTCCCAGTAGTGAATGTAGTTGGTTCTTACTAGAAAAACAGTATAATTGAAACTTATCAAAAATAAGAATTAACGGATTGCATGACTTAAGAATGTTCAAACGATAATTTCAATGTGAAGAAACCAACTTCTCAGTTAAATCAAAATACTCGCAACGGTTTCATTATCTGGTGTAAAAGTCTTGAAATTTTGCATATTTCTTCATGGTCGATTCAAGAAACTGATCTCTCATCTGGAGAGGAGTACTGATTTATGAGTCAAAGATTGAGTGCTTCTTCCAAAAAAAAAAAAAATTACTACTATTAACCTATTTCCTCTTATTTTTGTTATTGCAGAAGAAAAGAAGGAGGAGAAGAAAGAAGAGTCTGAAGGTTCTGATGATGACATGGGCTTCGCACTGTTTGACTAATCTCCTTTTTTTGTACAGTTTTTCATCATCTTTTGAATAAATGTGACTATTTTTACATCGATTTTTATTATTTTTTTCAAATTCGAAGCTGTCTCTTAGTAGAATACGCCCTTGCATGCTGGTTGTTGAAATTGGTTGACAAAAAAGAGATGAGAACTATGGAGGAATCCTCTTGGTTGAAACGAGTGGTTCTTACAGAATAAATGGAGAAAAATTGACTAAATGTAGGGTCTCTCGTGGGTTGCTGTTGGTTACTCCATTACTTACCTCTTATGTTATTGCAACTATCGGTTTCCACCAAAAGGATCCCTCTCATTTCTGTTTGTCTTCTTTGCCTATCAATTTCGACCATCAGCCCACCGGTCAGTCATAATTTGCTGTAGTGCAGTCATCTCCTTTGTAACGTAGTTCAAAAGCTGCCAAGAGGAAATGAAAAACCTGTTAATGCCTCAGCAGTTAATTTCGCCCTCCTATCTACAAAGTGATTGATTTTTTTCTCTAGTAAGCAGTTATTAGTTTTTGCCTTAAACTTTATCTGGAATGGACCACGATGCTTCAAGTCCTCTACAGGACTTACCTTTTACTTGAAGGATTATTTTCTTCTATATAAGGGCTGTATTCATAATCGATTCTTAAACAGCCCCTTTCCTAAAGATGTCCCACATGAATTGAATAGAACCAGAACGAGCAATCTCTATTGCCATGCTGAAAATTGTGCGATCACTATAATTTTAATGCTGAAAAGAATGAGAAAACGCGCATGTTTTCTTGTGAATTTTCTGTCATCAAGCAAGAAACTTTAGAGAGTTAAAAACAGCCAGAAGTTATGGTCGCTCCTCATGGTTCTAGACGCCTCAATGGTTTTCACCATTATCAGTTTTTTTTAAAAAATAATGCTTTCCTGAATTATAATTTTTCCCCATATTTTCAATTTTACTTGGTTTTTGAGTGCAAAACTGAATCATATCTCCAACTTCCCATGTAACTGGAGTGTTCAAATAAAACATGCTCATGATAATCTGAATAAGACCACCAATTACGAAATTTTCAAAAAAGGGGTGATATTTCCTGTTGGTGGGAGTCCAGGGTCAAGCAGAAATGGTAAAAGTGAGGACTCCCTGAAAAGCATTTTTCTTCAGGCATTTAGTCGATGGAAAAAAGTTCAGCTCTTTTCTACAGCAAACTTTTTCTTTTTCATCGTTGACTGGACTATTGCTGCAATCACACGCTGAATGTGGAAGTCATCGGCCCGATGCCTGAATTTTGCGCGTGACGCGCAAAATTCAGCTACCATCGGACCAATTTTGAATTTGTCTGAACTGTTCAAGTAGATTTGTTACACATCTGGATGAAAATAACTGGAATTTGCTAAATTTCAGCCGTTGGGCGATGACTGTCGACTTCCACATTCAGCTGCTAAATTCAGCGTGTGATTGCGGCATATCAGGCAACTTCGTGCTTGGTTTACAACCAAAGAATATGAGGGTTCCATTCCAACTTTTATCAGGAACATGATAAGTATTTTTATGCAACCTCCTGCAAATCTTATCATCATGAAATACGAGGTCTGTTAGATTAGAAACCGGATTTTGGTCATAACTAGCCTAAAATGCGTCCAAATTACGTTTTCTTGAGCTTTTCTAATAGCTGAAAATATATTTAAGAACGCTTCGTTCACAAATTTGAAAAATCATAATTAGCTTCGTTGGTATGTGACTTGAAGTAAGGCAACCTCAAGGGTGTTCTGCGATTTTTATGTTTGACCGAACTTGTCTCTCTTTTTTCGGTCTTGCACTACATTTTTCAACCCACAAGGACGATTGGAGTTTCGTCTCCATATCGTAGCCGTACACTAAAGTATTGTCACCGAAAATTATCCCATCCAAAAATGTAGGATCGTTGTTAGAACGTTTAAGCAGCTAAAGGTAAATAGACATTTGGTTGGATTTTCGTTCAACGGACAACAATCAAGGGGCAAGTGTACCTGAAACTCGATGCGTGTCTACATATTCTATCAAAATTGTATGTACGGAGCCTTCAGAAATATTACTCAGTTCAACAAGCTCGAAACAACCATTTTCGAGCACTTTTGCCCGCACTTCTTCCACGTGACAAATGTCAGTCGCCGTTGAGGGTCGATTCCCATGCTCCTCATCTTTGACGAACTCCTGACCAGTTTTGAATCGTTTAACCCATTCAAAACAGTGGGAACATCTCATACAATGATCATGGTAAACTTTTCTTAGCATATACCAAAAGTTTCGTTACAAGGTATACCGAGTTTAAAACAAAATTTAATGTTGAATCTTTGCTCTGTCAGTGATCGCATGATAAAATCGCAAAACGCACCTGACTTACTCGTATTCAAGATGACACAGAATAAACACTGATCAAAATAAACAAAATCTGTGAACGTAGCGTTCTTGAGTATATTTCCAGCTATCAGGAAAGCTCAAGAAAACCTAATTCGGACGCATTGTGGGCTAGTTATGACCAAAATCCGGTTTCTAATCTAACAGACCTCGTACAGTTAGTTGTTAGACGAAAAACTGTAATCTCAGAACAGCATTTCAAAGTTTCCTTGTTATTGCTGCACAGGAAGTCTCAGTTTATCCATGTTGCAGGCCAATAGTGAAATCAGGCATTTTGTCAAATGCCTAGGCAGATAGTTAAATTTTGATGGTCTATAAAATTTTGTGAATTTATGGCGAAGAGCTCGCGAGTTTTCAATATTTTTGGAAAATAACTCATCAAACCTACAAACTCCTTTTGTCTCTTCGTCTTAAATTGTCTCTCATATTTTTAAATGATGAAATTCTAAAAGTTCTGTATTTTATAACATGCTGAAAATTTCCAGATAAGTGCCTTTACAGGAGCTAAAAATGGTTTAAAATACTATTGTGCTATGCAAATTTTTACTGAGATTTTTTTCTTACAGGAGAATTTAATTATTTTGTCAAAAATTAGGAAAAAAAGCAGCATTTCAATCAAAGTTAGAATATTTGACTCTTCGCCTGGGCATTTGACAAAATGCCTGACTTTACTATTTGCCTGCGACATCCATACAAACAAAATCCCGTTTCATCTGCTTTGCTGACAAACAAATACATGAAGTCTTTCTTATGCAAAAACTTTTATTAATCAATTTCACAAAAGATCGAAACACCACTGTTGATCCAATGAGATGCTTTTTCTGAAGTCTTCATATGCAGGTGACAAATGAAATTTTTTGTGAAGAGTCTAGTCGACTGTAAGTCTTCCCGTTTCCTAGTTTTGTATAAAGGGCATTCAAAAATGTTCTCTCCAGAATTAAGTTTCTGAAACAAAAAAATGAGAAATAATGCATGTTCATGGGCTGTCAAAAACTACTGTCGAAGTAGGTCTCTAGTTAGAAAAACGATCCCAGTTATTGAAAACTGGTTTACTGGAAGCTGTAGTTCATATTCTTATCTCTAAAAGACCTCGTAGAGCTGATCAGGTCAAAAGTTACCTGTATAATTTAAGATCTGTTCCTCTACCAAGCATATCCATTAGAGTCAGGTATTGGTCATTCCTCTGACATCAGGATGTACCTCAATTTCCATGTTAGCCCTATTCTTCGTTGAGCTCCATGCTTTTCGGGACTCTCAAGGAAAGGGAGCCCTTACGTCCAAGGAGCAACAACATATCGACGGTGAAACTACCAAACCCCGTATCTCGTTTGCGGTGTTTAAAAATCTACGCTCACATTTTATTTTTTTGAAGTAGACCAAATCAATATCATTCCTTGAAATTTTCACAGAATTTTTTCCGCACGAAGAGGAAAAATCACAGAAATTTTCAAGACTGGACGTTAAGTAGTTTTTCATTTAAAAAATAAAGTATGACAGGAAGTCTGCGACGTCGCAAACCGAGATACGTGGTTTGGTAGTTTCACCGTCGATATTGTGTCTATTGCAATTAGCAGAACGACAAGCAAAAATAGACTAGAGTGTCTCCTCAGTGATGAAATTAAGTATGAAAAAGGAGGTTAGAATCCGAGTTCATCAGGAAGGAACCAATCCACATTATCTAAGTTGGAATTGAGGAGAAGAGGTATGAAGTTTCATTCCTGCATAAGGCTCAAGGTAGAAAATTAACTTTAACCCCTCTTTTCACAAGCTAATTTCTGTTTTTCGACTTTTTTAGCAGGAGAAAATACACGACTAGTGAAACGCAAAAACATTCTCAACTCAGTTTTTTCACAAATGTGGGTTGGTTCCTTTCTGATAAACTCGGTCCAATTATTGACATAAGTAGTGACTGGTTGTCATTGATTAGAAAGGAAATGAAGAATCTTTATGCACTTGCAGGCTTTGAAGAGAAGCTGTGGGCAATCGATGTTAAAACACACATCTCCGATTTCTCAGAGAAACTCTTGATTTAGTCAGCAAAGGATAAAAATGTGATAAAGCAACTTCTTACCTTCTCTCTAGGTTTAAAGCAAATTAATGGCAAAGGTTCAAACAGAACTTTAGGGATGCTATCCACCAAAGATTGAGAGTCGGCATTGAAATGAGCTCCTTCCAAATACAGCCCCTAAATTGAAACAAGAGAGGCAAATTAACCTTTCAAAGTTTTTCAATTTAACTGCCAAATTATTTTAAGACACCTCTTGAGAACAGACTCTCCTTTCTCATAGCCAAAGGGTGTAGAACCGAACTGCTCTGTTTCACACCTCAATTTGGATGAAAAATATTTCTTTTAAAAAGGCCAAGAACTGCAAACACAAATTAAGCGTTAATCAAAAGCACAACGACAGGTGCTCAAAATACAGCTGTGAATGTGTTGCATCATTGAACTCCAGTCCATTTAGCAGAGGAGGCCCCTAAGGTGAATTTATAACATAATGAACTGACAGTGATCTCTGTATTTGGATTGGGTTGCCAGCACTTTTGATGTCTCATCCTCCTCTATAGATTTGCATCATGATTTACTGGGTTAACATCCGCTTTAAATGAGAAACCATAAGGTTGTCACGAGACCAAAAAGTTGCTTGGATATTGAAACTCTAGAGCTCTTTTATAGATCAACAATAATTAATAAATCCTTTTTTAAGGATTGTATTCATCGATCAAATTTGCTCAGAACTAGATATTAAACCATCCTGACCCTTCTTTCCCACCAAACTTAATTTTCTTGACTATGTATTTTCTGAATTTTTTTTTTTCATTTGTCACAACTTTATTTCTATTGGACTAGTAGCGGACATAACTTTTAAGAGACCGGGTGTCTATTCTAATGTCTTTTACATAGGGTAAGTGGGGCTAAGAGTACGCACCGCACTTTTTTCGCACGCCTTGTTTAAATATATGATGGCACCGGGTGCTGGTTGTTGGCAACACTGAGTTTAACTTGTTGACGAAGTTTTGTGCGAAGTGGATGTGTTTTGGCGGAATTATGAAGCAAGTTCATTTTTCGTGCGAAAAAGATCGATTGTTTTAGTATTTGAATTGTCTGTTGTGAGTAGAATAGTTGATGGAAAAAATCGGACAGGCACCATATCAAAGTGTTACAGTGTTGGCTTTAATAATCCGTAGTTGTTTTCGCACCTTGGGCTCAAAGTTTTAGTTTATGTTGCCCAATGTTTACAAATGGGGCAAGAGTACGCAGCCAGAATGGGGCAAAAGTATGCACCCAAAAGGAGGACGTAGTGGGGGGGGGGGGGTTATAAAGGAACTTCAAAATAGAAGATGTATGCAACTCAGTATCTTAATAAATTTTTATGTTCCTTTGTTCAATTTGGGCAATTAAACTTTTTTCTTTTCCTCTTTAAAAAAAAATTGACTTCGGAAATTATTTGGGAGCTTGTGGAGACTGAATTATTTTTTTTTTTTTTTACAATAAGAGTGGTTAGGCACTATTGGAATTCTTTCAGACCAATTTCAGTAGCTTTCCGGGATTTAACAGCGATTTGGAGCCCAGGAGATGTTTTAAAAAAAAAAAAAATTCGACACGGCCATGGATTTGATTTCTAAATTCGGACAACGCATTTGCGCGCAAGGGCTTGCAGTAGGTGCCTGATCACTTTTCCCACCTTTAAAGTGGATTTGGTCATGGAAATACAGGAAAAACCAAAAAATGCGTACTCTAACCCCCACCTACCCTATGCATTACTCCCAGAAAAATTGAAACCATTACCTGGCAGAAAATATCAGATTCTTCTTTTTTCGTTAATTGCCCCTGCTGCTGCAAAAGAAATAAAAAGATTAAAGAGTTGATCTAATGTTAAATTTTAAAACATTATTTATTTCTTTGCAAAGAAGTGGAACATTATCTGAACATACAAAGGCCTCCCAATGAGTTAATTTTGTTATTTTTTTCTTCGCAAATTTTATAAATACATGGAAAAAAATTAAATTGCTGATTCAACAATTCAATTGCTAAAAACAGTGAGTGCAATGTTTCAATGTAGATTTTACAACAAAAAAATGCTACTTTAACCACCCCCGTGGTTAAATTAGTTTACAATGTGGTTAGAGTAGCATTTCTTTGTTGTAAAATCTACGTTGAAACATTGCACTCACTGTTTTTAGCAATTGAATTGTTGAATCAGCAATTTATTTTTTTCCGTGTAGAGTAAAATTGTAAAAAGCCTGTTATTAGTCATACTCTCTAGCTTTGAAGCAGGCTATAGTTTTACTAGGGGGCTACGCCCCCTGGCCGCTACGCGGCCCAACCCCCCGAAGGCGCTCCGCGCCATCAATGGGCCGCTTCGCGGCCCTATTTTTTACTCTTCTATCAGTGTAAGTTTTATTTTTCCCCTAAAAAATTACGATATGAGGTATACTTTACTTTTAGAATGAAATCATTTTTGGTTTTTATGAATAAAGAAAAAAAATTTTTTTTGAAGTCAAAAGGACGCGTTTTGGAATGACTGCTTGATGAAATATTGCAGTAAAACAACGAACAATGATAGTCAGGTAATAATTAATATAGTCAGTAGGCAGGGATCGAACTCACACCGTGATCAGAGTGGACGCATCTGATGACATAGACGACTCGGCCACCGCACGTAAGGAGGTGTCCGGCGTGAATCTTGTGTAGATAAGTATAGAGCTGATGCGCAGGCTACCCAGCTACTGCGCAACCTCCTCGACCACTGCGCATCCTCCCGCGCATAGCGGTAGCAGTCCCGGAGCATTCCGTAAATTCACTCAATTTTATAACGTGATTTTAAAAAAACCTGGGTCCTATTTCCAAAATCTGATTAAAGCGGGCTCATCTACGGCCTATTACCTGTCGATTTACGCAAAAATCATAGAAATCGGCTCGGTAGAACGCTCAAACGAACTATGACAAAAAGTATAAATTTACATTGTTTAAATGGGAGAATTCGCAACTTTACCACGTAATATAAAAAAACCTGGGTCATATTTTGAAAATCTGAAAAGAGTTGGCTTATCTACAGACAATTGCCCGTCGATAGCCGCAAAAATCATAAAAATCGGCTTTGTAGAACGCTGGAACTAAGCGTCACCAGTTACGCAAAATTAGGAGGTCTTGGAGCTTATATATATGATAGTTGGCCGTAGGTCAACTATTATTATATATTTTACCGATAGATTGCCGAGATATTCAAATTTTCTTGCTCCCATTCCCTCTCACCAAGGGTCTACTTTCTAGGCGTTCGAGGCATCCAAATGTGCACTTTTGCAAAACTTCAAAACTTATCAACATGAAACTGCAAAAATGCGCATCTCCCTTGCGGTGTTTCAAAATCTCCGCTCTTATTTCATATATCAGAAGAAAACCAAATCGACATCATCGCTTCAAATTTTCACAGAATATTCTTTAATTAGATGAGAAAAATCATCGGAGTTTTCAAGACATGATGTTCATTAGTTTTCAATGTGGAATATTAAATATAACAAGAAGTCTCCAACTCTGAAAATGAGATACGCATTTCTGAAGTTTCACATCAATATTTAATACCATTATTGCTGGTTTGATAAACTTGACATGAGTTTAAATAAGAGTAACAGTGAATGAGAAAGTGATTTGCTTTTTTTCCATACGCAACCAAAAAAATTAATGGAAATCCAGAGGGTCTGGTCCTTACAAAACTATCACGGATACATACTGGCATTGTGCGGATGAATTCAGACTTAAACTCTAGCTCGTTGATGGAAATTCCTCTGACACGTGAGTAATTGACCATTACGGCAGCGATGAAAGACTGAGCACAGAAGAAATGAGATAAAGGGAAGACCAGAGGAATGTGACCGCTCGCCCAAGAGAAGAAGAATCTTATCCTGAAAAAATAAAATTCGAAATTGTTAACATTAAGCTTTATATTTGAGCCAAGCCAGGCAAAAATAAAAATACGTTAAAAAATGTATAAGAATGTGCTCAAAATGATCACATACCCTCCTTTAATTGGCCAGCATTTAGCCTCACTGGCATCTGCATGTGACTCCTAAAAATTACCTTTCACGCATGGTGTCTTTTGGTACACCTATTTTTGAAGTTTTTAAAGTTCCTTCAAAAGATGAAGTCAGGCTTCAATCTTTAAAACTGAACATGGCATTAAAATTATACATATCATAATAGCCTATGGGTGTGAGGTGAAAGGCTAGTATCGCGAAAATCAGAAAATTTGCGATTGCGGCCTCACCTATCAGCTAAATCATTGATGTAATTTGGAAGAGTCTTCAAACTCAAGTAAGAGTTAGACATCCATGAACTAGGAACCTTATCATATAACATATCAGTGAAGATAGCCTCTAGTTCCAGTGACATTGAAACTGAACCCTTGATTGCTTTCTGTACCATTTCCAAAGAACTCAAAATAGTTTCCATGAGGGAATTGAATCGCTCTAACTCCTGCAAGAGAAACACGGCAAAAAAGCATGAGTACAAGAAAACAGACAAAAAAGAGGTAGTTTGTAAATGATAGAGGTTGCTTGACACTTACGCCCAAGTTTCACCATCACTTGTCATGTAGCGAATAACTATTTCTGAAGAGAACAACTGTGAGATTATTAAGATCAAAAAAGAGAAAGGAGAAGGGGAATCTGGAAACCTCGCAAGGCAAAATTTGAGACTATGGCTCTACCTCTTACTCAATTTGAAGAAATTTGATCTTAAGATTTGACATCAGACTCCTCCTGAAACTGCTCTAATCCTCCCAAATCCATCATTTAAAAGTACCTAAGTGATATGAAAACGGCCAAATTTCCCCCTTGATGCCTATGCAATATACTGTACACCCCAAGTTTTTCGCGCAACAAAATTTAATACCTACCTATAAGGTATGATGGACTGGAACACGTTTTGATCCATCGCTTTAAAGGAGTGATATCAAAACGGTCCAATTTCCCTGAAATATGCCCATCTTAGGGCAAACTTCCTCGAAACCTCCCGACTCATCGCTTAAGAGACACGGATCATTACTTGACCCTCAGCATATCTCCTTGTTTAGTCCTATTTGTTTGAAGAGGTTCCTCTGAAAACTTTAATGAATTTTTTTCTTTAATGACCTAAATTTCAGAGCGGTATTTTTTTTCCTTGCACATTCTTTGGAAGATCAGGAAAATTAAGTACTGATGCCCTCAAGAGGTTTTCACCCTTGAATAATAATCCGGTCTATTTTCATTTCTTCTACATTTAAAATAATTACCTGAAGTAAAAAACTATTCAGAGACTCATTATAATCTGGTGGGAATTTGATGATGACTTCCTCCAACTTGAATGGTTTGAAGGCTTTTTCAAGGATGACTGATATTTTATCTGCTACAACTTTGCTCATTGTTTCTTCTGACATTTCATCACTGATTTGCGCTTGAGTTTTCATGACATTCATCAAAAACTGTGTAGAGAAAAACAAAAGTTTAGTTGGACTCGAAATCTTTGTCAGAGATGAGAATCTCTTATGGAGAAAAACTCGGGAAGACAATTTCTGTTTTATTAGGGACTCAGATGATCTAAATTTTATGAATTTTATTCGATTAGTGACCAAGGAACTTTCAATGCTCAACTACTAAAAAATTTAAATGCAAGAAGCTACTAGACATTATAGATCTCTCCTTTTATGATAATTTATAATATGAAATAGAAAAAAAGCTTACATTGAAGGACTCATTCTGTTCTTTAGCAATGTTTGCATTACAATGTAAACCAAACACTTCTGGTGGCATTTCACTTTGAAACGAAGAGACATATTTCATCAGAGTTTCATGATTGATTTCCTCTGGAGCTGTTTCCTTTGTTAGTAGACACCCATTCCTAGATTAACAATAAGAACCAGATAGCCTGAGTGATTTTTGATGACCAGGAACTTACTTACTGCATACTACTACTTAGAATAATTATTACATTCTGAATTTTTTGCTAAAGTATTTTACTGAGTGCATGTTAAGTGATAGACAAAAAAATATGGACAATTGTTTAAAGAGAGACGTCAAGCAATGTCAATGAGTAGCAATATTCAAAAAGGGGAGCAGTATAAAAAACTTCCTGCTCTGGGCAAGGAAAGAAGATAAAGCTCACTTAGAATCAATTTAGATTAATTTGCAGGAATGATGAAAGAGTTTTCTGCTATTTTTATCAACTTCCGTCGAGATCTATTTGACTCAATTATTTTTCCTTGAGGAAATGTTGCTGAATGACGAGGGAAAGGAACTTACACAGGTCCTCCAAGCAAGTCACAACAAATATATGTGTTGAGAAGGGAATTGAGCAAATTTTTGTCTAGATTGTCCTTAATTTGACCGCCATAGTCGCATTCTTCCAGTAAGCATACCAACGCCTCCTTCTCTAAAACATCGTACTTCATCAACAGCGACTGAAAAATATTTGTAATTTTAGAAATGTATTTCAGACATAGAGAAAAAGCGACTGAGCGAGGAGGGCAAATTATCCTTCGGGCAGGGATTACTACGCAGTGAAAAAATACTGAGAGGTAGTCTGTTTTGAGAAAACCATTAAGGATATTAAAATGCAGTTTGTGAGAGCTTGTACCATATTTTGTTAGCTCTCAAACGATCCTCTGTACAGCTCATTGAATAAAAAAGTTCACTTTTTTACTATGATTTTTTGGTGACATGTGATATAAACTTCTCCTTCTTCGTCTTCTTTCACTGTATACGGACAAAACAAAACTGAGAATAAATCTGGCAACTGTACACAAGGGTGCAAAAGGGTTATCATTCAAACTATACATTTTTTTCAATTGAACGTTAAAGAATAAGAATCCAAAATTGTCCAGAACTCAATAATGTGGCTCTGTTTTCTGGGCTTTTAGTTGTCAACTGCTGACTCCTTGATCTTCATTAAAACCTTCATATGATCTGAAAACAGTGCTTGCACGACTTACTCAATTCAATTTATCAGCAACTGTCACTTCTCAGAAAGTTTCATGGGTGGATCTACGAAGAACAAAGATGCAAGTGACATGGTCATACCATTGTTTGAATTTTACAAACTCAGTGCAAAAAACATCTGTCTGCAAACTTGCGCTGGCGTGCAAGACAATTTCTGATCAGCTAATCTTTAAACTCAACAAACTTGGACAGTTTTTAGTATAACTTCAATAGAAAAGTCATACTATACATCTAAAATATTGCCAACATTATTTGGAGAAATGTTGTGCCCTTGCAAAGTGGAGTTTGAGTGTTAAAAATGGCTCTAAAATTGTAGAATTTTTTTTTTCTTCTCTCTTTTCTTGAAAAGTGATGTAAAAAAAGGAATACTTACGAAATAAGCTCAACAAAAACTTATAAGAAAATTAGAGAAATACGCTATGATCTCTTGTAAATTGGATTTTAGTACCTTCCATAGTTGTCTCAGAATAGGCGAATTTTCAGTTTTCTAGGACAATCTTTGTAAAACCTACCTTATGAGACTTATATTTCTAGTACTTGTAGCATTGCTGCACCACAAAAATTGGTTGTTTCTTGGAACAGTAAATATTGCTGATATTATAAAAATGCCTTTTGAAAAAATCGCCAATAATGGCCTCTCGCAATGAGGGGCAGTCTCATAACAATATCGGTTCAACCATCTTCTACTTTTAGGCCAGAAGATTCCATGTAATTTTTCAACTTTAAAACCGTTTTTGTCAAAATCAGGAAAATGTCACTGGACATATTCATACACTGAACCCTTCAGCTGTGCTACAAATAAATATAAAAATCATGTCATTCGTTTTCAGAAAAGGGGTCTGTTTTCACACTAAAAAAATTCAGAGGAACAAAAAAATAAGGATCTAGATCTCACCTTCAGGAAGGTCACCCCAACAATTAAGTCACTGTCATTGAATTCATAAGGCACAATCCAGCCAAGCCGCCCAAACTTGCACCGCTCTTGGGCAACAGCATGGAAGAAGCAAATGTTGAATTGCATTCTGAACCACTCATCATTCTTTTCTGTCAGCGGAAAAAAGGATTCGCTGCAGATAGGATCCATTGACAAAGATCGTAAGAGATTACTCTGAAGATTCTTTGGAATCTCTGCGACAATTTTGATACCTAAGGTCAAGGAAAAAATACATTATAAAGATAAAATTTGAAATCAAACTTATAAAATAAGAATTGAAATCATAATAATTAGGAGCTGCACTCATTATCTCTTCTTTCAATTTGAAGTCTCCTTCTTCTGCCATGTGTATTGTGCAACTTGAGAACTTCAAAGTTGGAAGTTCAACCATGAATACAGGCGTTCACCCGCTATTTTACCAGCAAAAAAATAGACGAATGACAGCTTGTTTTAACTCTACAAGTTTGAAATTTTAAAAAAATGTTAATTTTTCAAGCAATTATTTCAATGTAGAACATAAAGTGAAATATATTGTTATAAATTAGAGGCCTCATTCTAGAAAGGAGCTAACAAGGAAAGACTACGTAAAGTCCCACCTAGATTTTGATCAGAGGACGGCCAGAAGTTTCTTCTGACGAAATTATTAGGTTTTGACTTTGCCGTTTTCACTGATAAGCCCTGGAGATTTTAGCATTGCCCATTGTCTGATGGATTCTGGGTTTGATCTTCGCATCTCACCATGACCTGTGACTCTCCCTGTGAATGATTTGTTTTAAGGTGATTCGATGGACGCCATATTTTGTGTCAGAACAGCATGCGATATATTGCATCAATTGGCTCCATTTTTTCAGCTACTCGTCATTTTTCTCCAATTTTGAGATCGCAATTCTGTTGTCAGGAGACTAAAGCACTCACTTACCAATTTTAACAAAGAAACTCAACATAATAAAGGCGTGGTTTTCTCTCTGAAAAAACCACGCCTTTATTATGTTGAATTTCTTTGTTAAAATTGGTGAGTGAGTGCTTTAGTCTCCTGACAACAGAATTGCGATCTCAAAATTGGAGAAAAATGACGAGTAGCTGAAAAAATGGAACCAATTGATGCGATATATCGCATGCTGTTCTGACACAAAATATGGCGTCCATCGAATCACCTTAATTTTTTCTTAGCTTCTTTTGACTGTGCACATAACTATCTCTTCGTTAATACTTATATATGATATAAGATGATTATCTCGCCATTCCCTAAAATTGAGGACTGGTTGTGTGTGGACACGGCATATTCGAGAATATTGAATCTAAAACTTGGGGTGGCCAGAGAATACATCTAAAAAAATAAATTCAATGACAAATCTGTTTTGATAAAATTAAAAAAAAAAAAAAAAAAAAAAAAAAAAAAAAAAAAAAAAAAACCCCGACAACAACAGTTCAATTCTTATAAAATGTATAGACTGCTTCATTGAATTTACACATTAAAAAGTGAAATTGGGAAATAATTTGCAATTATTCTGTAAAATTCACAATTTGGCGTGTAATTTCAATACAATGTTTATAAATTTAACACATAATCACAACAGTAGACTGTTGTTGATATTATTTAACAAAATGGATGTAAACGAAAAAAAATGGATTTCACTTTTTGTTCAAAATTCAGCGAGGCAAATGAATTTTCACCGTGCAAAATAATTTGCAATAACACTGATTTAAGGAGCTACATGCTTAGAAACCAATTGTTGATATGAGCTTGAAGAGAATCAAAGCAATAATTTTTAATGCACATTCATAAAAATTCTCCTTGCTTTTATAATTGTCATTGAAAAACAAAGTCTAACTAAACACATGACCAGTATTTACCATTTTGTAGCACTGATATTGGAAATACATCAGATGGATAGCTGGTCAACCACAGACGAAACTTGGGGTTGGTTTTTTCCAGGCTGATTACTTCACTACATATCCTGTCCAGCTCTCTCATCAGATTTGGTGCTAGGTGACAGTTTTTCAAAATGACCCATTGGCCGGATTGCACACCCGTTGTGATCATGTTGATGGCAATTGGATTCTAAAAGAGAAAAACATAGATAATATATCAAGTCACCTGGTCCTGTGAATATTTTTTGTCATCAATCATTTGGCAGAGCTCGAATACCTGGTCACGGGCAGTGGCGTAGACAGAGGGGGGGGATGTCTAGGGGGTATGCCCTTTAGCCTCGTTAATTATAACTTTTTTTTACTTTTGGAGGGCAGACATTAAATATTATCGGGGACGTACACAAAATAATGTAAATTTACCATCATGTTTAAAGGACCCCCCCCCCCCCTGTGCTGGTTACACGCTCAAATTCCCCCCCCCCCAGAATTCCTAGCTACGCCACCGGTAACAGGGAGATACTCACAGCAGGAATGAGGAAAGTGCAAAGGTGCAACATACTATGATGGGCTATGATTATGAGACTTCGTCTTTGACGTCCTCTTGATCTGCCTGCTGGTCAAGGACAGTTAGTGTGCTAATAAACTTAAATTTCCATTTACTGTCTGAGATACATACAGATTTTATTTGGATGTATTTCTATCAAAGAGAACTAGGTACAGGGGGAAAGATGGGGTGTGCTCGTTAGTGCTCAGACCATAAGAATGAATGGGAAATATAAAGCGACGGTGACGAAGCTGCCGTCGCGGTCGCGTACGGCGTCTTTATATTTCCCATTCATTCTTATGGCCTGAGCACTAACGAGCACACCCTATCTTTCCCCTGCACATAGTTCTGTTTGATAGAAATACCAACCGGGTCCCGACATTTACATCGGGCGAAAAAGAAAGGAAGTAAGTGACCATAGTTCCCGATAAAGAAAACAAAGAAGTAGTAAGTTTCTTCTTCACTACATCGCTTTTATATTTCGCCATAAGCTTAAATATATTATAATACATTGAAAAAATACGCCTATTCATTTATCCTTAATTCAGCAGGCATATGGCACACTTAAATCACCATAGATTTTCAAGAACTAAAATCATCTGCACCCACGTTCAAAGTTCCTTGTTTTTTTTAAAAATAAAAACAAAACTAGTGTAATAGCATCAATGTAAAGTTTGATGTTCAAATGAAGAATCTCTCTAAGTTGAGAGAATATTTATTCTGGAATACAAAGCCCAATATTTATTCTGGAATACAAAGCCCAATCATTGATATTGATACCAATTAGTGTGAAGAATTAATACCAGTCTATGAGGAAGCATAAGTCTTGAATTCTAATTATAATAACAAGCAATAAAGAAACCAAACAGGGTGCATTTTCTTTAATCACAGTGGTAGAAAGAAATCAGCGGCAAAAACCCATTTACCTGGCCTTGGCCGAGAGAAATTGTGAGCAAACTTGATTCTTGGATGCCATTCTCACCAGCAAACTTCAAAATTTGTTCCATGGGATCAAAACCACGAGAGAGAATAAAAATCATAGGAGAGCAACAGTTTGAATCTTTGTAGGAGTCGGATAACGTGTACACTCTTGACTGGACAAACTCCTCCCCTAATTCTTTGGCTATAAGCATCTAAAACAGTCAGTAATGAGAAAAATTTAAAATCACAAAAAAAAAAACCTTTGGACCTTCAGAACCTGTTGTAAGGGATAACACAGGTATACAGAGAATTCTTTTTGAATGATGCAAAAATCTTGGATGATGATTCATGATAGATTTTCTGAATCCAAATTGTCATCCTCTTTTTTTCATCACTTAGGAGTTTTCCAAAGAATCGAAGTATTTGGGTAAAAACAGTTTCTTCTGGGGATAATGCAATACACTGGAAAACTGGTGCATGTTGAAAAAATATAGGTGTCATTTTAGAATTCAGCAGTCAAAAATACATAAACACATGTACTGCATGAATGAAACATCTTCGAGAAAATTGCATTGATAAGATTTTAGGTACAAAAAAAAGAAAAGCATTGCAGCATTGTTCCTGCTCCTCCTTAAATTTTGAAGTTGTTTCATGTTTGCCGCAATACCTTCAACCAATTGAAAGCGCAACTTCATTTCCAGCTGCTAGTGTTCCGTCTTTACGTCTTTGTTCAGTAATGAGAGCGTGAATGTGATCATCAGTGCCATTCCCTGTGATGCCATCAGTGAGCAACTGATTCTGAGCCACGGAGGATGACAATTATTGTATCACAAGATAGTTCAACAGATGATTTTAAATAGGTACTGTCCAATAAAATTTCTTCAACGAAAAGTTAAAAAAGACTTACTTCGACAGCTGCAACTATTCTGTCTGGTCTTAAGCACCTTAGGATAACAAGAAGGCCGATTTCTTGAATATTTTGAAAAGGAACTGGAATACTGCTCTTCTCAGACTCAGAAGAGTCATAAAATGCTTTCCAGTCTTCAGGACGACTTTCAATTGTGAACTTTAATTCTTGCATCCTGAGAGAGATAGAAAGAGAGAATAAAATAAAGTGTCGATATAGCACACAAAAAATAATATAAATGTCACTAAATTAGTAAACTTCCTCTCTTCCTAAGTTCCTTAAAAATCGACCAATTTATATTAAATGGTCTTGAAGTATTTGGTGCAAAGCACTAAAACCAATGGGGCAAAATGAAACAAAATCAGACCTTGACAGCGCAGGTAAAAATTTGATTCGCAAAGACTGGTACAAAAATTGTTTGGAGCACGTCAGCTTGGCTCAATCAGCTCACTCACTCATCAGAAAAAGTAAAAAAAACTCAATATTCTGGAGCAATTGAATGATTCAATTGAAACTGAAAAAGTGAAATTTAAAATGTGGATTCAACAGATGGCAGGAAAGCCAAGTGTCAAGGCTGATCTCCCCTCCCTCTTACCAGGACAGCCGGTATTGGACATCAGTAAATACGGTGGATGCAAGTCATAGTGATCCGATTTCTCCAACATATTTCAGCCTCAGTTATTCATTTCAATATTATGTTTTATTTTTATTTACGTATTACTTTATATCCTTGCACTATGTGTGTGTATACCTATTGACTTGATCCAAATTGAACGCAACCAGTGGCGTGGCATGCTTTGCAATACATCATTGATCTGCCATTTAAACCTATGGAAAAAGATCGATAAACAGGGTGTTTGCAACAAATACCTTACTGATCGATTCTTTACCATAGCTTCAAATAGGGAAACATCCATAATCCATTATTCACTCTTCGCCACTGAACGCAACTAATGCAGCTTGATGATGAGAGAAATCATAAAATGCGTGAAGCCAAAGAACCAACAATATAGCAAATAGGATCAGAATTGCAGGAGGCTTAAGTTTGATATGCAAACTGAATGATCCTCATACATCACAATTGTTTATTTTTTAAATATACATATACATTTACTTAAAAATGTGTTTATTATGAATTGTGATTGGCTGCGATTCTTACCCTGGAAGTTCTGAAGCTGATAAAACATCTGACCAGGCTTTGTGAGAAAGCCAAGAGCTGACTGGATTCACTGTTTGTATTTGGGAGGCTACTCCTCCCATTAAAACAAATTTCAACAGTTCTTCATTAACCTTCCCCTGTCAAAATTAAAATGACAAAATTTTAAAATGATATAAATACCTACGCTCACAAGTTTACAGAATACAAAGTGTAAAATTTAACTGCTCCGCCAAAAGAATAATACATAACACTAGATCATGGAGCTAAATGCACATCATTATTCTGTATTCCTTGCATTATTTTGTTCGAAAATTTAACCCAAGTAAAAAATTAATAATATAAAGCCAAACAAAACTGGAAATAAAAATAGAGAATTAAGACAAAAGCATTTAGATTTTAAAAATCTCTAAGAATCTATGCGAAATTAAATGATAATCTTTTTTGTGAATCTGATTAATTTTTGAACGGACAGAAAAAATACTCACATTAGATCGGAGGATACCTAAAACTAAACTGAAAGCAAATACCAACTTATCGCGCTCAAATATTGACCGACAAACATTATGGAAGACACTTTTTGTTAGATGATACTTCAAGGTGACCAATCTTTCCTCTAACTTATCAGAATGTTCACTTTTAAGGATTGACTGGAACAAAAATAAAAACAATACATAAGATACAGTAGTATTCTGAAATTGGACAAATTCAGATCAGAAGGAACTGTCTTCATTGTGATATGGGCTCTAGGACCCATTCTTACATATGCATGACGGGGCACTTATCACAATACAGATAATTCCTTTTGATTCGAAAACGTTCAATTCGGACCGACCAAAATGCTGATGCATTTGGATTTTGGCTTTTGCAACAATTTATCGGAGTAGAATTAAAGTAAATCACTCTGCCCCAGCAAGGGTCCTTCAGGATTTTGTAGTGATGTGTAAAGACTATCATTTGAGTCAGAATTGAGTGTATTCTGACAAGCTCTTTGAAAATAAAATCGATTTTTGTGGTTGGGGCTAAAATGGTCTCATGAACTTTTACACTCCTTCAATCCGAGAGAAAAAATATAATGTGCCTAGTGCTTATGAAATTCTGTGTACACTCCTTCAATCCGAGAGAAAAAATATAATGTGCCTAGTGCTTATGAAATTCTGTGTATTTTTCTATGTTACGACATGCGACAAACAGCGTTGATGTGCAGGACACATTGAAAGAAGGCTAGGTATACAAACACAAAATTATATGAATTTTTAGACAAACCTGGTTGTAAAGATTCAAAAACCACAAAAGTGAGAATTGGTACATTGGATCAACATTAGCCAATTCAATTATACTGAAGAACAAAACAGACGAATACTCAGCAATTGGTAGAAAAAGATTTCGCGCTGAGTCTATGGCCATTTCAGACTGCGTTGATGCACCTTGCTTTGCTTGTATTTCTGCTGAAAGAACCTGTTGGATATGGATTTTCATGATTTATTCAGTGGAAGTTTTAAAATTAATTATGAAAGATAGAGACTTCAGTGGTTATTGACTGTTCCTTGTAAATTTATAAATGAACTTTGGTGTATGTAACTGCATTATTACAACAGAGAAAAATGCTATTTGTTACTTGTCACAAGAACTAAAGATAATTTCAAGTGGATGACGATATGTTGAATAAAAATTTTAAAAAATTGATAAAATGTGTCCACAAATAATGAAAAGTAAGAGGTTTTCGACTCTCCCACATGACTTGACAATAGAGAATTCCCATGCAATTTTTTTATTGCTTCATCTGGAGCAATAAAAAAATTGATGAATTGCTCATTCAATGAGCTGAGCTTGCAACACTTTTCATAATCTTTTTCTAAATTGGAAAATTGGGGATAAATAGTTTTAAAAATGAGAAAATGTGCCGCCTTGTGACGTCCACTGGCAGCATTTTTCGTTTAAACACATTTATTTTTGCAGATTAAGTTATTTCATCATATTTCCTCCAATAATTGTTCAATTTAAAATCCAAGGTACCTTCGTGCTCAGTTTCTGTAGCAATGTTATGTTAAACATGAAATTTCCCAAATTTCAGACACCTACAAATTCTCCATTACGGAAAAACTCTTGATTGACATAGTGAGCTGAAATTTTACATGGAAGTTTGCTTTCCTTTAAACTTTCATTTACAGCATATCTCACTGACTTGTGGGCCGATTATTGAAAGTTTAAAACAGCCCGCTAAGACATTGAAATGCAATATACTTGATGGTTAAGATAGGGCTGTGTCTTCGAGTTTCAATAATAGGGCTGCTGCTCCAATAACACTTTTTTCTGTGAAGGCTCTTTCTGCCGAAAAAACATAAGTTGCCAAGAGCAGCTTTTTTGCCACTCATGCCAAAATCCAGCTTTGATGGACACTACGCCAAAGTGGAACCACCTCTCTTTCTTGAGTGATATTTCATCAATACAAGTGAAACAAAATTTTACCATTACTCATACCATGAAAAAATATAGTAGAGAAACAAACCTTCGAGGAGGATAAAATCTTAATGGCCGTTTCATCCTCTAGGATGTTGCCTTGAGAAGCAGATAAAACACCAAGTATTTTGTCTTCGATCTCCTTAAGCATTCGTTTGTTGTTGGCTCCTTCAATGATTAGTTCGTTCTTCTTCTCTTCGAGTTCCGGCCGTTCCATTGATACCACCACACTCAACAGTTGATCTTGGAGACCTTGGGTTGTTATCATGAAGTTAAGCAAAGTCACCTGGTCACAATTATGAAAAGAACCCAACATGATCAAGCAACCCTCTCAGTCTTTGATAGTCCACTTACACTTATCTTGGCATTAATTTAACTGAAAGGCAAAATACTCCATGATTGATGATAAATTTCACACCTCATTAAAATATTGATTTGCTCATCGAGGGAAAAATGAAAGAAAAAAAAATGTACCTCCATAGAAAATAATAACTTTGCTTCTAAAAGAAAGAGAGAAAAAAAATATAAAAATATGCTCATAAAATAAAAAAAAAAAAAAAATGAATTTCTGATGGAAAAAAGAGTAAACTAATTATAGCTTCCTTCAAAATGGAATCAAAAAATGAAAAGTGACAAAACTGTTGAAATCATGAAGTGCAAAATCCATCCGCTCATTACAAACGTAATATTTTATGAACTGACATAAGCAAAAATTATGCAAGGCGAATTCCCATTCCTGAAGCACTGTAAAAGAAGTAATCTGACTTATGATATAAGACACTCTACCTTAACAGCAATCTCTGGCAAATAATGAGGATTCCGTAGACAGGTCGTGATGTAAAATCTGAAATTTGTGTGATATGGGATTTGATTTTCGCCCAGTTTGATATACTTTTGATCACCTTGATTGATTGTGTCCTTCAATAAAATTGGATCTGGAAGGATTTACAAAAATTATGGGTCTAAGGCTATGCAAACGTTAAGTTCTGAGAAAAAGCAAAAGCAAAGCAAGTTGATTCTGAAGACAGCATTCAACCGGATGAGGTTCTATTTTTTATTAAAGAAAAACAGCTTCATGTCCCGAAAAATCTATCGTACAAAACCATAAAAAAAATTACTTCACATCTTGTGTACAGCACCTTTAATACTATGCTTTTTTTTTAACAGCGTTGAAAAATATTACTTATCGGTGAGATCTGTTTTCAAAAATCTTTTTTCCCCTGGCTTGATAAAAAAACGTTTAAAGGCAAAGAATGTGCTGAGAGCAAATGCTGCAACTGTTACCTTTATCAATCTGTATTGTCACAATTTCTGGTAGATGATTCACTAAATGCTGTCTGATGCGTTTTGAGGAATTTGGAATTTTGCAAATTCCATAAAATTAAAATACACAAATCTGCAATAATTTTGCTCATGATGCTACACTATTCAGCGGCATTAGGTACTGCGGATTGCCAATATGATGAAAACACAATTCAAATTGGCAATTCCTCAAATAATTTTTGTACAGTAACTAAAACCGCATCCTTCATTCTGAAGACAAAATAGGTACACATACATAGGTACACATTTGTTAATCGTACGTAAATATGAGTATTATGATGCTCTACCGATGAAGGTAAAAAAGAAAACATACAAATTGAACAACTTCACCGTCTGAGAGGGTGATCAAAAGAGATAATAACACCACTGGTTCTACCACTAACAGTTTCTTTCTACATTTACTGGGTACATTTGAAAAAAAGGTTAGATTTTGAACAGCAACAAAATAATACCTATGGCTGCATCAATGTCCTCAAGAACATTTTCAAGAAGAACAGGGGTGCCTTGTCCAATGGCTTCCTCCAAAACTTGAAGATAGTTTTTGTCTGTTAATTTGATGACTACCAAATTATTATTTTGCTCCATGTTTTTGATCCATTTATTTGCCTGACCTGCAAAATTCAAAGAGAAAAGTTGCCCTCTTTAGAAAGAAACTGATTTCGAAATACAAGGCTGCACTCTTTGAAGCCTTGCAACCTCAAATTCTAAGTAGGTTTCCTAAAATCAGCGACGTTGGCTTGATAGTGAAGTGACAAGCGCAAAAGCTCAAAACATTTACGATGAACCAGTTTAAAATCAGGAATTTTTAGCGACTCATGAAGAAAGTTCGATACCTCGAATTCTTTTCAAGCTTGCTAGTATAGACACGCGCTTTTAAAATCAATTTTTGTTTAGGCAAATTACTCCTGGTGTGATTGGCTTTTCCTCATTGAAGCATCCCTTTTCGATTGTATTTCTGTTCTCCGCCAGTCCAATGCTTTCTAATTGTGAACTCTCTCCCCGTCTCACTCTTCAATCTCATTTATCTCTTGATCTTCTCTTCTTTACGATACCACGCCTTTCCTTTCATCATTTATGATCTCTTTTGAGACGATTCAGCTGGCTGTTTCATTCAACAGAATCTGCTTTCACTGCTACTTCACTGCTTTGACACAAATATCAAGGCAGTTTTGGTATTGGGAAAACAACCTGAGCATTTGTATTCACTTTAGATTTTTGAAAGAAGACCTTCATTTGATCTTTTAAATATCTTCCCTTAATTTTTCTAATGTGATATGATAATATTATGTGCAAAATGCGCAAAACGTTAGAGTAAATCAATTAAAACAAACCTTGAGGATCAATCATAAGTGGCCATCTACAGGCATTGGAGACAATAATGCCGTTTTCAATAGAGAAATTGTCGATAGGAAGACCATGTATATTCCATGAACGGATTAAAACAGGGTTCCCTAACGTGTTTATGAGTGAAAACTCACCAGCGCAGGCTAGACCTGTCTCAATTACACACTGGTTCCACTTGTCGACAAGTTCCTAAAAAAGGAAGCAAAAAATTATGAGTTTGAGGTAGAGAAAAAAATTGAGAGAACGTGTGAGATCTTGTAATTTCATGTTTCATGTAAACCATGAGGTTTCAAGATTGATTACCTTTATACGACTCTACACTTTTTTTCTTTTCACTTAGAAGTTACATGAAGGTTTGAGATATTCTTCTTCATTTGGATATGATTCTGAGGTTTACAGGCATCATTCAGATTATACAGGGTGATCCAAAAGTCCCTTCCACCCCCTCTAACTTTTTACCTAATTGAGGTAAAGATTTGAAACTTGGAGGATATTCCTAGGTCAAAGGGAGCTACTTTTTGGCCCCCCTAAAATTTTCAGGGGGCCCCCCTTAGGGGGGAAACGGCCCCCAACTTTTAATTTTCAAATGGGAAGACCCCCTTTGTGATAGCTCGTTCGAAAGAGCATAAAAAAAGAAAACTTTTCGCGCAAATCCGAAGTCAATATCTCAAACCGTCTCAAAATGGCGGCCGGTTAAAGTTCAAAATGGCCGAAAATTCACACCGGTTATTTGTCGATGGATTTGCGCGAAAATCGGTATGTTGGGGTATTATGACACGAGAAAAACGAATTTGACGTTAGATTTTCAAAAAAACCAAAATTTCCAAAATGGCCGCCGGTTAAAGTTCAAAATGACAAAAAATTTATTTTTTTAGAAATTTAAGTTCAAATTTGTTTATCTTATGCCAAACTACTCTCAAATTCCAAGTCTTAGGCAAATACATCAGGAAAAAACCGAGGTGACAATTTTCGGCCATTTTAAACTTTAACCGTCGGCCATTTTGGAAATTTTGGTTTTTTTGAAAATCTAACGTCAAATTCGTTTTTCTCGTGTCAAAATACCCCTACATACCGATTTTCGCGCAAATCCATCAACAAATAACCGGTGTGAATTTTCGGCCATTTTGAACTTTAACCGGCCGCCATTTTGAAACGGTTTGAGATATTGACTTCGGGTTTGCGCGAAAAGTTTTCTTTTTTTATGCTCTTTCAAACGAGCTATCACAAAGGGGGTCTTCCCATTTGAAAATTAAAAGTTGGGGGGCCCCCCTGAAAATTTTAGGGGGGCCAAAAAGTAGCTCCCTTTGACCTAGGAATATCCCCCAAGTTTCAAATCTTTACCTCAATTAGGTAAAAAGTTAGAGGGGGTGGAAGGGACTTTTGGATCACCCTGTATATAGTAAGTTGACAGTGACTGCCGACAGGTCAAAAAGCAGCTTCCATCGGTATTTATGAGTTTCTAATTTAAATTAACCTTTACATTAATGGTTATTGTTGTGGGTGCCACACTCTGTACACACACTAGGTTATTTTGCACATTGGTGTAAACAATTTTTTGTGCATCTAATCTGGTGGAGAAAAAGGAACATAAAAACTAGACGATTTCATTGTTTATTTTCTCCCTAACAAACGGAATAATTCATACATCAAATTTGCCTGGTAGTAAAACTAGAGACGAGGATCCATGGCACTTTATGAGGAACTTAAAATTGCTTGAAAATGAGTTTAAACTGATGCATACATTCCTGAACTGGATAGAAAAAGCTCCGAGATAAGCCACAATTCCTGCTGCAAGCAACACATCTCCTGCAGAGTTGTTCAGAGACACTTGTAACTGCCGTGCTGTTTCACTCCAACGAGTTTTTTCTCCTCCAAGACCACCTGAGATTAGGAAAACCAAAACCGACAAGTCAGAATAATTGAGACAGAAAATTCGTAAGTAATTATTATAATGGTTGGAAATTACAGGAGACTATTATCAATCTGTTATAAGTGCTGTTTAAGGCAACAAATCTATTACAGATCTGCGTAGGTTGGACCATTTGCCTGAGTAAATTTATATTTTTTACTTTTCGTATGGACTGAGTTGAATCCACCATACATTAAGAAATAAAACTTGATGTTACTGCAATTGGTTATACATCATTGAAGGCAGTGTACCCAGTAGAGCGAATAGTATGAGTATTAATTTGTGATTTTCGTTTTTCAATTTTCAGAATAGAAACTCAAAAATATAAGAGAAAATCTAGGTTAAAAATTTGTAAAGAAAAGAGAGTTCAAATATGCCTAAGTTCCATCACGAACAATAACTTTCTTGCTGGAAAGAGAGGAAATTTGAGGAGATTATGTAAATTACGCTCCACCAAAGAAATAAAATAATCTGCCGAATGGCCAGAATTTTGACCAATTCATGGGTTGGTTTAATTGATGGACCCAAGGATGCAATGAGTCGGAAATGGACAATTCCATGAAACAGGGAATGGAAAAGCTGACTACTTCTAAAAGGAGAGAATATAAGGGGAGGATAAACGAGAAATAGTATTCTTCTTGATTGCATGAGATAGAAAATATTGAAGAGTTTTCAACTATCTGGAATCTTGGTTGAAATAATTACAGAATACAAGTTAAGTAAAGAAAGATAAAGGCAAAGAAAAAAAAATGAGAAAAAAAGAAAGTAAAAAAACAAAATTGATAGCATGAGCTCAAGTGATGTGGACTGCTCAAACTAAACCCTTCCAATACTGCAGTTACGATTTGGCGTGCACACCGTATGGACCAGATTAAGAAAGAGAATGTTACCTTTCGAGCACTTCAAGCCCTCGTGCAACACAAGTCGCCCTTGCACTCTGTCCTAAATATGCTAGAGTTATAGTGCATATCCTCACTAAAAAATACAGCACATTCATTAAAAGCCTCATTCCATCCACATGGAGGGGTCTTGGAGCGTGCGATCAACAGACATGATAACTTGTTCATCGTTTGCAGCAAGGAGGATCAACTTAGTTTGTTCGTGGTATTAAAAGAGATAAGGCTTATAAAATTTTAAAATTAGAGACAAAGTACCTATCAATTTTTCAGCACGATCAAGTTTTTGCGAGCACAGCTCAATTGAATCCTCCAATTCTTTTTTCTCTCTAGTTTTTTCTGCTAGTTCATCTCTGAGAGCTTGTAATTTCCCCGTCACCTAAAAAAATATTATTTGAGTTAAGTGTAAAAAAATATGACCTCTCAAATTTTCTTTTAAATTTTTTGATGAGTAAACACATGAGTTTGGCATTCTCATAAGGCATGGCATTTCTCACGGCATTAGTGTTCATTCTTTTCATAAGATGTTTACAGAGCTTTTAATCAATAACTGCTTCGTGAATTTGAAATCTACCAATTTATTATTCAGGTCGGGTTGTTCTTGCAAATCTATACACTTTACAGCACATTTCAATCACTTAATGCTAATAAATGTCATTAATTTTTTACTAAAAATAAGACATTTAGAGAAAGGAACTGAAGAGAGACTATTTCACTTAAAAGAGGGATCTACAAAGGCTGTCCCACAATGACCGGGACTGGTGCTGTAACTCGAAAACTAATCAAAGGTTGAGCTGATCTTGGGCTCGGTTGAAACATATAGTAAAAAAAAGCGATTGCGCTAGAGATCACTTAATTTGGATGAAAACTGACCAAGTTATGACACTTGCACAACAAATTGTGAGAAAATACCCTACCGTTTTTTTCAACTTGTTTCTTTTTCTTTTACTCATCAAATTTTTCCGGTGATCTTTCCCGAACGAAAACAAATTGGCAGCAAATGCTAATTGCTTTTTTTGATTAAGAGGGTATGGTTTATCAACACTTTGTAACCGATAAAACCAAAACCACGGTGATTAACGATAATTATCGCAAAGTTCTGACAGATTTTCGCAAGCACGTCATGCGAAAACGTCCGCAATTGAAAGCAATCTGGATGCTCCGTCAGGATAACGCGCATCCTCACACCTCGAACGCCTCCAGCAATTTAGAGTGAAAGAATGGAAAGACCCTCAGGCACCTACCATACAGCCCTGATCTCGCTCCATGCGACTTTTGGTTGTTCCTGCAATTGAAGAGAGCTCTCTACGGCAAGCAATTTGAATCAAAGGACGCAATCAGGAACGAAGTCTAAGCATACTTGAAACGCATCCCCAAAAAGATTTCCAGAGGACAATTTTGCCAAGATGGAAGGAGCTGATGGAAAAATGTATTCGATTTGAAGGCAAATAATTTGAGAAAAAGAGAAGCACTTGAAGACCCAGAGAAAATGGAGATTGAACTTCGAATTTGTTAAAAATAATTATTTCTTAAAACTTACAACCTGTTTTTAAAGTGTCATAAATTGGTCAATTTTCATCGAAATGAAGTGATCTTTAGCGTAATTGCTTTCTTTTGACTTCATCTTTCAACTGAGTCCAAAATCAGCTTAATCCGTTGATTAGTTTTTGAGTACAGCACCAGTCCTGGTCATTAAGGGACAGCCTTAGTAGAAAATTAGAAACGGTAAAAGTTGTTTGCAAACTCATGCCTTGTTCAAATTTTTACTGATTATAACTTGCTGTTTTTTAATATTTTACTATTTACTGGGTCAAGGGTTAGCTGTAATACATATTATTTTTAAAAATAAATAATATCTGTAAACAAGGAAAATGGAAAAATAAGAATGAAAAAAATAAGAATAAAAAAAATAAATAAAGTAAATGTGAAGAACTCACTTTTTGAAGTTGAGCACGTTTCTCATTTAATTTCTCCATTTGAAGGGCATAATCCGCTTCTGCCTCCGCTAGCTTTGCTTTTTTTGGGCCAACAATTTTTATAACTCTATCATAAACTTCCATAGCTCGGATCCATTTACAAAGCCCCTCACATGCATTTGAGACGCTTTTTACGACAGCAGGATCAAAATAACGATTTGACACGTACCTAGAAAATTATTTCAAAATTTTTCTCTAACATTTAAGCTGTCAAGGAAAACTATTCGTTACTCTTAAAAAAATTTAAAAAATAAGCAAAATACACTAAAAAATTTTGGTAACAGTAATCTTTTCTTTGGGAATATTATTTAAACATTATGCTACAAAATATGTTGAATACAATTATGAATTAGATTCCCTCACATTTAGCTATGTGTTGGATAGAGGCAAGGAAACCACATTAAAAACAGATGCAATTTTAAGCTTTTCATCAAAATGTTTAGGAATTGTTGCTCTTATAGCTCATCAGAGAACTTCCAATTATTTTAAAATTTATTTTCCTAATAAAGAGGGAAAGAAAAACCGCCAAATTTTGTTTTGTTAAGGAGGAGGCATTGGAGAGACTGGCTCTCCCATAATTAACGATTGTGTTTGCAATGCCAACTTCATGCACATTCATTCGGTGGTTATTGTTTGTCTTGATCATTAAGGCAGACGCGTCTTTGTAGCTTCTCATATTTTTAATGTATTTTATTTCTGTGATGTCGTTTCTCAATTGAATCTCTCAGTTCAAAGATGACCCAACTCAGATTTTTATGATGTTCATTTTTTTGCATAGAAATATTCCAATTCCGGCTGTTACGCAGTTTTTATCATCTTCTGAAAAATTGTATTTCTACAAGATGGGTCGTTTTCGAACTGAGAGATTCAATTAATAAACAACTGATTGAAAGTTAAATTTGATTGATCACTTTGCAAGCCCCCACTCCAATCTCATCCACAAATGAAAAACTATCTCTACTGAGGAAAATGAATGGAAGGCTTGCATTACACACGAAAACGAATTTAAGAAGTTATGAAAAACTTCTTGCAACTGACTTTCCAGTTGTTATTATAAAGCTTTTCTCTCTCTCTCTCCAATTTTTGATTGGTTTAGTAAACTCTAGTACTCTATGTACAAATTATGAAACAGCAAGAAATACCTCGCAATAAGTTTTAGTTATTTACTTTGCCAATAATCTTACTTTTCTCGAATAAGCTTCATTACACTCGGATTGATATTATCTTTATCATAAGTTTTCAAACTGTCGAGAAATTTAAGATCACCCAGGAGTTTCAGAGATGGTCCCCAGTAATCTTCAATCATAGCTCCAGAACCACTAGCATCAGGCCTACGTTCAGATTTGATTCCTTTCATGACACACACTGCTTCCATCACCTAGAAACAAGAATGAGAAAGATGCAATTTTCGGTCGATGCATAGCCCTTTCTCAAAAATGCTATTACCTAACTATTGATGTTATGGATAACTGATTAAATTAAAAGAGACTGTCACACGGATTTTCCATTTTTGTTCACCTCTTGAGGCATCAAGGAAAATCGAGAAAAACCTTTCTTTTCTACATCAACCAAGTTTCCCGACAAAAACAGGATAGCAATGGAGCTCTTGCGTGCATCAAGGATTTGCAATTTGAGTGTTTTCTCTTGGGTGAAATTTTTCAAGAGACACAATAATGCCACTGGTTTTCTCTAAAACAAACTTTAAAGCTTCAAAAATGCTCTCAAAGTTGAAGCCATAATGGAGATGGTTCCTCATGCTACGCTGTGAGTCCACTTCTGAATCTATTAAATTAGATAGGATAAATAGGAAGATAGGGAGCAAATAAAATATCTGGGTTGCTCTTTTGTCTCCGGGCTCCAAAGCTGGAGCCATAGCAACGTTGCTTATCTATTAGCTCCTCATCTGAGCTTAGAGAGTTTGATTAGACATAGAGGTGGACTCTCAGCGTAGTATAGAGAGTCCCCTCATTTACAGTCCCAACTTGGAGAGACTTTTTTGAGCTTGAAAGTTTGTTTCATAGAAAATCAGTGGTACCAATGAAAAATTTTGCGACATTATACTAAGGAAGAAGTATATAAATTACTAATCCTTAATGCCTGCATGAGTTCCATTTGCAAGTATTTTGGACAACCTTAAAAAATACAGCCATTTGTCCTGCATTCAGACCCCTTTTCAGGAGAGTTTATCGTCCACTTTAATTTTTTACGATCTAGCATTAAACCAATTGCCACATGAAAAACGTCACATAGAAAAACATGGGTCAGAAATCTTTCCTGATCATCCTCTCCAGCTTTGAGATGGAACGACCTTTTGCACCATATTTAGAGTCAATAAATTTTTCGTAAAATGAAAAATAATAAAAGGGACTATTCAACTCATGGCAAAGTGATTTCTTAAGAGTTATTTCCACCAGAGAAAAGGTACCAGTTTAACAGTTGCAGGGGGGTTCTTCATTGACTTGACAACTGTGATATCAGCTGGCTTCAAAGTGTTCAGTGCAGCGATGGCAGATTCTAGAGCAGGTGTTGCTTCGGCAAGATCACTTTCACAGTCATCTTTGATAGCCTGTGAGGCAGCTGCTGCTTCATTCGCTAGTGCCTCATCAGCAGCCACAATCTACAAACAACAGAAAAAACAAAACATACTGATTTGGCTATCATGAAGAGAAAGAGGTACTTCACTAGCTCGCTTTGATCGGGTAAAGAAAGTATGCACCAAACAGCATATCTCTTGGAGGCAAAATTGTGCTCATATGAGCTTTTTCCCTCTGTATTGAGATTTTCAGCTTTTAACGCCTGTTGGCAAAAAACTCTAACATACTGTCTTACAACGTGTGCGTCCTCCGATCAGTTTATAAAGAAATTACTAAGATCAAATCTTTTTTAGACAATTTCCATAAGTTCCATAGTCGACTTTTTAAACTTTGACCATGCGTTTCTTCAGTATGATAGAATTTAATAATTGAACCTATTTTTTTTTTTTTTTTTTTTTTTTTTTTTTTTTTTTTTTTTTTTTTTTACAAGCATTCATAAATCGCCATCTTCTGACCAAAGAATTACAACCGCCATTAGTGCTTGAATAGCCAGATTACTCAAACTTGTTCAATTGTTAAAAGAAAAACTAATGCGCAGAATCACTAGATAATTTTGCTTAATATTTCATCAAAATCAATTCCTGAAATTTTCATGAAAGGATATGCAGAAGTTTAAAAGGAGATGTTCAAACTGCTTTGAGATGTCTGGCAACTTAACGTCTAAGCGTGAATGGAGCTTGTGATACTTTGAGCGGGAGGAGACAAAGTGAGCTTAAGTTTTCAGTCAAATAGAAACCATTAAAATTTTTAGTGATAAAATTGAAATTTTTGGCACGATTGAACAATGGTTTACGTTATAACAAGCTTTAACATTGAACCTAAAACTGAACCCAAGATTCTTCTGCATTGTTCACAAGCAAAGGAAAATAATACTTAAAATAGAATATACATCAGCAAACTAACGAAAAAATATTTTTCTTTCCTAAATTTCTCTGACTTTATATCATTCCGGGAAAACGTGTTTGTAAATATGTCAAAAGAAAAAGTGGACTGCCCTTGGCAGTTGCACTTAGACAAGTAGTAAGAGATGACGACTTATATACCCAAATTGAATACAACATTTTTATTAAAAAAAGTAAAAAATTACTCACTTCCTTTGAGGCTTCTACGTTGACAGTATCTTGTTCAATTTTCACCATTAGTTTTTCTGTCTGCTCAGATGTAAGCTTCAGTTGCGGTTGTAGAACATGAAGCTCATTTTGCATGATGATAACCTGAAGAGGGGAAAAATTGAAATAGGATAAAAAGATAGAAAACTAAAAATGTAGGAAATAGTGGAAAATAAATAATACAATTCAAACTACACGAAACATTTTCCATTTAAGCATGATATATTTCTGTGAAAAGTAGGGAAATAGAGATCTTAGGGTGAAGAAGGGACACTGATTTTGCAGCGTACGGAGGACAACGTATTGTGCGCAAAATTTTACTGTGTCACATTCGGCATTCCCACACTCGCCTTATTCACATTTCATAGACAGTGGCTTAAATTTCTCTTATTTTCTTATGATCGGGGTTATGAAATTGCTGCCCAAAGGCTGTTCAGGTTTTGCTGCTTTCACATCTTGTCACCAAGGGGGGGGGGAGTTTATGCCGTTCGTAAATTTCATACCCAATATATTATTTAATACAGATTTTCAGACTTCCTCATACCCCATTTTTTTTATCCATACTAGTCATCATCTTGCACCTAATTCTCCTGGATTGCATCGAAAGTTGTCGCGCCACTCTTCCGGCAACACGGTGTTTGCAGCGGTGTTGCTCAGCTATCTTTGTTTTTCTTTTCGCACATTGTTTGCCACCCCCCAAAATTTGCCACTCTAGACCGCAGCTTTCACGGCCTATGTATAAATCTGGTCATGTTTCTAGCAGTGCACAAATATCATAAATGGACAAAAAGGCGTGCTAGAGGTAGGGCCTTCAAATCTTCTGATCTGAAATTGAAAACTCATTTGAGTGATGACTCGAGGAGGAGAGTGAAAAACACAGGTGCTTGCTGACAGAGAATGTATTTTAATAAATATCCAGAAAATGTTGTCTAAGCTTACCTGGCTAGCTGCAAAATCTAGCTTTTCCAATCCAATCTCGTATCTTGTGCGCAAAGTAGTGATTTCGTCCACTTTCATACCATGGAGAGAACGAAATGTCTTGATAAGCTCCAAATAAGAAGTTGGTGTGATGTATATTGGTCTCTTTGTTAGATCATGAAACCTAATTAGGAGGAAATAAGAACAGTCAAGTCATATCTCATGTCACATTATCATCTATTTTATTATTTAGATGGAAGAAAAACAAACAAATATGCTCGTCTATCTTTGTATATGAATGAGTAGGGCTGAAAAAACTATCACTACATCTCTGGGAAAGTTTGCCATAACAGGTTGTTACACTACATATGTTGCCAATAATGACTGGGTCTCTGTATAAGAAGGTCTTTGCACAAGCATCATCAACAGTGCCTAGGGCTGGGTATTGTGCGCATTTTGGTGCTTACGTTAGGTTATCATTTACCAGACAAAGACAGCCACAAATGCTTTAATATGGGCATCCTTCTAACAATTAAAGCAGTATGCCGTGTCAATGTGACTCCTAATTGGATTCCATTTTGCAAAAGGGAACCAAGAGCATTTCAATGTTGCTAGGATTGTGCAACTTACATTCTTTGCAATGAAATTACTTAAATCATGCGAAAAATTAAATTTACAGAGGAATTACTTATGACTAAAGATAAAATTCGTGTAGATGATCAGTTCATATTTGCAAGGTAAAAAAAGTTGCACAATCTTGGCAACATAGGAATTCTCTTGGTTCCTTTTCGCAAAACGCAATCCAATTAATATCAGTTTCATTACTTTTCACAGTGATATGTGTTCCGTCTTTATTGCTTCTGATTTGAAAGGTGGTCTCATGCAAAGAAGGGGATGGAAGGGAGCAGGATAGGCAGGACAGAAAAAAATACAGTAGCTAGAGAACATACAACATTTTGTAAAAAATCACCTCTTGGCTGCATCAACAACAGACAAATGGAATTCCTTGCTGATGAGAGCGCACTGACCATGTTGTTGTTCTGACAGCTGAGAATCTGACAGCAACTTTTGAGCTACTTTTTCAAGAGCATCTTCTGGCCACGCACAAAAACTGATGAAAACATGTATTGATAATATTATTTTGAGATAAGAGGAGGATATTAAATAATAAACATTCTTCACCTATCATAAAAGCTGGATAAATTTTCATTCAGAGTGGATTTTAATTTCGGGCAGCAAAAGTAAAAATAAATAAATAAAAATTGCTTCAAATAACGGAAAATTCCTTCGCACCTGGTTTGTTGACAAATCTTTCATAGCTTCAAAAGTGATCAAATTGAGTTGATCGTGGGCGTTTTGGAAAGCTTAGGAACCTAATGGTTGGTCTTTGTACATTCGCTTTTATTACTTCCCTTTCAGCACTCATCCAAAGGGGTTTATGTTTGCATTGCTGCAGTGAAACATGAGGATCGTTCAGAAAGTAAATTTCCATTGTTCCTTAAGCACTGTTTGAGTCAAAAACATTCTAGGTACACAGATTAAAAGGTTATAGTTCCAGCTCTTTAAAAATATATTAGTTATTTAGTATATGAATTCGTTTTGTATCGTTTTTCTTTCTCTTTTTTTTTCAACAAAATACTCAGATATACACTAAAAAAATAAGGAAAATAATCTTTGAGAGCAACAATATTTGACTGAGCATAGAATAATAATATGTAAGCAGAGAGCTGATCTTACCCATCAATTGTGCACAGGTTAATTAAGAATGGAAACGAGCGTATTCTGTGCCTGAAAACCTTGCCAATTGGTGACATGGCAAAAGCAAAACGAACATTACTCTTGACACGCTCAAGGAAGAAATTGTACAAAGCAAGAGGAGTTGTGTCTATCTTGCTTCCCTGAAATCAATAAAAAAAAAAAACCATCATAGGCTACATTATTTGACAAGATATCCTAATGCATGATTTTGGCAAAGCTACATTTTTATTTTTTTCTGCCTTGTATAGAAAAAGGATGTATGTACATGACTTAAAACAAGTATTTCTAATTGTTAGAATTTCTTGCTTTAATATAAATAGAATAATTTTTTGCCACTTGCAACGAGTGTTCAGTAAATACCTTTGCAGGTCTCTGTCTGGTTGATAGAATTGCAGTGACGCTATTTTGTAAAGAGGACATAGAAATAGTCAACACTGCCGAGTGCAAGGAGATATTGTAACGATGAACCTCCTGTGCTCCTTGTAACTCCTTTGCTTTGTCTCTCTTAGTTGAAATGGGCACGATAAATTTTGCGTACGGAATTCTTAGGAGCTTCTTGCGATGGCTGCACTTAAAGAAAAGCACAGCCTGGAATGGAGCAGTACAGTCCTCATAATATTTATTAACAACTACGTTCATATTGGATCAACTTAACATCATTTTATACAAGGGTATTGTAAATTGGCCAATGCAACTCACCAAATCTCTCGAGACAATCACCATCTTGTCAACAATGTCCGTTTTTTCATCCGAAGCAAATAAGTTGGGAATGTCGCCAGTGTGTAAAATAGTGTTGATGTCTTCAAGAATCAAATCATCTACAATCTGCCCATCGACTATCAAAAAAGTTTGCGCTTTGCCATCACAACCAGCTTTACAGAGAAGTGTTTTCAAGTCCTCTCGCCAATTTTCCATGCTATAACTTTTTATGATATTAATCTAGCCAAAGTAAAGTCAAACAAATATTAGCAGGCACAAAGGACAAATTACACTATTGAGTGAGAGTTGATTAAATTCAACGGTTCAGATACATAAGGCCAGTGTTTAAAAATGAGATTTAACAAGGAGAGGGCCAACGAATTTTGTTGTAGGCCTAAGCCAAGCTAGATTTTTCTTTTATGCGAGGATTATTACACTCTTTGTTTTTTGGTAAACTGGTTATGGGAGCATTCTCACGTAATCAAGTAAATTTAAATGTTTTATGAAAAATTTCTCTTGATGATTTCAATACTTTTAAAGCATTTGATTCCTCTTTATTTCTTTGTGTCACAAAAACAGATGCTTTAAATTAATTAGAATCATGCTGGACAAAGATGTGTAGCAGTTATCAAGATTTTTCTTCCCTCTAGATTTTCCTAAGCTTTTCTCAGGACAAATCTGAATGCTAATGACTTGGAGAAACTGCCTGTGGATGCAATATTGAAAAAGCTTGATTTCATAGATTACGCTTGTAGGTTGAGGATTAGATATTACACATTCTTGATGTGCACAGCTGGATTTTCATGACATTTTACATACAAAAGTGTACTAAGGTGGCTTTCTCTCTTCTAACCAGTAGATCTCTTCAGCGGTTACTAGACTGATATAAATAGAAGGTTTTCTTTTATTTTTTTTTTCGTTTATTTATTTTATTTTTTAATAATCATTAAAACTAACTTTTACTCCCTTAAATTATCTCTCCAACTTGAGTCAATTGCATCACTCAATTCCTTTTCCATATCTTTATCAAGTCAGACAATTAGAGGATTGTAGACTATCAGAGGAGGTACCTAGAGCTCGTCCAACATCAAGACACAAAGAAAAGATAAAAAAATCAATTTATACTATACACCTATCCGGGTGAAAATTCATTTTATTCCATTTCAGCTTAGTTTTATACTGTCCTACTAACGAGGACAATATTTTAACAACATTTTAGTTTATTGATCTGCTTGAATGACAAATAGTAAGAAAGTTAACATACCTGAAAAACAGAGTAGTCAGCAATGTGGGCAGCCAGTTTCACTATGCTCTGCCGTCCACTGCCACCGATTCCGATTAGCAGTACATTACCATTGTCTTGTTCTAGAATACGAACAACTCTTGATATGTGTTCTATTGCAAACCAGAACATTACCATTGACATGGGCTTTTTGCATAAACTGTTGTATTCCTTGAGGTAGAACTCCATTTTTTCTTTTAAAGCATCCATGTCTTTGATCTGGAGCAAAATTGAGATGAAGAGATTAAGCTTAAAAAGAACATTTTTTTTTTTTGTATGTTGTTTTAGGCTGTTGTTTAGGCTATCCGGGGGATACTGCGGCCTTGGAAGGGACAAAAGAACATGTTTAGACAGAAACTGAAAGTGAGAAATTTCCAAAAAGAGAGAACTAAAAGGCAGCTTAACAAGGTTACTTTTTGAAAAAAAAATAAAAACTACATGAATCTCATCTGGAGAAAGTTGAAATTGCAAGGATTTCCTGTTTCCTTGCTAACAGCACTGCAGAGCACAGGGTACTGAATCATTGAGATATGGTATTGCTTTCTCCTCCTTGGCTGTTAATAACTGTGTTGCGGCATCACAAAGCTTTGTGACCCTTCTCTAATCATAAACTTTAAAATAAAAGCATTTCACAAATTCAAAGTTACTTTAAACTTAACCAAAACATTTACACATTGTGAGGTAAAAAAGTGCAGGAAAATACAATAATGAATGCTAAGAAATTAGTTCACTTGCTGATGTTACCTACCTCATCATACACTTTCCTTTCAGAGCTTGGCTCCATAAAACTACCAAAAATTAAAGTACTGAGGTGTTCAAATTTCAGTTCATCGCAGTTGGAGGTTTTTTCATCTGCAAGAAGCTCGTTTAAATTGCACTTTAAATTCGTCAATGAGGATTCTTTTAGAGCATTAAAAAATTCTTTTCTGAAAAAGAGAAACAAAGGGAAAAACTATTTTCAATAGAATGGAATGATTTTGCAAAAAAAAGAACAAAAAATATAAAAATAAGTGAGCCAAAAAATAAACATGGTTTTCAGTAAGCTCATGGACAAAATATCATCAAACCGCATTCTCAACCTTAAACCATCAGTTTCGATTTATTGCATGCTCACACCAAAACGTGAGTATAAAATAAAAATTAAACATTAATTAATAATACATATTTTATGGATATAATGGACCACTAGACAAGGTACAAATTTAAGCAATCCGATACATGTCTCTGAACCAGAATTTAACGTAGAACACAATTCGCACAACGAAAATTACCGAAATCAACTCCTTCCGAAGATATTTAATGATTCTTGATGCGTGAATTCAAACCACCTGCTCATGAAAACTCAATGCTCTACGTGATTCACATCGCGCGCTAAACGTTATCATGAACGTCTCTGCGATTATAAAATCTGGCAACCTCAATCTTGACGCTTTGACTCAGCTGTAGCAAATTACTTATAGTTTGAAAAATACATGACGGGAAATGAACATTGCTCGATTGAGAAGCTAGCTGAAACCGTTGTAGTGCGCCATTTGACTTACGTAAGGCTTTGAGTTTCTTGTGAGCGGGCAGTTCAAATTCCTTGTAACCAGTGTGAAATAAAAACGTTAATATCTTCGTTCGGAGTTGGTTTCAGTAGTTTTCGTTGTGCGAATCGTATTCTAGGTGAAATTTTGGTTAAGGATCATGTATCAGATTGCTTAAATTTGTACCCTGTCTAGTGGTCCATTGAATAATATATATTGACAGTGAAACTTTCAAGCAATGCATCTCAGTTAGCGATGTTGCAGACTTCTTCCCACACTTTGTCAATTAAAAGGAGCACCATTCAAGGTCAATTCTTAAGAATCTTGTTCTTTTCTTCTTTAAGCGAAGTAAATTTTGAAGAAACTTCAAGGAATAATGTTGATTTTTTTTCTCCTTAAAAATTAATTAGGAGCAGAGATTTATAAACACCACAAATGAAATGCGTGGTTTGGGAGTTGCATCATCAACATCTCATAAATATGACTCGATAGTATTTTTTTCTTAAATATAATTAGGTAATAAAGTGTAATACTGATAAAAAATATATGTACGTATTATTAATTGGTTTTTTTTAGATTCTTTCAAGATAATCTGAAACCAACAAAAAATAACTCAACTTCAAATTTCATGAAATTTAGAAGATTTACTTGTTCCTCTTTCTGCGAATAAAATTCAAGATGAAAATGACTGGATGACTCTTGACTTACTGTTCCTTCCCCTGAAGTAAACGGTCTGAGAAAACACGCGTAGTTTCATGCACCCACAAACGTAGTAAATTCTCCGACTCTGGGCATCGTGTGGAAGGTAGTTGCAAAATTCCATTGACAACCCTGGAACAATCTCGTAAATTGAACCTATACTGGCACTGAGTGGGACTTGGCAAAAACTTGCAAGTGACCATTTTGTAAATATGTAAGGTGGCTTTTATCACTGCCTGAAAAAAAAGAAAAAAAATGTACAAAAAATTTATAATTTGAGCGTATGGGACAGACATGAAAGCAAGGAAATCCGAGTTAATATTTTTTACACTTCATGATCCATAAGAAAATCTTGACTTTTCACCTTGTAAATTCTTGCTCTATAAATTCCATTTTTCTTTGAACAAGTAATAAATATAATTAAATACATGAATAGTAGTGATAAAAAATAAATAAATGTTGACTAGCCCAGGATAGTTTATATTACTACGACGATCCCGATCCAGTCTCATGCAACCTCTTGATCCAGACTGATGTTGAATTTGATGAAGAGGGTGAAAAAAAAAGTGTTTGAGAAATTTTAAGTCTCAAAATTTGAGAAGCCGAGCTCCAATGATCCAGTCCCATTCGTAAAAAGCGCTTCCCTTCCAGCGCAATTAGTAAAGGGGTCTAGGGCTTATTTTCTCATAACTTTTTCTTCTCTCCTTTCCTCTGCCCACTTATTTTTTTTCTCTTTTTCTCCTATTGGATTGGCCCTGTGACACTGTGACAGACCGGGCCCACCAGGAAAAGTCACAATAGTCCCGTATTGTTCGTCTGGGTCTGGCTCTACCAATCTATTGTATGCATCCAACCAATTTATCAAATGAATGTAAATAATGCTCTTAGTTCAAAACCCTTCACCTACAGCAATCCTAAAAAATGATTTTACTCACTTGACTAAGTCGACAGATATTTTCATTGAAGCCTTTGGCTAGATGCCAGTCTAAAATCTTTGTGAAAATTCCAAGAATCATTTTGTCTTCAAAAAGATCAGAGCCTATGGGTAGCATGTGTCTGAGAAACCGAAAACAGACATTATGAGAACCACCTCCAGGTGGTAAAGAGACACCGACAAATAGCTGCAGGAAATAAAGAACAAATGGACTCCTTAAAATTACAAATACCAAGCGACGAATTCTTACAAATTTTCCACAACACAGAATGATGAAACATCTTTTTTAAAAGTTTGTCAGAGCTTCATTGCAGTTCAAGATAAATGCAGCTCCAAATTTTCAGGAGCCAGTGATGTTTACTATTTTGATTTTAAAAAGCATAAGGAATAGAATTTCAAATTTGTACCTCTTCCAAATAAATCTTGAACAAATCAAATAAATTTTAAAACACTCTTAAAGGTCTGACTTCCGTAATATCAGTAATATCATTAAAATTTCAGCATTTTTCGCATACTATGTTCGAGTCTTAAAAATAATATTCCTTTGACTGTAAAACACATCTTGAAAAAAGACCGCAGCTGAGGTGATAATTATTTTCAAACCAATTAAATTTTAAGTTTTGAGACAACAGTAAAATTACTTTTGAAACTTACAATATCAACGAGGTCAATCCGGGTTTTGTCATTCAAATCATACCAATGCTTATGGTCGACCCACTGGCGAAGAAGTTCTATTGGAGGTTGAGTTCCAAATGAATCTTTAGATGAAATGCTCAAATCATCAATGAAAAGAATATATTGTTTCCCCATTTGTGGTCCAAAGACACCTTTCCTACGCCTGAAGTACACAACAGGGAACATTTCATTACAGGTTTTTGAAACTCTCGGATTTTACACTGAGATAAAATCAAATAGCATTTACATGGATACACAAATGGGCCTTTGCAGCTCAGCATTGCCATACTAAGGGCAGAGGCGGATCCAGCAATTTGGCAACACCGGATTTCCTCCATTTAAACCTATCCTGGAAAATCAATTCTTGTCGGAGCAACTGACCCCTCCAAGAATCGATACATTTCCATAGGTTTAAATGGAGAAAAGACAATGCTGTCAATTTTCTGAATCCGCCAATGACTAAGGGAGAACACCGTATGAGCCTCAGACATTGCCAAATATGTTCCAACATTGTGGATCAAGTTTACACTTGTCTAAGCGAGTTTCATCTTGTTTGTTTGTGTTTTCATTGAAATTGAAACATTCTGTCTACCTCAGTTGAGCAAGTGGTTCACACTGTGACGATGCATTTTCTCTTGTTGAGTAATGAGCTTGCCAGCAGGGTTGAAGCAAGAGCAACAGTATGCCATCTTTTATTGTGCTCATAATAATTTATCTGATACTTTAACTAGGATGTATCAGAGTTTTAAAGAAGGGGTGTAACTTCCACCGACCCATAGACCACATTAATATAAAAATGAGAAGTGCGTATATTTACACTTAATCATTGTTTCTTAAAAAAAGCCTTGAGCTGAGGGCTAAGGCCTTGTAAGATTGACAGAATCTCGCTCATATCATTGGTCTCACCATTCATTAAATACGCATACCAAGCAACTGAAGTTGATTAAACTTGATTATACTTTACGTTAATTTACTGAGTGGTAGTTCTTACCTATCCAGCTTCGACATGATTATATCTTGTGTTTGATTTGCAGATGTGCAGCCTGAAAAATTAATTGAGTTTGAAATGAATTTGTTTTTAGGAGCATTTGCCAGATGATCCAGGACAGTTAGAGACTTTCCTGTACCTGATGGACCTATGAATAAAACTGGAATTCTTGAATTCAGAAGGAGTCGTAGAAAGAATCTCTGCTTTGTCAGTTCTTCAGTAGGAATTATGAGAGAGTTTGCCTGCAAACAGTCATAGATGGAATATTAATAGATTGTAAAAGCACTTTGAATATTGAAAAATTAGAGATTTTTACTTGTATTAGAGCAATACAAGGGTGTCCCGAAAGGTAAGTTTTCTTTCTCTTTCTCTACGACTATTGAAGATAGAGAAAAGCCGTAAAATAAGTCTGACAACTAACTACTAAACTTAGCATTTTTATTTTTGTTTCCTTAGAATTCAGCATTTTTTGTGAATTTTACTTCAAAATTAGTCATGGCTGGAATATTTTCAAAACAGCTGGTGAAAATATTTTCATGCAACACAAGAGAGCCCTTAATCCTAAGACAGAGCCCGCTTGCAGCACTTTCTGCAGACTGCGGTAAGTAATTCAACTTCCAATGAGAATATGACAAAGCACTGATAAGCAAATATGTACCTTGGCATTGGGAGAGAGAGGAGCTTTGTCTGCTATTTCAAGCCATGGAATCCACTGCCCATTGTTCTTCTTGTCGTACACTGCATCAAACACGGAGATTTTTTCAGGAAACATCTGATTTTTAGTTAGTTTGAATTTGACAGGTCTCGGATGCTCCTCTATTTCACCACTGCAAAGCTGTCTTATATATCGGTTAAAAAGAGTTTTACCATCACCTGAAACGCAATATAAAAATAATGAAACATAATTGGTATCCCTTCGATTTTTCATTGTTTTTTAAGTAACCTTATAAAAGCTTAGGTGTCCTCAAGATTCTACCTCAAGATAGCTACAGTTTATAGCGCATTAAACTCCATGGTTTTTTCGATTTACAAATGCCATTTCTGGCTTGAATGGCTGATACCAGGTTGCCGAAGAAGGTGCTGGAGTGAGTCCCCCCAGGTAAGTGACGGAAAGGGCGTTCAGTCAAACGGTGGGTGGAGGGCATTTGTAAAGAGATGTAGAGATGCCAGCTTCCGGAGGATCTCTACCATGACAGATTCCTGTGACGGGTAGGCATCGCAGAGGGCCCTAGCGTGCCGTAAAGGCGGCTTATACATACATACTTATGACATTCTTCTTTGATACAAAAAGAAAAAATATTAGCTGCAACGGATGATGTATTGATCCAGTAAATCTAGTATTTAACCACAAATAAGGTCTTACAGTTTCTTATCAGAAACAGGAACTTCAGGATCCCCATAAGAAAGAGAAAAGTTTATTGAAAAATCCCACTGGGAGATCTGTGGAACTAGGGGAAATTCTATAACAAACCCTAATTACTTATTAATACCTACTCTGACTACTTAATTAAGAAATGAAACTAAAAGCTATGTTTGAATATAACTCAAGGAATTGTTTTGGCTATCAATTATCATTATTGCAGTATTTTTTTGAGGAAGCAGCCAATGGTTTTTTAAGCATAGATTTTTTTTACCATTTTTTTAATATAACTACGATACCATATAGTGTTTTTCCATTAGGGCAGGGGGAGGGTCCTAAATCTCCATGGACGCCCATTACAAAAATCAATTGGTGACTAAATAACAATCACCTGAACCAAAACACTACCATCAAGTACGACCAAAATAAAGATCCTGTTTCAGGCACTTGAAAAGAATTGTTCTTCACTATGAATAAAAGGAAATTATTATGATTGATTGAATTAAGAGAGTATTGCTCACCAAGCTCCTTAATGACAAGCTTAAATTTGTTACAGGCCTGTAATAGGATATGGTCATCTTGGATGTGTAAATAAAAATCTGTAGGAGTCTTGCTGCTAGCTGTGGTTAGAGAGGAAAAGACTAACAGGGAATAAAATAAAGACCTAAATTACTTTACGATGTCGATTGATATATTACCGCTGAACAGGAGCAACTGTTAAACCATATCTGTTCATTAAATATGCTCTACAACAAAATAAACTCTTCATTTCTGAGTTCTCAATAGATTCGAGTATCACCAACCTGTTAGAAAAGATCCAAATCCCCAAAAAATTGCGAACAGCAGTGTGCATTGAACCCATTGAATGCTAGACTTTTGGATATTCTCCTCTTGGATTAAGCATAAAAAGAGTCTGGAAAAATTCTGAAAATTGTAAACAAAATATTAAAGGAATATTTTGGCTTGTAGTTTTCAATGATAAAAACTGGACGATTAATTTTAAGATAAGTTAGAGTGTTGTTCTAGAAAATGAATAGTATTCAGAATCTCTATCTTGCGAGTAACATAATTTTAAATCATTTGCAAAATGTTCCTGGGTATCGACTCATTTCAGGACACTCTTCAGTAAGTCAGGATCTTCATTACCATGGAGATCAGCAAAATTGAAAAAAAAATTAATTAACGAAGACAAAATTTCAAAACTCAGCTTGCGCTATTATCCTTTTTTTTCAATTTTGCTGATCTTTATGGTAATAAGGAGCCTAACTTACAGAAGAACGTCCTGAAATGAGTCAATACCAAGGAAAATTTTGCAAATTCTTAGAAATTATGTTGATTGCAAGATTAATCTTGAACAGTTTTTAATTACAGGTTGGTCCGTCCATTAATTTCTTTGTCTTTTTGACAACAAGTCATAATTACTTCTTAGGCATGGATTTATACACAAATGAGAGTTTCACTAAATGAATGAACCTCCTAAAAAGGGGTTCCAAGGAGCATTGAGTCAAGGTTCTAAATTTTCTCTAAAACCTCAGTTTTAGTATACAATAACTTGGATGGTTAAAAAAGGAGTGATGAGGAGAAGTATGTTAGTATGATTAGTGCTGGATACTCTTAATTTTTAAGAAAAAAATCTTTGAGAATAAGAAGATGTAATTTGAAAATGGATGATTGACAACTAGATTTGAGGACTTATATGTGACAATAGCGGTCACTGACATCCGCCATTTATAAGGAAAACTCTTTTTTCGAATTCTGGAGCCGTCAAGAATGCCTGTGCAAAGTTTCTGACTTCCAGCGCAATTTTTCAACAAGATATGAATTGACAACCACCTTACTTGTAAAAACAGCGGATATGAGAATCCACTGTTCTCCCCGGCCACACAGCAGCACTATAAAGATTCGAACGCACTTGCAATAACTGCCCGCGCACCGGCCATCGGCTGCAGCTGACACTCAAATGATACGTATCGGGACCGTCTCGCCAGAATTGTTGATTTTTTCTGATTTGATAATTTGTTCCTTATTTTTATTGTAGAAGTTACAAACAGTTTAGTTTTTTTTCAATTTTATCAGATGACTCATCACTGACTTATTTTTGGTTCATTTCAATCATTTCACCAGCCTTACCCTTCCTGAAGACTTTGTTTCATGCATAGAAAAACGTTCTCAGTAAAAATAGCAGATGTCACATTTTTTTCAAATCGCTGATACTCCTTCAATTTTTTACTTATATTAATCGTAAAATGCGTGTTTTTAACAGGAAGAGTTGCTCTTCATGAAAATCTTTATAAGAATCCTCTCAGTTCTACGGGCGGCAAAGTGCAAAGCTTCGAAAACTACAAACGTGATTATCTCACAATAAGAAAACTCAAAATCTGCTATTCTTACGATTAAGTCATCATGTCCTGTAATAAACTTACGGAAAATAAATGCATTTCTGAGGATCCAATAAAGAAAGTGCAAGAATTTAGGACAAAATTCAAGATTGGAGAGATGAGCCATTCTAGCAAATCCGACAGGGAATCAAGTTGATCCGATGTCAATTTTTCTGTTAGCGTGCAGATAAAGGATTTCATCAAGGTTTTCCATCCTAAATTCTTAGGATCAAAGTATACAACTCCACAGCGAGATATTGATGACGGGGAGGCATGCTCTAGATCATTTGTTTCAAAAATCAGGGAAATTTTGTTTGAAACCTGAAACATAGCAATTGAAATAAAGGGATACCTGATATTTTTAATTTTTTTATATACATTGTAGCTTTGATGAGCTGAGTAGATAGCTTTTAAAAGGATGTTTCCTGTATTTTAGAATGATTAATTAAAACTACTCAAAACATCTTTCCACAGATTCCTGCTAAAATAATTTGAGAAAGAAAAAAAGAAAATTGTTACAGCTGTAGGGATTTGTAATCGAATAAGATTATGCTAAGAAAAGATAAACGATACGAGATAGAAAACCAAACTTGACTCACATTACTTAAAGGATATTATTCCCGCGAGAAAAGACCGAGAAAAACTTGGTTTGTAATGAGGATGAAAGATAAGGGAAAGAGGCGATTCAAGTACTAATACAATGGGTATTATTGGATACAGAGGCCTCGCTGAAGCAAAAGAAATTATACAAACGCCTGTTGGAAGAGATATAAAAAATTTAAAAGTGCATGCTTCTTAGCTAAAGCTTGGTTTCCATGATCAAAATGGGTCATTGGTGCATCTGTTGAGTGTTGTTGATCAAAACTGAGGGACGCCTCTACTTTTTGATCAATGTTACACTCAACAGTTGCATTGAAGACCCATTTTGATATTGGAAATCGGGCTCTAGTCCCAATTATATCTACATTCTCTCGTCTATTATCACGCCCGTTTTTCTAAGGTTCTAAAATTTAGTTTTTACTTCCTTCCTTCTGACAGGAATGAGTGGAGAGGTAGAGCATTTTACATTTCACTATAATTGGTATATTTTAGTAAATTGTTGAAAAACTGTTTACTTTGATAATTTCTCCGGACATTAAGCAAAACTTTTTATTTTCATCCATGACTGAATTCAAATTTTCAATCCAAATTGGATCAATTGGGCCATCAAAGACCAACCACTTTTTGTCAAGACTGGGACCTGAGGTAAATTCTCGCAAGGCGTTTGCTATAATTCCTGGAACAGAGATGAAACAATAAAATGAGTAAACTGGAATGAGAGTCTAGTAATGAAAAAAAAAGTTCCAACATTTTTTCCAACATTTTGCAATATTCATAAAAAATGCTCAAATTTAAATCATCCTGGAGTACATGCCATTGCCGTTGACAAAATTTAATTGTGAAATAATTTAAAATAGCTTTAAAAATACATGTTAAAAAAATCAAGCTCGATTCAACTGAGGGCGCATCTATAGAATTTGAAGGAGGAATACACTGCTTCCTATGGCAAAAATGCTGTATCTCTGTTCCAGATTTGGCACATTTTTCACAACGCATTTTTGAAAAAATGTTCCACTGAAAGAAAAGTTGCAAACATCCATCTTTAGTACTTTCAGAATAACTGTGTTATACCACTGGGAAGTTATAATGAAAATATGAAGCCAGAAGATAACTAACTTTTCTTGAAATGGAGTATTTTGTCTCCAAAATAAATAATATGTCTGGAATGGAGCTACAGAGTTTTTGCTGTAGACAGTGGTCCATAGCTAGGATTTAATATTTTTTACTTCTCAACAAACACAGCAAACACATCAAACAAATGGAACACACTAAACTCATGAAACAGGTCAGACACAACATTCCCAACAGGCACAATATACCCAACAAACATACCAACCACATGATCATTGGCTAAAAAGGCTGGCCCTTGTTGAGATTGACTGCATTTCGGGTATACGGCTAAAACATAGCCATAAAAATACATAAGCAAAGACATAAAAAGCATAGACAGAAAAAGGTGCAAGGGCTCTCTAGTGTCCATGATATCCAGAAAAACCAGGAAACTAACAGGAAGATTTCCAAGCTTAACCTACCATCAGACCACTCATGCGACTCTGCATCAAACTGGCCAAACAGCTGACCCATTGTCACAGCTTTCGGATTGATTATTTTGTAAGGAATTTTTGTTTCTTTCATTTTCTCACTGGTAGTGTCTTTGATGTAACCAATGGACTCTGCAAGAACCTGTTTTTAACACAAAAAAAGTACAAATGTAAAAGTTAGCTGCTTTGTAATATGCCTGACTTAGAAAAAATTAAAATTCTTTTATGTTACAGAAAGGCCACTTATAAAGCCAAGCGCATCTTTCCTTTTTCTCCCCAACTTTTTTTTCTTATTAATTAAAAAGATGAGAGCAGCTTTCTTTTGTTTTGAAAAAACCAAAATTCAAGGTTTAAAAACTTTCATTAGTAGTCTATTAAAAGACGTAAACATTTCAGTGAATAAATCAGTGATTTTTTTCAAAAAATAACTGGTTTTTTTTTCTTCTTCAATTTTTTACCTACGGAAGATGCATTTTGGACGCCTCAGAGTCCATCCTCAGTTTTGCAACCGACCCATTGTCTTCTTCTTAGATTGTAGTCCGAGGGCACTACTGCAGCTAATGATTTTATTTATTTAATTATAAAGGGACAATATCTCCATCCGCAAATCTGTGCAAGGTTCAAAGATTAAACCATTGCTTTATTGCGTATGCAACTAACCCACTTTTACCCAAAATAAAAATATTATTTGAAGCGTTGCAGAACATGCATTTATTTTTTACAACTTTAAAAGCCATTCTTAGAATATTCTATGAGGACAGATTTTTACAATGATAATTAAGAGAGCAGAGGAGGTTCATACCATGTAATAATAAAGTACTAAGTCTTGTGTAAGTAGTAGTCTTGTCTTGTCCAGTGTGGAAAATTTATGATATAGTAAACACACCTGATAACTGCAAGTTTTCCCACTGAATGGTTCTCCAACTAAGATAATACTGTGCCGCTGAACTATTACTTCATACAACTGTAACAATTTTGAAACAACAAATTCTGTTGCTTGAAGGTTGTGTTTTTTTAAACTGTTTTTCAAAGCATCAACAAGTTTTGTTGAGTCATCCGGTATCGGAACTGCGTCTGGAAACAAGTCTCGGTAAATATTCAAAGCTAATTGAATATCCTGAAAGGAAAATCGAAACTTTAGATGAAAAGACTATGAGTTTAATGTTCAGATGAATTGAATTTAGAAGAAAGGAAATGGTGAAACAAGCCTGAAAAAAGCACTAAGATCATAAACAAGTTAACTGGCATAATGTATTTCATACTAGCTTCCGCTTATGCCATGGGTTTATCAGTGGTTAATTTGACGAGAAAATTAGAATGTGAGGCCTTTAAATAATTTTTTGCTTTGACTTTAATGCCGTGCTGGTCACTCTCCCTTGGATCATTGAACAGCCCCATAACTGAATGGCAACACCAGAACTATTGGAATTGATAATTCAAAAATCAATTATCTCTTCATAACCGATAGGACATAAAAGAAGTACGCTTTTTCTGCCAAAATTCACAATTATGCTGGAGTGCTACGTTGCCAAATATCTCAATATTGTTTTAATTTTTCCTTTGAAACTTCTGCAAATGCTTTCATAAAAATTAAAAAGGATTAATTTTCATGACAGAAGGGTTTGAGATGAAACTTTCAAGTGATTCTGTTCATTAGTTCAAATATTGGACAAGTTGGAGAGGTTTGACGATATAGCGCCTTAGCACAAACGGCGCTCGTGATACTTTGGCCAGAAAGTGACAATTTTTTCTATTACAAGGCCTGACTGGCAAATGCATTATGCCCCTAACCCTGTTGAGACTAAATCAGTGTTGGGTACAGTTCTGTACCTTACTTTTCCGAAATATCAGTTAAAAGCAACATTTTTTTTTCTTCTCCTTCTTCTTCTTTTGGCTACAGAACATTACTTCATCCACTTTTGGTTCCTGCGACAGACCAAGCAGGATAGTCCTCCTTTTACAGGTTTTTTACATTATGAAACCTTGAACTTTTCAATTTTCTAAAAAAAAAAAAAATAAACAAATGCAGAATTTAGAAAAAAAACTTCCAAACCTGTGACAACATTTTTGGATGGTTCACATTGACAATTGCTTGCAAAACAATGGAACTTTCATCATTTGAGGGAAATCTGAGTTTCAGCTCACTGGCTAAATTTAGAATTGTTTTGATGGTCCGCATGCCAAAATCATAAAAAAACTGTGATGAGAGAAGTGCTGAGCAAAGGTCACATGTGGTTACAAGCTTTTCCGCCAACCTGCAGTTGAATGATAAACAGAAGGAATTACTTTTTTGACCGGCAAAACTCACCGCAAAATTCTGTTTTGTTTTGTGATCCTGTGCAAATCAACATTTTGAATTTGAATTTTCTGAGTAATTTTCATTTTATTTTCTTCATAACAACAAAAAGATCATGAGGGATGTGGGCAACAGGGGGGGGGGGGGTTTTTTGGGCAGCAAATGTGAAAGAACAGTGAATAGCAAGATTATAATTAAAGAAGTTATTGATCATTGATTAATTTGTGTTTAATGGTGATTGTAAATTAAATTATTGTTAAATTCCAATTTATTAAATAATGATGTGCAATGCTGTTATGGAAAAAGAGTGAGATAATAAAATTTGATCTTAAAATATGGACTCCTCCAATAGGGAATCGGAAAAAGGGATCTCATGGTTATTGAATGAGTGCTCTACCTCAGAGCCACTTCCTGCACCGGAAAACTGATGGCTGAACCGGATATATACACTTGGGCGCAGCTTCGCCTTGCCCAGCCCTCCCGGCGCAGCGTCACTGGGTGTCCAACGCATGCTCAACCAGAATCATCGGAATTTTTTAGGCTGTTTCCAGGAGGCATTGGTAAGAACAAAAAAAAGATGGTTATTATAGATTCATCCAGAGAGTTCATAGGAATTTTTCCGGCCTGATCGGAGGCAGCAGCTTGGGATGTTCCCCTTGTAAGTAACACTTTTTTAAATGAATTTCTATGATGATGAAATGATTATAATAAATATAATAAAATGATTTTCGATTTCACCTTTTGGCAGAGCGGAATCCAGCAGCAAAGAGGGATACGACACAAATCATCGTAAAATCCGGCACCAGTAGGGCTACAGGTCTAAAGCGAGCTTTTAAATTATCTGGTAAAGGATGACACCCGATGGTCCTAAAAAAGCATGATCAAAATGAAAACGGACTTAAATGTATATGCAGGACAAATGAGAATTTTTGTTTGTTTGTAAGGCCAATATAGAATGACTCTTACAATGGTTACATCATGCCTGCATCGCTTTCTACAACCAAGGGTCCTTTAATTCCATAAAAGGATGAAAAATCTCTCCCGCTCTTAATTAACTACAATATGTTATTATCGCACCCTAATGTCGGAAATCATACAGTCAGCAAATTACTCAAGCTTTCTTGTAGGTATGAGTTCCTTTTAGATTTTTAGGTATGCTTTAATAGAAAATTTCTACAAAACATATCGTGATGGCAAAAATTTAAAACATCAATGTAAAAAATTACTCAGCACGCAAAATAATTACCACATTTGCATGAATTTATTGTTTACCAAAAACGAAGTTTTCTCAATTTTCGGCCGCCTACATTTAACAGTTAAGGGTTGATACATTTTGGCGAATATTTTTTTCTTTAATGCATAAAACATACCCAGGATTCAATGTAATAAAAATAGCACATGATGGATTGATTGTAATTTCAATTCCTTCAAAAATAAACCGCTCGGTTTTGCTAATGATAGCAGCATGAATGTTTTGAACTTGCTGAGCAATTACTGAGAGTACTTGCAGTTGAATTCTGTTCAATTCATCAAAGCACGACCAAGCTCCTGCTTGTGCGATTCCCTGAAAAAGGAGAATACCCATTACTTACAGCTCAATGGTTTTCCAGAAACTCTAAAAGCAAGATAAGGACCATAATTCAACCTCACCTCAGTTAAAGAAAAGCTCATTTTCCTATGTAAAAGATCTGATGAATCAAAGTCCTACATGAAAATGATAGAAAAATCAGAGCAGCTGACAGGTCTGAAAAACCCACTGCCTGACCTAACTCTAAGGCTTGATTTTCCCCAATGGAGGGGGTGAAGCGACTATAAAGAGAGACAGGAGGAACTTGGAAAATGAAGCAATAAGATTGGCATAGAACAAAAATTCAAGGAAGTTGGACTAAAGGCCTGTACTGAACATATTGTCGCCTGCATGATGGTTTACATGGGACGGATCCATTGGAAAAGCACGTTACTATTCTATTAAGGATTGAAAAAATGACAGAGTGGTGGATATAATTCACTTCCGAGAATAATGCAGGTTAAAAAAAATCAATCTCACTTGGTACTCAGTTGTGAACTCAGAAACTTTTCAGAACTCTTGTCTTTCAATATAGGTAAACTTACCTTAAAAAATTTTCCAATAACTCGATAGCCCAGATTTTCGGTGCAGTTGAAAATAATACACTGTTTAGCTACAGTCTTGGCTAATGCTTTCACAGTTTCTGTTTTTCCTGAAGCCGCTGGGCCTTCAAGGAGACCTCCTAGATTCAATTGAAGAGCAGCCATCATTATTCTGGAAAAGAAGGCTCTTTTATTACTTATAGGTTTGTTGCAAGTGTTAAAAAATTGTTTTTTGTATTACATGTTCATCCTCATGAGGCATTGTACATAGGGTGTCCCAAAACAACTGAGACCAAGTCTGTGATTCGGAAAGTATGATAGATATTGAAATGCGGTTTGTGAGAGGTTGTAGTCCATACTATTAGCTATCAAACCTCAAAATTTGAGCTTATTCGGTTGAAAACTCACCGAGTTATAACAATTTTTCGGGGACGAGTTGAACAGAACCCTCCACTATTTTCGAGTAATATTTTTCATTTCGCGAACTGTTCGTGAGTGGCGCCGCAGATCGCGACGCTGTGGATCAGGTAAAGGGATGAAGTGGTCACTGTTCTGGATGCAGGTTTCATCCTGTTAACATGTGTTTTCATCGCAATTGTCCGCGGGAAAGCTCAGTGCCGCCGAAACCGTCAGGCGTGACCAAGTGTTTTCTCGCGAAGCGCAGTGAGTTTCCCCGCTGAGTTGAAACAAGCTGCCGACTCTCGACCCTCGGAAAAGCATTTATGCCAACGAAGAATGGTGCTTTTCCCAAGTCGATTTAGTCCATAAGCAACTGTCATCTCATTTAAAGTATCGAAGTCAGAAAGGCCACGGCGAACGCAATAGCGAATGCCATAACGTTGTTCTTGTTTCAACTCAGCGGGCNTTTTTTCTTTAATGCATAAAACATACCCAGGATTCAATGTAATAAAAATAGCACATGATGGATTGATTGTAATTTCAATTCCTTCAAAAATAAACCGCTCGGTTTTGCTAATGATAGCAGCATGAATGTTTTGAACTTGCTGAGCAATTACTGAGAGTACTTGCAGTTGAATTCTGTTCAATTCATCAAAGCACGACCAAGCTCCTGCTTGTGCGATTCCCTGAAAAAGGAGAATACCCATTACTTACAGCTCAATGGTTTTCCAGAAACTCTAAAAGCAAGATAAGGACCATAATTCAACCTCACCTCAGTTAAAGAAAAGCTCATTTTCCTATGTAAAAGATCTGATGAATCAAAGTCCTACATGAAAATGATAGAAAAATCAGAGCAGCTGACAGGTCTGAAAAACCCACTGCCTGACCTAACTCTAAGGCTTGATTTTCCCCAATGGAGGGGGTGAAGCGACTATAAAGAGAGACAGGAGGAACTTGGAAAATGAAGCAATAAGATTGGCATAGAACAAAAATTCAAGGAAGTTGGACTAAAGGCTTGTACTGAACATATTGTCGCCTGCATGATGGTTTACATGGGACGGATCCATTGGAAAAGCACGTTACTATTCTATTAAGGGTTGAAAAAATGACAGAGAGGTGGATATAATTCACTTCCGAGAATAATGCCGGTTAAAAAAAATCAATCTCACTTGGTACTCAGTTGTGAACTCAGAAACTTTTCAGAACTCTTGTCTTTCAATATAGGTAAACTTACCTTGAAAAATTTTCCAATAACTCGATAGCCCAGATTTTCGGTGCAGTTGAAAATAATACACTGTTTAGCTACAGTCTTGGCTAATGCTTTCACAGTTTCTGTTTTTCCTGAAGCCGCTGGGCCTTCAAGGAGACCTCCTAGATTCAATTGAAGAGCAGCCATCATTATTCTGGAAAAGAAGGCTCTTTTATTACTTATAGGTTTGTTGCAAGTGTTAAAAAATTGTTTTTTGTATTACATGTTCATCCTCATGAGGCATTGTATATGTATGTAGGATCATATACACATGATTCAGTTAATGTTCTCGACTAGCCCCCAAATTTAATTTTTTACCCCTCTTCCAAATAATAAGAATGATGTGAGTCTAAAAGCGAGAACCGACCAGTTTCGTATTTTATTGACAGTATCCTGAGAGGAACCAAAGTCTATGAAATAAAACTAGAAATTTTCCTGACGTATCGGTAATAATTCCTCTCAAATTCCGAGGAAGTTCCAGAAGAAAATTAAAGCCACCTCTTGTGTCATTCATTGCGAGAAATAAATGGACGTATTTATGCCAAAGGGAACTATGTACATAGAGTTTGCGTGTAACATAGTTCCTTTTAGCATAAATACGTCCAAATGTACCTACGAGAGTCTCAAAACTACTACAGGAAACAAGATAAGATCAGAAAAACAATGACCTTTTGCATTTTTTAGATCCCCAATTAGCAAAAAAAAAAAAAACCTTTGATTGAGGACGCTGCAAGTGGGATAATACATGTTTATGCCGAGTAAAAACACACTAATTTGTTGAAAATCTTTCTTGAGGTTATAATCTTATGTCACAAATCAAGATTTGCCTTACATTAAAGATCTGGCTCGAAGATATGATCTTGCCTCACATACCAAGATTTGCTTCGCATGAGAGATCTGCCTCATGCAGGCCCGGTCCTAAGATCGCCACACCAGGCATTTTCTGCTGGCCTGCTCAGGACCAAAAAGAGTACTGATTCAAAGGCTCATTCCAGATCATTTTACGAACCGTACTTGTTGAGAAATAAGACTCACATCTCACAGAAGATTCTTACAACTATGAAGTACTTATGTACTTGAAAGTGACATCATTTGGTACCTGTAGCAACGATCCGTTAACGGTGTGATGACTAAAATTGGAGTGTTTCCCAAGTATTCATATCCAAAATTGATGGTCGTGTCAACCATTGAGACCGATATTCTGTCATCAATACTATAATATCGTAACTGACGGAGCCAAAAGAAGTCTTCACTCCGATTAATCTTCTTTGAAATTAGTACTTCCAAGATATCTCTGGCTAGAAAGTGGGGAAATATTATATTTTGACTGATAAGTGTCATTAACTGACTTCTATGAGGAAAAAAACTAACTATGCTTGCAAAAAAGGATTGGGATCTTTTCTCAATCCAAAAGGTCTTACGAGGAAAAGAAGTCAGTCATAGTATATTCAAGATTATGCAGCTTTCTTTTTTTAGCCTAAGAGGGTATATGAATATCAACAGTGAATATCACACATATGAATCATATCAACATATGAATATCAATACCAGACCACTTATCTCAATTTACAACAAAGCAGATTTCCTATCATACTTCATTTTTGAACAAGGAAAACTACACAACGTCAATTCTTCAACATTTCAGTGATGTTTCCTCTCTATGTGAAGAAAACTGTGAAAACTTCAAGAAACGGTATTGATTTGTTCTCCTTCAAGAAAATGAGATAGAAGAGGAGATTTTTAAACAAGATATGAGGTCTTGTCAATATGAGATAAAGATAGTGAATATATTATGACGGCAATTTGCATCCTATTTCAAAATCATAGTCAAAAAAATAGGGTAGACATGTGGAGATCAATGCACTTGGCTCATGATGAAAGAGGAAGACACCCTCAGCATCACCTTGACTGACTTTGCTTCGTTAGAAACCAACCCCCTTGATTTCGCTTTCAGTCAAAGTGCAATGAATCGACTAATTTAGATAAAAATTGAAACTTCTTTATAGTGACAGGAGGATCTCATTTCCTATTGCCGGTGTTTATGATCAGATAGATCGATAAACAGCAAAGAGAAAAAATGCAAAAGTAATGCAAATCTTAATCAATGTCAGATATTGTATGATGAGGCTTTCAATTTTACTTCTTCAGTGACAGCAGGCGTGCTCTACAAAAAAGGTGACAAGAAAATGAACTGCTGTACCAACCTTTTATCTGTTCCCTAACTTCATAGATATGACTCCTTTTAGCTTCTACTTTAGAACGGACTATTGCCATTTTAAAGCGGAATTTTGGGTGTGGCAGAGATCTTGAGAGCTACATGATAATCAACAAATTCCTAATGCCTTTCATACTCACAACAGATACGTTGACCAGTTTCTATTTGCAGGAGATCTCTTGCTTAGCATGGAAGTATTAATGGTTATTGTAGTTGGTTCTCACCATGGACTTCTGTGTTGATTAAAGAGCCAAGAGTAATGCGGTGTCCAGCTGTTAACTTCCCATTCACTAAATTAATGAGCTCATCAATTCGCTGATTGCTCCTGTCAAGACACTTCTACAGAGGAAGAAAAAGAGAAATCAAAAGGAATGAAAACTTAGGCAAATTTAATGGTTGCTTAAAAATTATCTTGTATGTATGTTGTATGTCCTCAGTTCGAAATAATAATGGATTCATCAAAATTATATAAAAAAAGGAATTAAGTTGAGGAAGAAAGAGAATAGGTAATAGTGATGGTGATGACAGAACAACATCCCGGATATAGTGCTTACTGTAAAGGGTGCTAAAGTGGCTTTCATCATCGACATTGCGGTATCTTCGGCATCCAAGCATCCAAACATGCAAGCTCCCTATGCAGAGAAGATAAATAAATACATGCCGCTGGCTGATGGGATTAAATGTCTGTGGAAGTTGGATAAAGTGATAATTGTGCCTATTGTTATTGGAGCCATGGGAGAAGTTCCTAAAAAGCTGTTCGATAGCCTGCGAAAGCTCGGTTTTAGGAAGGAGCTGTACCAACAACTGTAAAAGGCAGCATTTTTAAGAAGCTGCAGAATTGTCAGTCCAGTCATTAGCAATGACTACCACCGCTAAAATGATCAAATCCACTTATAGTCATTTTAAACCCACAGATTTTTGACATTTTACATTTTAATATTTTCATTTTAGAATAATTGGGATTTGTGAATTTTTAGCTTTGAAACAATTTTTAAAATTTTTATCTTTTTTATTGAGTTGGTTGTAGGGAGCCTCAAGTTTGACTCTCCGTTGCGTTGGAACGCCGGGAGAAGTCAGGAGAGCCGGCCTCAGGCTATGGACGTTAAGGACATAATAAAAATAGTAATAATAAATTTTAAAAATCTTAGTGTTGCTTAAACATTTTGAACGAGATCTGAATATCATCTGTGTCTTGTTTGCATTATTATTATTATTGTCTTGTTGCATGTTTATTGCTTTGTTTGTTGTATGGAATATGAAAGGAGAAGCTACAAACCACTAAATTCGGAGAGTGGCTTTTACTGTTTTGGGGCAAATTTTGCTTTATCCAGGGTTTCTGAGGTTAAACCTTTAAAATAGTTGAGGCAGACTGTTTATCAAGGCACAAAATCTTTAAAATATTTTAAGAGCATAGCAAATTGTGTCCTGAGTTCAATATATTTGGTGTTATTCAGGTCTTAATTTATATGTTAAACAGCACAGTGGTAAGTCATAAAATGAGCACAGAAAAATTCTGAGTCTGAGAAATTACTTGTATATGTATAATAATGCACTGTTAAATTAGTGATAAAATAAATAATGATTTGAAAAATTTACGAGCTAAAAAAATAAGTTAGAAGACTTTCAATGGAAGTGACATTTATATCCTAACAAAAACATGTTGTGAATCATGGGTAACATACCTCTAGGGTGGATTCTATGAAGGCTTGCTCAACTTCTTTCGTCCAGTTTACACTTGCAGCACAAAGTATAGCCATACCAGGACCATCCATAACCCACTCTTTCCAGGGTCGGCTTGTGACAGTGTGAACTGAAACATTGATGAGGTCGCACAAGGACTGAACCATTAGCTCCTCTACTTGAGTTAACCACTTTTCGACTAGTTCCTGAAAGAAGAAAAATGAGAGGCTGGATTCTAGCTCATACCACTACTCTAAACCGTTTCCAAAATATTTTAGAAAGTCAGCCACCACAAAATTAATATTCCTAACGATCAAAAATCCTACTTCAGTAACTCATCAGAATACAACCTGATAGGTGAAGTGCTATAGCACTTTACCTATGGTACTAAGTCACAGGTTACCTGGAGCACTAAGTCCTATAGCATTTTAGTTACCCAGCGGCAATTTTGTCTTTTGTCTTTTTCAAGCGACAACTTATGAAAAAGCATCCAAAACCTCACCATGACATGAGGACGGTAATTAAAATAGTAAAAGATAGTGTTTTGAGTCACATGCTTTGCGACACACGAAGCATGTTGCCAGGTTCTTCACATAGCGAGGAACCAGGGGGGTTCAGAGGCAGAACAGCTGACGTAGAGAGCTAATCACACCTAGTTATATTACATTCCTACTTAAAGGGCAAAAAAGATAAAAAATTGCAATATTAAAATTTGGTACCTTGGCATCAGCTGGCACGATAATTCCACTCAGAGGGACATTTTCGTTTTCGGCTGAAATCATGCCTGTGATGGTGCCATCTTTTTGAAAATCAAGCTTATCAATACCTTCAAATAGCTTCTTCAAGTGCGGCTCAACTCGTAATGGATCTTTGGTTTCCGATAATATTTCCAGCAACTCATTGTCGGACAGAAAAAAAAACCTGTGGCAGAAGGTCATAAATAGTTTCATAAGAACTAAAAAAATCAAAAAATGTGGTGAAAAATTCAAGCCCTGTCATGAAGCCAAGGAGGGTCCAGTTCACTTGCTAGATTCCCGTTTGCCTTACTTTATTCGTTCAAAACAGTACATATACTTAAAGAAAAAATATTAGAAATGTATGATTAAAGAAAGAAAGAAAAAGTGAAGTTAATGTGCATTCGTATTATTTGTGTTGAGTAAAATTTGGGGGGAAAGAGGGGAAGAAGGGTCATTTGAAACTCTTTTCACTTGTTACTTAATCTTACCGACCCCTAACTTTAACCTTGAGTCTATGTATTCTTTCTGATTTTTCCAAAATAATGATTCCTGCTCTGTATATCTTCTTTATGGAAGATTTTTTTCATTTTTTGTCCTTCCCCTTTCTCCCCCTAAACTAACAATACCTCAAAAATCAAGCAGGGCAAGAAAAGGACTTGCCTTGGAAAAATTATTCTTTTTTTCTCCAAATAGTCATTGAGACCTCTTTGAATATCTTCCAGGAGTTGATTGCTTTCTCGAAGCATTTTGAGGAGATCTGGGAAGTCAGTTGCAGTTATGACATGCAAATCATTGACAGTATTTGACATGACAAGCTTCCATGTTTTGTCGACTGTTTTGAAACTTCTTGCTTCTTCTGGCATTTGACGCATGATGTCTTCAGAGCCAAATATAGGCTCCAAGTACATCCAAGTTGCTTGGACCTGGAAAATTACGCAAAGTAGTTCTAGGAATTCAATAATCGAAAAGGCAACTGATGCATTTACAAAGGTTCAAATTTTAGAACAGAAGGAGAGAGATTGAACAACGGGGGTCACTGAAAATTAAGATCCATCATTTTTTAATTAAATAAATTACAGATTATAACATTTGACACATTGAAATCTGGCAAATTTTATTCCAAACCTCTATAATTATGAATACAGCTACTCAGAATGACTAGTCTACAATTTTTATAGAATATCTCAAATCTGGAAAATTCAATCAGATTTTTCTTGGTTTCTTCCAAATTTTATAAGTTGGATTGAAATAGATCACAACATGCACTAACCTGCAGCCAGACATCCAATATGTCCTGCATGGAAATAAGTTTTTCTTCCCAGGCTTGCATTTCTCTCTCGAAAGGTTTCACGTGAGGACTCCCTCGCATTGTTTGAGCTTTCAGAATATGATCATCAAGCATTACTTGGATATCATCTACACTAGCCAAGACGTATACTCCTGTGTCTCTGAGAACAGTAAATTATTTTGTTCACTTGTTTGACAAAGCACAAGCAATAACAGGCAAGATTAGAAAAGGACGATAATTGATTCTCTTCAAAATTTCCTTGGCAGGTACAATTAGGGGTAAAATGGCACTGATTGACCTGACATTAGATTGCAATGACATTGCAATGAAAAAGGATAGACCTGTCAGCAGAATCTTTTCCGTCTTGATTCACCAGTCATTTGTCATGGTTCACCATGAGGACCGCCAGCAATGGTTAATGGGATTTGGCGTACCGATTTAATTGCTATATTAAAGGGAATAGATAAAAAAACAAAGACCCGATGAAAAAGAAAAAACCCATTACAGAGTAAAACAGGCTACCAAATATTACCTGTGAGGTATACAAGTGAATTTTATGTCAGTCCACTCTCCTTGCATTTTCAGAAGATTGGTTTCCAGGTCGTATTCTTTAGTTGCAGAGACACTGATTTCTTCTAATCTTCCTGTAAATTTTATTAGCCCAAAGTCTATCATTTCTGCTAAAGTTGACTCTGGTCTAGGACAAATTGAGAATCCAGCAACTTCACTTATCTACCATGATCATAACAAAAACAATAAATAAATAAATACAAAAACAAATGATTACAGATGAATAAATGATAAATAAGTATTATTTTTTGGCCTGCTTGTCTTAGAAAATCATTCAATGATGATGGAAAAAAATAGATAGATATATAAAAAATTGTTAGCTTCTCCTAACTTGATTCTTGAGTCATTTCCTGCGGAAAATTTCGAGGCTGAGACATGATGACATATTGCTTGAATTCTCAACTGTTTCACTGGATACAGACACAAATTCCTGTTTGAATTCTTTAACATCTACCGATGGAAAAAGTGTGAAATCACATACCTCCAACCTGGTTAATCGAAATTTCCGCTCCTTTATTACTTTCTCAAAGAGAAATAAGCCGACTTCTATAAATCTATACAGTATATTCAGCTAATAGAGAAAAAATATCAAGGCAGTTTTCAAGAAATTATATAAACTAGTTTTCCAAAGAAAAAAAAAGGATGACAATAAGTCTGTATTGTTACAAACGGAGATACTTAATTTTGCACTTTTGCCATCGATATGCGACTTTAAAAATGTTTAAAGGATTAAGAAGATCGTCATTACCTGTTCCCAGTGTCTGTCCCTTAAGCCAGGATTACAAACTGTTTGAAGGACAGGAATAAGTTGCTTAAATTTTTCAACTTTTGCACGAACTATTTCTGCGATTCGTTTTGATCCAGGCACATCATAAAAAGTCTTTGACAGCTTATACAAAATTGACCACATACTGTCAACAGTTTCTTTGATTTCTTCAGCGTTCAAATTAGCAAATGGACCTGGAGAAAAAATAAATATATTTATGAGTTTACATTAAAATGGGATCAACCGATACCTCGTATCAATCAGCGTAAGCTGATTTTATTTGATTTGATTTTATTTGATATATTATATTGATTTTATTTTGTGAGTTTGAGTTTTTTTAATTTTCCGATTCTTCTCTGTTTTCTCATTTAATTAGCTCACAGTTTGTTACCTCGGTTTTTTTTCCGTTAGTTTCGTTTGTTTTCGACTCTTTCGGTTCGAGCGTAAGCTGCCTTAAAAAATTGAAAGAACTTATGTGAAAATGGCTATTTTTCTTCCATAACTGTATTCAAATAATTTTTACAACTTGGATTTTCCCTGGCAGAAGAGCAAATCCTTGAGTTTTAAACTTTAAAATGAACACTTCTGATAGAATGTTTTGACTAAAATAGATGAACATTACTACAAAATAACAACCAACAAAATGAGAAATGTTTTTGCCTAACATTGTCGACATTATCTAAGTTGTGTATTGCTGATATGAATCAAGTTACCACTGACAATCATTCACTGGCTTTCAAGTCCTGAATATAATTGAAATACCAAATGTACGTACCTCAAAAAGAGTATTTAAAGGGTAAACAATTTTTGATGGACAATCACTTGTCAACCGAATATCTACAGGAGGTGACTCATCAGACTTTTCCGAGTAAATTTTTACAAAGGCTGGATGAGTAAGAGAGCTGACTTTCTGTTTACACTTTTGACCGAATGATGGAAACCAATCATTCAAATAAAGCTGTGGTTATGGAAATTTAAGTGCATTTTTTAAAAAATGTCTAGCGTTAGAAGTGCAGAAAAGAAGGAGGGGGGAATAGAAGAAGAATTTATCCTGTAATTATTTTTTCTGAAAGACCTGCATCAAAAAAAAACTAGCCTATTCAGTCGAGACCACTTTTCTCATAAGGTGAAACTTAGGTGCATTAAAGACTGCAATAAAAAAGAGAGTTTCTGAAAAAAAAAAAAAAATTAACACTGAAAAAACTCCATACCATTATACCATATCTCATACTTTTTATGAAATTCTAGGATGGTATGCCACAGTTGATTATATGGTTCCACAGCAGTGAGCATATTCTGCAACTCTAGAAATGGTGTTACTTCAAATTCTAGAAGTTTTTCTTCCATATTTATAGACTGAAAAATTTTAAACAACATACTCATAAGAAAATTGGAAAAAAATTCCATCCTTCACCTTAGTAAGTAAATCATACGCAACTTTTCACTGTGGGAAAAAATTAAAGGTGAGAGAGGTACTGTAAAAACTCAGTGGGACTTCATCTGAGAGAAAGAAAAAACAGACAATATTAAAGCAAGAGCAATATTTGGACACTTTCTGGGAGAGCAAAGACAATTTCAATTAGTGAAAATAATTGTCCTGTAACTATCTACTACGGCAACAAAAAGCACACTTATGTACCATTTTCGTAATATTTGATGAACAATGATGAGTTACTCTCCTCATCATTCACAACAAAGCTCCCATTTTAGCTTATCACATATTCATTGGTACAGGAATGGGAACAAAAGAAACACTGATCAGAATGAGACTAACTTACGTCAGCTGTTATTTTATCTTCTGCCAAAATATTAACAAAAGCTTCAATTGTAGTTGTCGTATCAACCATTTCCTCCATTGTTAACAAAGGTGGGTCCTTTTTGCGCAGATATTCTAATTCTTTATGATGTTCTTTCAGCCTAAAAACAAAATAGAAACACATTTCCATGAAAAAGAGTGAAGGCCTTGAACTAAAGTGTATCTCATAAAATCAAAACTCTTTTCTCAAAAATTTTAGTAGCTTTAGTTAATACTATAATACAGGCATGGACAGAAATAACACGAAGACCGTGGTGACATATTTTATTTTTGAGGTGCTTGGACTGCTGTCCTTTGTACTGGAAGAAAATTTCACTTCTGAGATCAACTTCTCTTACAACAGATTTGAAAGTTCTAAAGTTTTCTTCCTCTTAAATGTATTCCAACTTTAAGTATTTTTCTCATGTTCAAAATGTATTAACTTACTTACAACAAATCAAACTCAGCTCGCTTATTTTTAAGAATTCCTTCCACAACATCTCGCCGTTGAGACACGCGAACCATTGAAAGTTCCAATATCTGTTCTAGATCTTTGGGCCATGTAAAGACACGACTATTCAAATATATGTCTTCATCTGGAATTAGAGTTCATTCTCATTACTTAGATGAAAATTATTTGTAGTTGTAATTGCAGTTTGAAATTGAAAGAGTTGGATGAAGTTTTGATTTAAAAGTCTGAAATTTGAGGGCTGTTCTCACATTTGCTGATGAGACATAAGCTAAAACAAAATGTTGTAAACAGTATCTTTAAACTTTGCAGACAAAAATTTGTACGTTTCAAACAGCTTGTTTTGCACACTTTGATGAGTGATAATGCACCAGATATCGCCTCAGATTGATTTAGACTTTCGTCATAGAAAGTTATTAACTGAACAAAAATTCACATCAAATTTATTTTTACTTCCCAGAAAAAGCTCTTATAGTTTGAAGGAGTTCCTAGAAATTTCTTGGAGCCAAATAGACTTACCAGGCAAATGTGCATAGGTCATCAAGAATAAAATCAACTTTGCACTATATTGGAGCTGTGTTTTCAGGTCAAACATGGTGACATCACGACTCTCAATGATAAAGTTGGTCAATTCTACAAGTTGTGCTGTAGTCTCAGGTACATCACCAACTCTTGAGATTATTCCTTCAAATTTCAGAGCAATTCTTTGGAAGAGAAAAAAAAGGAAAAGTAGTTGATCAACAGGTACAAGACCGAGTTCAGTAAACACTAGTGATATAGAATTGTTTTCTTAGGAAATTTGTGAATTCTTTTAAATTGTCTAGAGAATTACTTCAATATCAATGCGCAAAAATATTAGATTTCACAGCCAAAGGGCCCCTCTATCAAGATATTGGAGAAAAACCATGCAGTGGCTGCATTGATTCTAAAGTAAACGCAATTTTTCAATTCTCAAAAAACTCTACCCGAAACTCAATTCCTCGTGAACCTCTAGATAAGATTACCTAATTTTCACACTTTACACATTTGGAATAATTATTGGTTACATCCCCTTTCCTTCCTCCTTACACTTTTAAGATGTTGGTTCCTATCCTTTAGCATGTAAAAAATGAATGGCATAGCATTCATAGCGCAAAAGCAGAGTGCCAGCCAACTTGTTTTACTGATTACAACTCTTTCTGTTTGATTATACACAGAGAGACCTTACTCTCTGTTGTGATTGCGGCAGACATTCGCAAAATAATCTGTAATTGTCGCATGTAGCTGACTTATCATTTTCCACAGCGTATCATTCACTTTGGTGCAATCCAAGTCAATTAAATTCAGGGGGATGTTTTGTCGCAGATCATAAACTTCATCTTTAAGTGAGTCATAGCTCTCGATGCGACTTGCAAAATCCTGAAAACAAAAGTCAAGTATCAGCAAGAGTTTTTTTCCTAGAGCTTTAGATTCAGATAAATCTTAAGTTTTTTAAGTTTGTAGTTTGTTCTAAGTTTTCAAAATAAATAAAACAAAATTTGAAACATATTTTTCAGATGAAAATGATGACTTTTCTGAAAAGAACTCATTAACAGATAATTGGCAGAGGTGGCAGGGTTGACTAAAGGTGCTGAAGAATATGGAATTTCTTTGGCATTTATTCATTATAAAAGCTTAAATAGGGCTGAAACAGAGTGACTAAATAATGTAGGGTTCTTGTCAAAATATCATGATTAGAGGAACTAGTTTAGGGATGTATTGTACAACTTGCAGAGGCAATCTGGAACATGAACACATAACTGCTCAAACCCATGAATATGGCTTTACAACAAATGAATGAATAGACGTCGAAGAAATTGCATATTTGGTACCTGCTATGAATACTTAATGAAATTCACTATTCCAATTATTTCGATATCGCCTTTGGATGATTTTGAACCACTCCTTTTTTACTGCAGTTTTTGCATTCTTTTAAATCCTGTTTTAAGGGTATGAAAATTTTGAACTGAGGAAACGTTACACCTAGTTAAAACTCCATTGCCTTTCACAGCCCCAACTTGCATTGGTAGGTATTTTAATCATGAATCAGCTAAGCACCCTTACAAGCATCTAATTTTAATGTCCACACAGTTTTGATGTACAAAAATACTTTAGATAAGGTGGATTAAAGGTTTGTCATCTTTGCGAAACTTCAGAGAAGGTGCCGATTTTGGCATAAGTTCTTGGGAAGAAAATTTAACATTTTTATACCTGAAAAAATATGTCCATCACTTTATGTCCCTGAATTTCTTTTAATTGAGCTTGAAAACAAGCAGCATCCATCAAATAGTAGAAATTATTCTACCGAAAAGAAAATAATGAACAATGTTAAAATTCACATTCAGCTTCCTAAAGATAGAACTTTGCAGACTTACTCTTAGAGATGGGAATGGTTCAACTTTGAAAAAGTCTTCTAAAGAGGATGTGGCTTCTCCCGAAAAAATATAAAAATATGGCCTGTAACACTCTAAATAGACTGTTGGACCCAGTGTATTCATATCGAAGCTATGCAAAGCTACCTTTAGAATATTTTGAACTTCTTCTTCTTCAATTTGCACTGAGTGTAAAAAAAGAGCCTTTTCTTTCATTTCTGAAAAGATAATCAGTTCACTTGAATCAATAATTTTGAAAAGGAGTCGTCTATAAAATTTGGACGGATTGAGTTTCCTCCAGAGATCTACTCCTGATAGATGAGTGAATCAGCCCCTGAATGCTTACAGCTAGTTTTGCTGTGAAACATCTTTTCTTAGGTTTGCCAAAAATTTTGCAAACTCCAAATAGGGTCAATCTCCCTAGAGACTGCCCTATTTGAAATTAACAGGTGGCATTTTTCAATCATAACTGTGTATTGTTATAGGGCAATGCATTTTTCTCATTTTGCCTCCAAGTTGTTGGGTCACTTCGATTTGTCGATCATACCTAAAGAAATTGAAAACGGTTCAGTAATTTTAGCAACCAAAAACAACTGATAATATTGGTGCCTTTGTAATTTTACTTGTCACATGCTTTGTCACACAATAATAAGTGCTTCCCTGTTACAGGATAAACAGTGACTATTTCTCAAGAATAAATTTTGAACATAAATTGTGAATCCTCCTTCGCAAGCAAAATTTTCAGGATTAAGCATGAAAGGCTGACAATAATTTCAAAAAGGGGAGATTTTAAAATACCGCAAAGGAAATACATTGCTTGGGAGTTTCACCGTTTCCCCTAGTTTTCCCTTGCTTTCTAAACATTTTTTTCTTTTCCTGATAAATAAAGAAACAGACATGGCCCTTTTTAAAATTATCAATTTAATTATGACACCTTCTTTTATTAACTATTTAGAACAAATCAATGCTACCTAACTAATCAGAAATACAGTAAAAACTTGATACGAAGAACTATTATGAGAATAAATTTTTAACAGTAACTGGAGATATTAGACATTGTATTCTCATAAAGTAGCAACTTGTTCCGTTTATGATTTATTTTAACACCACAAAAATGTATCTCTTCCTTGTGACAAGATTAGGATGTTACTTTAACTATTCCTATCTTGATTTCTTCTCACCAGCAGGAGCTTTTTTACTCTTTCTCCGCAAGAATTGTATCCTCTAGTTATCATAAAGTTGCTTAGTTGTTTCACTAAATTTTGTTTAATACACCCTGGTGGTATTTGTATAAAAAAGAAGAAAAACAACTAACCTGGAAACATAATTTGTTCAACACGAGGAAATAAATCATTAACTCGAATTATTTTGTAGAACAGGTTTTGCACAAGCCCTTTTAAGTCCAGTAGTGATGGCTCAAACAGAATCTCAGGGGTGGAACCAACCGCTGGTACTGCTTTAACAATTAACATTGGATTCAAGGTAAACATCATGTCTTCATAGTGATTTTCCTGAATTTCATTTCCTTTCTGTAAAACAAGAATATCAATAATATATTTGACATCAACCATCCATCAGCTTATCAGCCACTTCAACATGTTTCTCATACTTTTTACTCCTTTCCCTCTTACTTAAAGGCTTTTAAAGAGGATACTATGTGGACGTGGACAGCTCAGTACTGCGCTCTTTCTCTCGGCTCATATTACATCTTATAATTCACATGTGAAGAATCATGATTGATTGTAAGTCACTGAGCCCAGAGGTTACTGGTCTGACAACATTCATCACTGGCATGATAACAACTTGCAGAACAGACCAGTCAACTGCCGGTCAAGGGACAGACTTGTGGATAAGGTGAGCAATCAGGACACAGAAATCAGGGTTCAAAAGGGGAGGGATAAATAAGTCAAGTGTCAACGTAATGCATTGCAGAGTCTGGCCAGACTCTGTTTGCAGGTTTAGTCTCATCTATTTGTGCCTAATACTAAGAGTAAAAATGAGTCAAAAGAAGATTTTCCACTTCTTCCTCCTGGCTGGTCTCAGAAAACTCAAGACTTTTAAAATTTGAGAAAGTGCCATGAAGTTTTTTTCAAAGAAAAACTGTAACCACTTGGTATCCATACTTTTTGTTGGTAACTTGGTTTTGTCACTGGAAGGTCAGATTGCTCATATTTTAATAAAGTAGAGCTGAATTTTGTAAGATCCCAGAAAAATGTTGCTTTTCAGCCATTTCCAAACGAAAGATAGGCAAAAACGTCAGGACAGCCTTTTATGCGGCTGGTGTCATACTTCTTGTGGGATTTTTCTTCCTCTTATTTCAAAATAAGGAGAACTCAAACAGATATTTTTCCTTTTGGTTGAAAGATTCGCTTGGCTTGTACACAAAAGTAAGTCAAAAGCACTCGATTTATGAATTTTACTGGTTAATAACAGAAAAAGATTGTACTTTGGTGTGAAAAGAGAGGAGAGATAATATTACCTGATATTAATAAAAATTAGATATCAAATTAACTCCGCCTAGAGGAGAGTTGTTTTTCTCTTGCTGGTCCCAAGCCCAGGAAAAGGAGGAGGGTTGTGCGTAGGGCTAGCAACCCTACCACGTAAAAAAAACAAAGCTACGAAAACCAAGACAAAGCCTCGGTACCCAGAAAACCCACGGATAAAGCGACCTAAAGAGTATGGATCACGGAAAAAACCCCAAAAAACCAAGGACATTATACTAGCCACATGGAATGTAAGAACGATGAAGAAGGCAGGGAAAATGATGGAAGTGGCCAAAGAACTGCAGAAATATGCCATTGACGCCATAGCCGTCCAAGAGATCAGATGGCAAGGAGAAGGAAGAATAGACAAGAAAGAATTCAGCATGATATACAGTGGAACAAGTGAAAATACAGGGCAATTTGGCACAGGATTCCTACTATCCAAAGCAGCAAGAAATACTCTCCTAGAATATGAAAATATCAACCACAGAATCTGCCGAATAAGAGTAAAAGGAAAATTTAGGAATATCACCATTGTGTCAGTGCATGCACCAACAGAGGAGAAAGAAGAAACGGAAAAGGAAAGTTTCTACGAGGCACTCGAAAAAGTGTGTACAAAAGTAAGCCAGCATGACATGCTGATAGTCTTGGGAGACTTCAATGCAAAAGTTGGAAAAAACGAAGACCAAAAACAAGTAGCTGGTATTCACACGCTACATGAGAAAAACAATGATAATGGTAACATGATGGTACAATTCGCAGCAAGAAATAAACTTTATGTCAAAAGCACAGCATTCGATCACAAAAGAATCCACCTTGGAACCTGGAAGATCCCAGGAAGTGAAGAAGTGAATCAAATCGATCACGTACTAGTATCCTCAAGACATATGTCATCAGTAATTGATGTAAAGAGCTGCAGAGGGCCTAACTGCGACTCAGACCATTTCCTTGTAAAAGTTAAAGTTAGAGAAAGAATCGCAAATGTAATGAAAGGGCCCAAACATGAAGTGAAGCGCTGGGCCACAGAAAACTTAAGCAAGAATAAAGAATTACAAAAGAAGTACGTGGATGTCTTGAACAGCAAGCTAACGCAAGAAACAGATGGAATGGAAGGAAGGGATCAAACGCCTGAAGAGATTTGGACAGTAACTGAGAAAGCAATTTTAGAAGCAGCAAAAGAAACTATTGGAGAAAAACGAAAAACCAGAAATGAAGAATGGTTCGATGAAGAATGCATGAACATCATAGATCAAAAAAACGACGCAAGAAAAAAGATGCTGCAAAGAAACACAAGAGGAAATGAAGAAAGATATCACAAAGCAAGAAAAGAAGCTAATAAGCTTCTTAGAAAAAAGAAAAAAGAAGCAATGATACAACAAATGGAAGAAATAGAACAATTAAGCAAGCAAAATGAAAGTAGAAAATTCTATGCTGCCGTTAATAGAATGAGAAAAGGATTTCAACCGAAAACAAGCGGGTGCAGAAGTAAAGATGGTCAGTTACTAGGAGAAGAAAAGGACATAATGGAGAGATGGGCAGAACATTTCGAAGAGCTGCTAAATGAAAAGGAAAGGATGATACTAAACGACAAAGAAACAATGGAAAAAGAAGACCACACAAATGAGGATGATTTATCACAAACACCAACTATAGAAGAAGTTGCGGAAAGAATCAGAAGAATGAAAAATAACAAAGCTCCAGGCGAAGATGGAATTACAGCAGAGCTCCTTAAAAATGGAGGACAAATGTTAATCAAAGAAATACATGAATTAATAAAAGCAATATGGAAATCTGAAAAAATGCCATCAAAATGGAATATCGGAACAATTTGTCCAATATTCAAAAAAGGAGACAAATTAGAATGCAAGAATTATAGAGGCATTACACTCTTAAGCACGGCATATAAAATAATGTCATCAATTTTAAATGAAAGACTGAAGAAGGTAGTCGAAAAGGAGATAGGTGAATACCAATGCGGCTTCCGAACAGGAAGAGGCACAGCCGATCAATTATTTGTGATCAGACAAACCATGGAAAAATGTCATGAGTACGGAATCGATTTACACATGCTCTTCGTAGACTTCAAGGAAGCATTCGACAGTGTCAATAGAAAGGCACTCATAAAGGCCCTGGATGAAATGAATGTACCAAGAAAGCTCATCAAACTTATAACAATGACCATGAGTAGCACCAAAGCCAAGGTTAAAATAGGAAATAAAGTGAGCAATGTTTTCGACTTTAACAAGGGCGTGAAGCAAGGGGATGGATTGTCAAGTACGCTATTTATAATAGCGCTGCACATGGCGGTCAAACATGTCGACCAAAGAGGGACAATATTCACGAAATCTAGTCAAACATGTGCCTATGCAGATGACATTGCCCTAATTGCGAGAACTAAAGAAAAATTAATAGAGATCTACAAAGAATTGGAAAAAAGAGCAAGAGATTTAGGACTAGTGGTAAATGTAATTAAAACCAAGTACATGATATTATCATCCTCAGAGTCAAGAAGAAAACCGCAAAACTTAATAATTGATGGCAAAGAATTTGAAGGAGTCAAAAAGTTCAAGTATCTGGGAAACCTAATCGATAATGAAGCCAGAACAACTACGTCCATTAAAGATAGAATACAAACGGGTAATGCAGCATATTATGCCAACTTGAGGCTAATCAAAAGCAGACTGATATCTCGGAAGACCAAGTTACAAATATATAAGACCCTTATTAGACCAATTGTTACATATGGCGGAGAAACATGGACTATGACAGAGAATGACAAGAGCATGCTGCGAAGATTTGAGAGAAAAATCATAAGAAGGATCTTTGGAGCCATCAAAGAAAATGGAGAATGGAGAATTCGAAACAACGGCGAAATCGACAAGATACTGGAACAAGAAGATATAGTTCGATTCATCAAATCGCAAAGAATTCAATGGCTAGGGCACGTTAGCAGAATGAAGGAGGAAAGAATGCCAAAGAGAATCATGAAAGCCAAAGTTCTATCGAAAAGAAAGAGAGGAAGGCCAGGGCTGAGATGGCAAGATGAAGTAGAGAAAGATCTCAGAGTAATGAACGTATCAGGATGGAAGGAAAAGACCATGGACAGAACAGGATGGAGGCGCGTTGTCTTGGAGGCCAAAGCCCACCCCGGGCTGTAGCGCCAGTAGTAAGTAAGTAAGTTAGATATCAAATTATGTATGACATAGTGAGCAGTATTTCCGATTTTATTTTTCATTCACTTATGACCGATGGATTTGTTTCAAGCTAACTCCATAAATTATACTTATAAATATGAACATCCTATATATAGAGGTGAGATATTAGAGCTGCAACACTACCTGATAGAGAAGTAAGAAGTCCAACATGTGGTAAAGGGAATTCATGACAAGTGCTCGCAGTTGACGTGACATAATGGAGCATGCACATGAGAAAAACTTCTCAACTTGCTTCAGAGAGTCTTCACTCGAACGTGGTACCATAGGTGCCCAGCTATCACGTAAATATAGAAAAATATCTGCTACTTTGGGTAACCACCTGGAAGTAAAGAAAAAAAAACTCCTTATAATTTTTTAAATTTGTATGGATGTTTAGCGAAAGTCCAGTCTACCATGAACTATGACATTGCATTATGCAACAATGCAAAATCAATGAACAACATCGTTCACAGAAATAGCGGATAGTTAGTCAGATCCCTGTGACAGAAAAACAACAGAGAATCAAAATTATCCTTTCTGCTATGGTTGGAAAAATTTTGGATTGTTTAACCTACACAGTAGAAAAAACTTGAACAATGTAGATTTACAGTAAAGCCGCAATCAACCTTTGCTTTATAGACTTCTTCCATTAAACAAAGATTTTTACTGGTCCCCTGAAAAGCGTTATAAAACCGCATTACTGTCCTACGCTGACACCATGGAGGTTGGAATGGATAGATGGCACTTCCTCATTTTCTCTGCAACCTAACTGATGCGATCCTTTCTTTGGTACAGGATAAACTCAACATACTTTAACAAAAAATGCGGTAAAAATACACTGATTAATTTAATGAAAACAAATGCTTACATTTCTATTAATAGTGTTCGTATTTCTTGACACATTTCGTCAGTAATTGCATCTAGAGTTTCTGGAAGCATTGGGAATCCTACCTGCTTCAATTTTGAAATTGATATGATCAAGAGATGTTTGAATCTAAAATCAGCAAGAAAAAAAGTACATACATAAGAGCAAAACCAGGTAATCGAGAGGTTTGCCAAAAGTATGTATACATATGTATCATGACCAGACTTGTTGAGAGGGGCACAAAAAGTATGCAAATGAGAGGAGCAACTACCGTAGGGCCATCAAAATGCTTTGCGTTTTTAATTTTTTTAAGTTTTGACAAATTCTTGTGGTTGACTTGAATTTTTCAACACATCACGTCTCCTTGCTGGACCATGTTGTCGTTTTTGAACTAAAACATTCCAACACTGAGTCGTTGAAAAATAATTCGAATTATACTTATTTGCTTTTTAATGTAGAAGACTGCTGTGTTTTTCTAACCTCCTTCCACTGATTGCCCAATGAAAAAGGGGCATACCAAATTTGCTGTTTGGAGAGGTGACAATTTAACCTTACACAGCCTTGGCCATGACTAATCAGTATTAGTACCATTGTAACATGCAATGAAAGACAGTAGTTGTAGTTTTTTTCGCTTAGTATTAGGAGAACATAATTGTTGTGTGTTACAAAATGTTGAATGAGTGATGGAATTCACTTACTCACTGTCCCATAAATCTCTTAATGCTCTCAAAACAGGCATTCCGATGAAGAGGTTATGGAAATTGAGATGTTTTGCCGTCACAGTGTTCTGATGCCAAGGAACTGGTCCACGAATCACTAAACTTGGGAAGCCAATCGGATAAGTTTTGATCCCCAGCCGTTCCCACTCTTTTGGATCCAGAAGGATGTTATCCAAAATGAATTTTCGCATCACGAAATAGTAATCCGATCTAATTTGTGTTTCCATATTCATGATTTCTGTGTGGAACCTAGAAAAAGGCAATGGTATACGGTTTAAACTTTTCTTCAAGCGACTGTCTGATGCCATTTTGTTTGCTGAGGGGTAGAACTACCTTGGGGTACCTTCTCCTTATGTTACATAACAACCTGAAGTGAACTGTAGATGAAGCTTGTAAATCATGCGACTAATCTTGCAACAATGCAAGTTTAAAATACCAATTAATTCACAAAACATTTTGCACAAAATGTACAGACAAGAGTGTCCAGAGCCTACAGTTTAAAATACTCAAAATTTTTCTTCAATACTTCTTAGTTCGACAGAAAGTTTTGTGGATTTTAAGATGAAAAAATTAGGAGGGGTGGGGGACAAAAATGTTTAAAGAGATACTAAGTTGTTGCATCATCATACATGATAGGGTTTTACATCAAGAGTCATCTGACCAGTCTTCAGGCTCAGAATAGAATCAGTTTAAGTAAGGGGGAGATAGAGGAACCTTTGCGTACCTCTTACTCTACCTCATCTATGTTTTGGCAGTCCAAAGTCATCGCTCCTTCATCTGAGTACATTACTGTTTACACAAATTGGTTGCAATCCTGTGTGAGAGAGAAATAAACCGCAACACCTCTTTTGGGTCAAATATACTGGTCCTAAATTGGGACTGAATCAGCATCCAATGAAAGAAGTCCTTAGTAATTCGTCATCACTTAATTATAAGCTTTCCGAAAGAAAGGAAAATACTCACTTTTTAAAAAGGCTTCTTGATACTTTAAGCAGGGCATTCTCTAGTAAGGCTTTTGGGTATGGCTCGATGAAATCATCTCCCAAACACTGGAAGTTACACATTGTCATCAGTATTACAACTCTTAGATAAAAATCTCGAGATACAGTGGTTGACTGTAAGTAAAAAATGCTGAAAATAAATTTAAAAATAGCAGACCAATATACGAGGGTGGATTTTGAGTTAGTTTACCTACTTTTTTTCTTGAGAACTATTAATGCTGGGGAAAAAACCAAATCAGCATTGAATTATAATTAAGCTCAGCTTTCTAACACACTATAGTTTTTCACTTTTATGTTCATTACAACGAACTAAAAAGTATCACTCAAGAACAAGAATTCATAATCTTTCGCACTAGAAGTAAACACTCTGTCCACTCATCTTCCAACTCGCACTGAATTTAATGATAGTTTATGATGAGATTACGCAAAGAGGGAACTCTTTTCCACCAAAAAACCCTTTAGTGAGAAGTGGGTGGGGAGTCTTCTCAGAATTCTTCCTTTTTTAAGCTTAACACCAGCGGAAATTTACACAAATAAAACAAACAAGAAACACCTAGCAAATACAAAAGGTCATCAAAGGCTTGGTTAGATCAAAGATTTGACTGGAAACATCTCCCAGTAACTGGTGTTGAAGGGCCTCAAAAAATACACAACAGAGCAGCATAATTTGCAGCTTCTTATCTCATTAAAATATGATGTACATCTACTTGATGATTACAGTTATTTATACTGGCCTATAGTCCGTGCCACAAAAAGTGGCGGGTGAGGGGCGGAGCCAGTCAGCCAGTCTAGTCTATCGTTGAAGGGTTGAAGCGCAGGTACTGGCCTAGTCGTTACTCCATCTCAACTATGGGCCAATACCTGCGCTTCAACCCTTCAACGATAGACTGGACCAGCCGACTGGCTCCGCCCCTCACCCGCCACTTTTCATGGCGCGGACTATAACAACCATCTAAAATAGTTTCATACCTCATTTGTGTAATATTGGATTTTCTCAAGATCTTCATTATTCACCGGTTTACTTTGTTCCTTGTCTACTTGAGCACAGAGGATGTAACGTTGCAAATCTACATCCATAGGTAAATCAGCCTCTAATTCTCTGAGTCCCCTAAGGCAATTAAGAGGAATAATAATCATATTCAAAAATAAATGGTAGCCATTGTCAGAAAAACAGGAGCAGGGACAAAAAGATGTAGAAATAATTCAAAATATAAATATTTTAAAGGAAGGGATCACTCCAAGAAAATTTGTAAAACAAATCTAGAACCTACTTAAGTTTAGGAGGACCTAGATCAATAATTTCTGGCCAGAAAACTACTCCTTTTACTGATTTTAGAAATAACTATGACTTGAACGCATCAGTGCAGACACTCAATGAAGTTAATTAAACAGACAACTCTCTTTGACCAGAAAGTAATAAAAATAAAAGGGCTATCCCAAAGAGGATCAAACTGATGCTGCAACTTAAAAACTACGCTACTCATTGCTGCGGTCTTTATTATGGTTGAGAAACATAAAAACCTCTTGCAAAAATCAGCTAAGTTGAACAAAATTGGACGAAGTTCCGGCAGTGCCACAGTGTTCACAAGGTGCATGCAAACTACTAACAGTTTTTCAAGTCAAATAAAAGCCCACTTTCTTCAAAGCCTTTTTCTTTCTTCAAATTAGCCCACAATACCGTGCACACATTACTATAAAAGAAAAGAAAAAAAAAAAAAAAATCCCAACAACTGATAAAATAATTCAATTTCAGCCCTCATCTGACCTATACAAAGCAATCATAGTAACTGTGCTGACATGTATGGATTGGTTAGTTGCCACTTCTGCGGATATCTTGTTGAAGATTCGGTCGGAAGGGCGCTTGTCTCTTTCAGTTTTTCATTTTATATTTATTAGTACAAATGCACAGAAATGAATTCCTAGTCATTTACACTTCCCACAATTGCATTCTGGAAATAGAAATTCAATAAAAAACAACACACACACACAATCAACTTACCTCATCTCTTTTTCTCTTGCTTTGAAAGATGCATCTGACTGTTGCTTGGATATTTTCTTTTTCTGTTGTATTTTCATTAATTGCTTGCGATCATACTGTTGTCTTTCATATTCACCAGTGAGCAAGTCCTGAGCAAAAATGAGACAAAATATGTTAAAAATATACCTGAGAACACTGATGGCTGAGATGGCAGCATGATTTTACAGTTTGAATGTTTAGATGAAATAGATCATGGTACTTCATCGAAAAAAGAAAGATTAAAAAACCACGATGAAAAATCATTGATCAACATTTCTGAGTGCACAGCCTGTCCAAAAAATCTCGAGACTGCTGCTCTAGCAACAAAATTAACATTGTTAACTGTCGCATTTTTATGACTTTTTTAACATCAACTTACTTCCTATAGTTAAAATAAAGTTGAGTTTATTGATTAAAAAATGGAGATACATGTGACAGACAAGTACTAAGTCTAATTTCATTTCGGACACACAAATTAAAAAAACCAAATTGTTGACTTTGTGGAGCAGCATCATAAGTAATAACATCTATTCTAGCATTTGGCATTCTCTTGGGACTGCAAATAGCTTTCTAAAAAATTAAGTACGCCAACCTCTTCTAAAAAAAGCGATTGGAGCAATATGATTCGATTAATTAATATATATGTTTCAACAGATACTCACAATAATTGGAATGACACCAGGCTCATATTTTTTTGATTTTTTTGATGCTGAGGAATCATGCTTGGTTTGTGATACAGATTGAGGTGGATGCTGTAACTTTCCATATTCATCGACCACATCTGATTTCGATTTATGTCTCTTCTTCACCGGTGGAACATCAAGCAATCCAATCATACTTGCAGTTGGAGCATAAGTGTTGGAAATCAATTCTACAGGAGTGAAAAATCGATATTTCCTCTGAAAAAAAAAAAAAAAATGAAAAAGGATACAATGTAATTAATTAAAGTGCATAGGTACGTGAAGAAAATAAAGGAGAAATATGAACGGGGGGGAGATTGAGACCGATATGATCTAAAATGCTTTGCTTCCACAGGCAATTATCAAGAGATTGGTCTGAGCAGAGCACTGAATTGCCTGAATAAGGAATCAACAGGGACTTGTCACTGTTGCCGTCTCCACGGAACATTCTTTTCACATCCTTGCGACAGAGCACGATTTACAATTGAATCAGTGAGAACGAAAACACACCGACTCGAAAAAATGACAGTATTCAAGACACACACAAAACTGCACGGTGGGTGAAGAAGTTAGTCTAAGAAAAATATTTTTGGTCCCGAAAGACAAGCACTGAAGGACACTTTAAAGGTCCGAGTTGAAACAGATGCGCTAATTTTATTAAACTTTATGAAAATTGGCTGTCTTAAATGAAAATTGAGCATTTTCGAGATACCGAGTTGGTGTGTTTTCGTTCTCACTGATTCAGTTGAACAAGTTATTTCAAGATGTGCAAATGACCAATTAAGTACTAAGGTTAAACTAGGATAAAAAAATTAAAGGACAAAAAAGAAAGATAAAAAATAAAAAAGACAACCAGAGAAGAAATTCCTATTCCGATAATCCAGATAGGAGATCCAATATTCATGTCGGTAGAAGACTGAGCAAAATTAAATGATTAGTAAAGCCAACCGAATACAGATAAAAAAAACATGCAAGGGAACAAAAAATTGACATACTGTTGGCTTTTGCTTCTTCTTCTCTCAGTTGCTCCATGATCCTACTAGATAGTCGGATCATGAGTTGGGAATTGCTCTTGAAACGAGAATTGATATTCATTCGGTCAAGATTTTTCACCACTTCGACTTCTTAAGTGTAGCTCTTCTGAGCAACAAATCTCAAGAGAGTGTCCCAGGGGGACAAGGCCTTGAGTGATGATAAAAAATCTCACATTTCGGTATCAGTTTTCAGTACTGCCCTGCCAAGGAAGAGCGCAGTAAGTATGTAGGGGAATGATAGACTTTAACCGCATGTTTTTTCATTTTAAATCTTTACTCTACATGTACAGAGAAACAATATCATGTCACATTTATGAATAACTGAATAATAAACTTGAGAAAAGGGAGGATAAACAAAGGGCCGATCCATGAGACTCCATGTGATCAGTTTAAGTTGATTTTTAGTGGGAGCTATTCATGATTCATCATCGAGATTGTTCCTCTTCCTTGGCGGGGCAGCAGAGGACAAAAGTAACTTGGATAGGTAACAAGAGGAGTCCAATAACACTGAGCATGAAATGTTCAAACTTTAGTACACTAAGGATATAAGTTGATTCGCCAAGCAATACATGCCTTGAAAGGAATTGATTTTGTCCAGGCTTTATCTACAAAAAGAGGAGGTAATGGATCTGACTGAAATAGTTCATCATGGAGATTCTCCTTTTTGGGTTCATCTTCTTCGTTTCGCTCACAATTTGTGAGTGAATTCAATGTTCTCTTTCGTTCCACTGAAGCACTTGCCATTATGTGATGCAAGCTGCTGATTTAAAGCGCATAATTTGTTTAATTTTCTAGTTAAGTACACACCACACTGAGAATTAAGCACCGACAGACGCTTTATTATAGTTGGTTACATAAAAGCAACCCATAGTGATTGAAGTTAGAAGTATTATTTTGTAACCAATGTGTACAGTTCTCAAACCGTGCAATGATTTTTCTTACGGGCCTACCGCATGTTTAACCGTTGCTAGGATGAGTAATCATGGAATTCAGTGGCTTGTTAGCAGGAGAGGAACTGGAGTTACAGGATATAATCATACCTTTGCGTGCTCATACCTCAAACACAGAAACCAGGAATTAGAGAGCTTGCATGTTACATCATCAAAACAGATTTTCGTTGACGATTTATAAACTAAACTCCCTACAAAAATGGAATTGAGAGATTTGAACATACATTTTGGTCACGTCGCTCCATCGCTCGACACGCTGTTTTGTTTATGTTCACGGGTAGGTGTAGGTTATGTCCTGGTTATGTCGTATCATTTCTGTGATTGGTCTGAGCAATGCAATCTGATCTTCCCGCGCTTTTTTTAGCCAATCAGACGCCCAACAACTCCCTTCCCCCTTCATGTCTTGTCTGACAAGGCCATTGACGTATAATACAATCGATTGTATTATACGTCAATGGACAAGGCCAAAAGAATTCGAGTACGATTGGAGGATTGGATTGACGAATGAATGCAGACGCAGGCATTCTTCTCTCATCCTTCAATGGAATTGGGACTCCGGAGTAGGTAATCGGTGTGGTATCACGCAGAAATGAAGGATAATCTTATACTAGGGCCCACGAACGATGATCCCTGAGCCGCGGGTATTTCTTGCAAACACTGGCAACAGCGACACCCCGGCCCGAACCGATTCTCGAGTTCGGGGACAATGCCGAGCCGAGCCACAATCGAACCCTAATTACTTACGCGTAATTTACAATTTCACCCTCCCGCTAGAAAAAACCAAAATTAGTTGAAAGTTGTGTAACATATTTTTAGCAAGTGTTTCGTTACTCTCCTTTAAAACACGAGTAAAAAGAGGCCTCGTTCATAAAAATCGGTCAAATAGCAGCAAAGTTACAGTTCGAGATACGATGTTATAAATAAAAATTGGACTTCGCTTCAAAAAGGAAAAAGAAGGAAAAAATAGAAATTGTATATAACAATTATATATGATTTAGCTCAGAATTTTACGAGCAATCCAACCATGTAATGGACGAAGAGATTGGGGCAAAATTAAAAGAAATTGATCTTTTACGAAAGGGCTTGGGCTTCCTATGAAGAATTTTGACCTGAAGATAGGGGTAGAATAGCAGCAGTCCGCATACAATAGCTTTTCGCGTTCACAATACCCGGTCTCGTCGATGTGCGTGCTCGACCCTGCAGCGTTGTCATTTACATGGTCCATGCGTTTATTCGCCCGATTTGTCAGGGATCATCGTTCGTGGGCCCTAGTATAGCTTTAAAAAGTTTCGTCGTCGCGAAAATATCCTCGAATAAACCAGTGATACTTCCTGGCTCCAGATTCTTAGGCAGAGATAACGGCATGAGAGCATTTATTTATCGTTATTTTCCGACTAGTTACATTGACTTTACTATTAATAGCGCCTTCTTAAATTCTCGGGTCGAACTTTCAAAAATTTCCATACGCGCGAAAATATGATTGGAATAAGAACTCAAAATTCGGCGCTGCGGATGCTCATCCGAGACAAGTGGTTGAGAGAATACATTTTTCATTATTTTCCGATCAGTCGTATCGACCCCGTTATTTATAGCGCGTTTTTAACATTACCGGATCGAATTTTCAAAATATTCAGTGGCGCGAAAATATGCTTGGAGCGAGAACTCGAAATTTCGCGTTTCGGATGGTCATCCGAGATAAATGACGAGCGAGCTTTTAATTTCCTTATTATTTTCCAACCAGTTGCATCAGCTCCATCACTTTTAGCACATCCTAATTTTCTTGAATGGAGTTTTCAAAATTTTCCATTGGCGCGAAAATATCCATGAAAAGCTACTGAAAAATCCGAGCTCCAGATTCTCGGCTGGAAAAAGCGGCATGGGAACATGGATTTTCCGTTTTTTCCGACCAGTTGCATGACCCATATCATTTATGGCGCATTTTAATTTTCTCGGATTGAAGTTTCGAAAATCCCGTAGGCGCGAAAGTATTCGTGTAGAACAAAACCGAATGCTCCAGAATCTCAGCCGGTAAAAGTGGCAAGATGGAAAAAACATCGAAAATTCCCGCAGCAGATGGTCATCCAACACAAATGGAAGAGAGAATGGATTTGTCTTTCTCCTCTCATTTCCGACCATTTTCACGGGCCTCATTATTTACAGCACATTTCCAACATTCCTGGATCGCAATTGTAAAAATTGCCAGAGGCGAGGAAATATCCTTTGGGAAGCTACAGAAAAATTCGAGCTTCCAGGTTCTCGGCCAATGAAACTGGGATGGGAGCATGATGGATTTTCCGTTCGTTTTCCGGACCGGTTCTGTCTACTCCCAGCGCGTTTTTAACTTTCGTGGATCGATCTTTCAGGAATTTCGACAGGCGTGAAAGTATCCTTGAAAAAACTAACTCATAATCCTGAGTTCCATATTCTCGGCCGGGGATACTGACTAACATGGGGGCGCATAGACTTTTCATCTCTGACCGGTTGCATCGATTTCGTTCTTTCATTTTCATTTTTTCCCCGTCATGTTATGTGTTTCTCATTTTCGCGGATTGAAATGTCAAAAATGTCAACGCGCACGAAAATATCCCGGAGGCAAAACCTCTCAGTGGTTATTCACTATTCGGTATATAGTGTGAAACGCATCGTCTGAAATCGTCCATCGCGGTGGTCGATTTCGTGGTTTTTTTCATCAGTGCCGTATGGCTTCATCCGTGTTTTATAAAAGCAACCAGTGCAAACGTTTTTATTGATTAATGAAACGAGAGTACGTAACCAAGGTATGGCACTCGGGCGTGGTGTGCTTTGCGATGTATCGATTGATCGGCCATTTAAACCTATGGAAAAGTATCAATCAACAGGGTGCTCGCAGCGAACACCTTTATAATCGATTATTTACCACTGCTTCAAATGGGGAAATATCGATAGATAGCAAAGCACGCCACGCCACTGGCGATATTACGGTGGATGACGTCTTACGCCGTGTTTTTTGATGAGGCTTCGTCCCCGTTGGAACTAGATGTCCGGATTTTTGTTTTAAATTTCAGGAGCATAAACCATCAAAACACGATTCAATTTTTAGCGCAATTGTCCCATCCTCATTGCTTTGCTTATGAATGCATACTTTGAACTGCCGTTTAAACTCATCGCGGAAGCCAACATAGCGTCCGGATTGGTATATCCTTGGCGTACCACCGCGATTTCTTCTGCTACCGGGCGATGCCTCTGCCGCGATCCATGGTTTGTGCAGCCATGCAATGGTAGCAACTGTGGACCATAAATTGCAATAGAGGGGTGGAAAGTGACAACACAGTAAGTAGTAGTTATATTATCGGACGTCATGGTAGCTTTCTGGGGGATGTGCGTGCAAATGTGAGCCCAACATGCACGAAGAAAAAAACTTCGTGCGCGGGACCCGAAGTTGAGGTCATATGGATCTCTGAAGTTTTCGGATCACGTATCAAAAAACTTGAGGTCCAGCTGCCGAAGTTCGGGTCAGACATCTGAAGTACTTCGATATATATCGAAGGGTTCGGGTCACATATATGAAGTACCTACTCCGGTGCATACCGAAGTGCCTCGATGTCTGATCCGAACTTCGGCAGCTCGATCTCAAGTTTTCGGATGCGTGATCAGAAAACTTCAGAGATCCATGTGACCTCAACTGCGGGTCCCATGCAGACGTTTTTTTTTCTTCGTGCACGCTAAGTCGAACTCGTTTTTCGTGGTTTACTATCATTTAACAAAATCAGGGAAAATTACTGTATATTTATGTATAAACGGCCTTTCCCTTTCTATTTCCCAGAAGTAATAATCCCATATTGCCTGTGTCCTTTACATATAATTAACTACTAGTATCCTTCCACATTTCAATGCAACGTGTGATATTATAATGACCTCCTTTTCTCGTATTTCTGCGAGACTCTCATAAGGTATGTAATTTTAATTTTCTGCATCAGCTTAAATGAAGATAAAAAAAAAATTGGGCGGCAAATTTAAGCTATAATTAAACGGCGCAGCTCACAGCCGCCGCCGCGCCGTTAGCTTGCGTTAGTCAGTGTAACCTAGCAGTGCGCCGCCGCTCCGCTTTATGTTAGGCTATAATATTTAATCTGGCGGAGTCAGCGTTATTCAAGTCATGATTTTGAAATGTTTGCACATCCTGTATGGATTATTCTCATTTTAATTGATGAAAAAAAATATGTAGTGAAGGAAAATGTAATGTGCGTTTTGTAAATATTAAGGTGATTCCGTCCAAACTTAAGGATTTACAAAGCACACGAATTTCTACACAATTTCTTATAGTCTTTTATAGCCGATGGTGAAAAAGCAACAGCCAGGCGATTAAGTGTAAAGCCCGACGATAGGAACTATAGCCCGGCTGTATAGTTTTTTATCGCTTCGTGTATAGCCCTACAGCCAGCTATATGATTTTCTATCTACTTCTTCAGTCGGCTATAAGAACTCCTATGGTATTTTGAATCGCAGCTCCCATGGCCAATTTTTACCAGGGTGCCATGTCCTCTCGCGACAGTATTGATGATAACTCGGGTCGATTTCTTTTAACAAATGGCCCGATTTACACCTTTCATATCCTGCTGGATATCTAATTCTCAGGATCTTTTAACGGAGGATATGGATCCCCATATACCCATAAACCTAACCATGTATGGGGTATCCACACCCTCCTTTTTTAAAGAATATATCATTCCGATATTCGTGAAAAGTTTTGGGTTGAAACAGGTTTAAAATAATGAGATATACCGATGAGTCTTTTTCATACTCATGCTCCCCTTTTTTGTAATTTCAAATAAGTTTTAGGATACAGCACAAAAGTCACAACTCAAAATTTTAATGTTTCAGCTGTTTAATTTGTATGCAAGGCTGAGATTACACGATCAAGACACACTTAAATGCCGACACGTTCGTAATGTTTCTGGGTTAAATAAAATGTTAAAAGCCTTCTTTGAGAATAATTTTAGGTACCTACAAAGAAGTTTCCCAATTGCTATCACTTTGAAAATTGTCAAACATTTGAATACACTAAAATATTTTTCGTGACCGTTGAGTTTACAGCAGCCGTACGTCTAAAAAGGTGTTATCGTCGTTTGATTTTCATATGAATGCCCGAGTCAGTTTTCAGCACTATTTCTGTTATTAAATACAGCTCCGTTTGTGTCTCGGATGGAAGGAAAATGAAATTCCTCGCGAGATTAGAAAGTCCCACTTTCAGCTCATTGTAAGCGTATTTCATACCTGAAACATATTAACACAAATGCTTGATTATTATTTCAAGGAATTTCAATGTTTTCCTCTTTTGAGAAATGTTCAAAATCAATTCGTGATTATAAAACGAGGGTCATCTAGAAAGTAAGGTCTCCTGTAGATTTTCTCGCCAATTGTTAATACTGTATTTAAAAAAAAAAAAAAAAAAAAAAAAAAAAAAAAAAAAGCAGACGCATATTTTGATTTATCTATATAATATAAGCCTCCATTTAAAAAAAAAAATAAATAAAAAAATAATCACAAAAACGCACAGGAAAGCAATTTTTCTGCGCCACCGTCCACGTCATTGCACTCACAGCCTCGACGGATCCGAGTACCTACCCCAAAACTCTGCTTCAAAAATGTTGTATGAGAATCTCCTATAATTACGTGAATAATTCACGTAAAAATGTATATTGCAGGGAAAATAATGCAGTTTACTTTTGCCTCGAACATAAAGAGGCTCAAATGACTACACTATTTTAAACAATTTTTCTGGATAGCTTTTATCTATAATAATAAGTAGTCTGATCAAACTCTCGCGAAGGGTGACTATATCATGTCATTATTTTTCACGCATGACAGAATTAATTGTTTTTTTATGGTTGACAAAAATACTTATATGCGTGGCCATTTCACTACTGCAAATCACAAGCAATAAATTTAACTCACCGATACAATCCCTGGATCCTCCTCCGAAGGGTAAAAACGAATACGGGTGTCTTTTCTGCACATTTTCTGGCGAAAAATTATCTGGATTAAAAACTGACGGATTTGGGTACAGTTGCGAATCATTGTGCATCCGGTGCAACCATAAAACAATATCAGCGTTCTGTGGAATTATAAGGCCATCTGAAATCACAAAGCAAGTTGGTAACTTGTTCCCTCAAACTACAACCTTTGGCGAAGCGTTAAATGCGTATCTATTCCATGGATCAGAAGTATATTACTACCCAAGTAGCGCAGTGCAACGAAAATATTGAAATAAAATTGCAAATTGCACTCAATCAATGTGTGTCCCTTGCCGGGACAAAGCAGTAGAAACCGCGTAGAGCGCGCACCGTGCTGTGCGCGCAATGCGTGAAGTATTCCTACAGTCTTGCAGGCGCTAATATGCGTTTACAGCCGGCCGCACTGTGTATTGTGCGATTATTTGAACTCGCGATGGAATAATCGCGGCATCGAATAATGGGGCTTAAAAGACACATGTTGTGTTTCGACGCCGTATGAGCATTCCAAAGTTGCCTCGTTTCTCTAGATAAAATATATTTTCCAAGAAGAGTTAAAAAAGTTCTCCATATTATGTTCGCTTTTTTAGATTGGATGGACCATATGTATATTAGACAAGGTAAGAATTTAAGCACTATGCTAAATGATTCTTCACCAAACTTCCACGTAAAAACATGATTTGCGTAACAAAAATTACTGAAATCAACTCCTTGCTAAGATGTTCACAATTTTTTGGTTACGGGAAATTTGAATTGCCCAGTCACAGGAAAAACAATACCCTGCGCGAGTCAAATCGCGCACTACAACGCCTTTAGCAGACTACTCAATCGAGCATTGTTTCTTTCCACCCTGTGTTGTTCAAAGTGTGAACAACTTGCCACAGCTGAGCCAAAGCGTCCAGATTGAGGTTGCCGTATTTTCATATTGCTAAGACTCTCATAGTTACGTTCAGCGTGCAATTGAACCCAAGTAAATTATTCTCTCTTCCATGAGCGGAAAGTTTGAATTTATTCATAAAGAACGTCATCACCATGGTTAGGAGTTGATCTAGGGTAAGAACTTGAGCGATCGAGAGCCTCGTTGCCTCTTGGTCAAGTTGAACAACAAAGTAAAGATACGGTCATGATCTTCGTTTCAAATGAAAAGAAAAAAAATTACCAACTTTTCAATTGTAAGTCTGCGTTTGCGCAGCGACCTATCATTGGGACGGACGAGTACATTCGTAAAGTTTCTTTGATGACTTGCTCCAAGTACTTCATTTCTTGCAAGTCTTTGAGACTTGGAGGTCTGTCACTTCCTCCTAGGATTGCATTGATTTCTTCGTAAATCTTCTCCTGAAAAAGCGCATAAAACGGGATTAGTGCCTGAGGGTACGTAGTAAGGAAGAAAGCCTGCGTATCAGCCGATTTTCATCTTGAAAATAAAGAATTCTTGAAAACCACGAAAACTCAGTTTTTTGCGAACATTTTTGAGGGAGTGGAGGGGGGAGGGGGCTTTCCTCTTAGCTCCGCCTTTGTCGAATAAGTCACCCACACAGCGTCGCGCATCGTTCGCCGTTTCTTATTGCCCGAGCAAACAAGTAAAAAGTTTCGAAGCCCTGTGGGCTAATCTTTGAAATTGATAGGCATGGAGCACATAGAGTCGTAATGTAAACGAGACAGCTGGCGCCACTTTTAAGCATTTTCCAGGTCCCTAATTCCGAGACTCCTGCTGCGTGTCACCCTGAGTCACTTTTTCGATACACAATCGATTGCTTTCGATACGTGGGGACCCGGCCAGCTGATGTAAATAAAGAGGATAGGAAATTACTACATATTCCACATTGCCATTTTGGATCGAAAAAGTGACCGAAGCTCGCGGCGCGCACCAGCGGGCTGATTATTGAAATTTATTGACAAAACGATAAACAAAAAAGACATTGGGAGTATGGAGCGATCCTATTGGTTAAAATGGATGGCTTTTAGAAATTAAGGGAGAAAATGATGGACTAACTACAGGGTCCCTCGTGGATTAATTGTCATTATTTAGTAGGTAAATCACCTACCTCCTTTGTCCATAGTTCACCCACTTCCACCAATAAGCTCCCTCCATACCCCTCTCGCCTTCTTTGTCCATAGCTTTGTCTATCAATTTCAATAATCAGCCCGCAGGCTCGGAACTCGTCGACAAGAACATGGCGCCGATAGACAAAGCGATAGATGAAGAAGACAATAAAAGGGAAATGGAGCGATCTCCTTAGGTCTGGTTACGCGATCAAATTGAGCCACCAAATTGGGCCTCTCATTGGTCGCATCCTCACCTCAGGTCTTTTTCCACGATTCAGAGCTTCAGTTTGATGGCTATATTTGATCGTGTAACTGGACCTCTCTGGACACTTACAGTGGACACAGAAAGTAAGTAATTGACTAACAACAACACACGAGAGACCCCTCGGCTAGCCCATCCTTTCTCCCTTTAGTCTATGGGGGCCACCCGTTTCAACCAATACATCACTCCACTTTTTCCTCTGTCTATCGCCCTGTCTACCAATTTCAATAAACAGCCCGCAGACCATTTCTCACAATCTAGCCTCTTTGTCTCACGGAATAACGGCACGTACAGTCCCCAACTTTTATCTTTGTATCGTATCAATCCTTAAACTTTCGTTTTCGCTGGATTGTGAAGGTTGTGCTTTTCTAAAAAGTTCTTTCTTCTCCAAAATCTGAAACGTTCTTCACGTTTACCGCGATCCGCAGATCGAGATGGGGTATATTTTCTGAAATCTATCTCCCCTCACATACCATTACTGACCACCTCACTCATATTTTCGGCTCTCATACCTTACGGATATCATTATATAGCGAGAGACAAATGGACTCATTTTGCAATTTGGAACTATAAATTCTGGCCCGGTTTAACAACAACGTATGTGCCATAGTTTCGCTGTATGCACATGAGTGTTTTTTCAGATGAGCCAGAAGTTATGGTTCCAAATTGCAAAATGCAGTCCAGATAGCTCCATACTGAAAGTCAAAGAGACGGAGGAGCGTCAAATTTAGAACTAACACATACACACTATAGAGTCATCGGTTGTTTTTGAAAACATGCATGCAATGCTGGTAGGTAAGTCCTCACCTGAACCTCTGGATGCTTTGACAGCAAATGCAAACAAAACGATGTCGTCGCAGAGACTGTATCATGTCCCTTGAAAAGGAGAAGCAAGACGAATTAAGTAAAAAAGTGAAGATTTCAAAATAAATTGATTGCCAATAAAATAAGGGGAATAATTAATTGCCGCGCAAAAAGTAGCGCGCTTAACTTTATTCAATTATTCATTAAATCAATTTCATAAGATAATCGATTCGCGTTATTTTCGATGCCTTATTTTTATGGAGGATTTACTCATGCTCTGAGATCTTCAATGTCGAAAATTTTAGATCAGGAATTTTTCAAAACCATACAAGGGAGCTGTAAAATCTACCTCTCTTAATTTTTTTAACATTCAAATTATGCACAGTTGTGCGTTTTACTAGCAGGAGAGCTCTGCGTGATTGCTGCATGCCTGGCTTCAGAATTGGTAAAAAAAATGGACGACATTCCCCAATACTAGGCTAGTCGAAAAAGTGACAGCGCTACTCAAAACGTGATGGGGCAACATTGTTTCCGTGATTTAAGCAAAAAAAATTGAGGACGCTTGGTTTTTTTAGCGGCAACATCTTGATGCAACTGTTCATGCTAATGGATGTCCGTGTTGCGTGCAAAAATTTGAAGGCGCTCTTCTTAGGTAATCACAACGCCGGCAGGATGCAACTATTCGTGTTCAAGGGATGTTCGTGTTGCGTGCAAAAAATTGAGGGCGCTCTTCTTAGGTAATCACAACGCCGGCAGGATGCAACTGTTCGCGTCAAGGGATGTGCGTGTTGTGTGCAAAAAATTGAAGGCGCTCTGCTTTTCTTTATCACACCGCGCAACGCCGCATAACGTCTACTTTCAACCATTCATCCCTACTCAAGAACTATTCTTGATGCATTTAGCTCGTTTTTATGTTCACCTTAGCAAATCTTAGACTTAAGGTTCGCCCATATCCAAGTTGCAGCAGTGATCGCGATAAATTGCGATTTTATCGATCGGTCATCGCGATTATATGTATTGGTATCAATCCCACACATTGCCTATGTCGTCCATGCCATTAATGGACTACATTTTGCAATTTGGAACTATAAATTCTGACTCTTCTGGAAAAACACTTATGAGCGTAGGGAAACTAATAGCACATACGTCGTTTTTAAACCGGACTAGAATTTATATAATGCAAAATCCAAATTGCAAAATGTAGTCCTAATGTCGTACGTGTATGGAATGCGAAGTAAAATTTACGATGCATACAGCGATTAAATCGCCATCCATCGCAAATTTTGGTTTAATAAAATCGCGATCAATTTTCTACGACAAAATCGAAATTAAATCGCTATATATTGCAATTTTTGTTTGGATGATATCGCGATAAATTGCCATTTTGCCGAGCGATAAATTTGCAATTTTATTGCGATAAGATCGAGGATAATCGCTCAGNATGCAACTGTTCGCGTCAAGGGATGTCCGTGTTGTGTGCAAAAAATTGAAGGCGCTCTGCTTTTCTTTATCACACCGCGCAACGCCGCATAACGTCTACTTTCAACCATTCATCCCTACTCAAGAACTATTCTTGATGCATTCAGCTCGTTTTTATGTTCACCTTAGCAAATCTTAGACTTAAGGTTCGCCCATATCCAAGTTGCAGCAGTGATCGCGATAAATTGCGATTTTATCGATCGGTCATCGCGATTATATGTATTGGTATCAATCCCACACATTGCCTATGTCGTCCATGCCATTAATGGACTACATTTTGCAATTTGGAACTATAAATTCTGACTCTTCTGGAAAAACACTTATGTGCGTAGGGAAACTAATAGCACATACGTCGTTTTTAAACCGGACTAGAATTTATAGTTCCAAATTGCAAAATGTTGTCCTAATGTCGTACATGTATGGAATGCGAAGTAAAATTTACGATGCCTACGGCGATTAAATCGCCATCCATCGCAAATTTTGGTTTAATAAAATCGCGATCAATTTTCTACGACAAAATCGAAATTAAATCGCTATATATTGCAATTTTTGTTTGGATGATGTCGCGATAAATTGCCATTTTGCCGAGCGATAAATTTGCAATTTTATTGCGATAAGATCGAGGATAATCGCTCAGATGTCGATGATACCAGCGATTTTATCGCCGATTAAATCGCTATATATTGCGATGATAAAATCGCCAGGATCATTAACATCTGAGCGATTATCCTCGATCTCATCGCGATAAAATCACGCTTTTATGGCCTGACAATTCATCGCGATATTTGCAAAATTTAAATGGCGATTTTATCGACGAAAATTGATCGCAATTTTAACGAACCAAAAATTGTTATGCACAGCGATTAAGTCGCCATACGTGGCAATTTTTTATTCGATAATATCGCGATAAAGTGCCACCGATAAAATCGCTATTCATCGCGATCACTAGGCTACTTGGGCTGGGATACTGGCACCGCTGCAGTATGTTGCCAACGGAATCAACCTGATTGATTTTCGAAAACCCCATGGCAATTATTCACGGAATTTATATTGTGCCTAAAAGGAGTGCGCAGCCGTTCCTGTTCTCCCTAATTAAATGCAGTCTGCATCTCACCCGTATAGTATTTAAAACTTCATCCCTTATTTGCACCACAGGGACTTTTAAAATGAGTCACAAAATGCCGAGAGAATAATTCATTTCGATTCATTTGTCTGACATGATAAAGCACCTATAGGAAAAGGTATTAAGAAAGAAATGCAACTTCCACTTACGGCAAACATGAGCGTATTGACTTCATCTCGGATTTGTTGATCCGTGAAAGAACTGTCCTCTTTTTGAATATGAAGCATAAGATCCAAGAAAATTAATCGCCTTCTCTGTCCTAAAAAGAAACACGCCATTAGCGGATCCAGCAAGTTGGCAACATTGTTTTTATCCATTTAAACCTATGAAAATGTATCGATTCTTGAAGGGGCCAGGTGCTCCGACAAAAATCGATTATTGAACAATGAACATAGGTTTAAAGGTAGGGAATTCGGTGTTGCCAAATTACTGGACCCGCCTCTGAAACACGCCAGAGTAATGAGATAAATCGGATGATATTTCAAATTATTGAATATTTCATTACTCTATATGCTGAGAGTTTTCTCACCTAAAAGAAGCACGCATGCATTTCCATGGAATTTTATTGCCTTGAAAGTCTGAGAGCCATACATTGAAAATAATGAAAATGAAGACGAGGGAAAAGGAAACTAAATATTGTCACCAAAGAAGCATGACTTGGAATAGAGGCTGCCAGACGCGGGCCAATACGCACCACGTGCTGAACAAAACGTTCTGTATCTTTTAATATGATTATGAATGAAGCAGCACCTCACAGTGAAGTAGTATATGTATAAGTAGGTACTCACAAAAAGGAAAACAAATTACATATCGACGGTGTAAGTCGGCAATCACAAAACTCGTTTGCGGTGTCTGAAAATCTCCGCCTCTATGATATTTTTTTAAAAAGAGAACAGATTTTCATCAGTACTTGAAGTTTTTGCAGAATTTTCTTCGCACAGAAAAGAAAAACGACGGCAGTTTTAAAGAATTGCCGTTGAGTACTTTTCCGTTTAAAAAATAAAGTATGACAGGAAGTCTGCGACGCGACGTCGCAAACCGAGTTAAGTGATTGCTGACCTACACCGTCAATATATAATCAAGCCTCACAAAATCACGGTGCCAATGGTCGCCCTTCCTCCTATGGAGCTCAATGCGATGAAAATATTGAAATAAAATTGCGATTTATTGCAATAAAACGGAATTTTTTTTTACCATGAAATTGCAACATTTTCACAGCATTTGGTCTGTAAATGCCCACTTTAAACACTTGATGAAGTGACAGCTCCGTATTTCGGAGAAGTACTTAGTGCAATGAAAAATTGCAACTTATTTCAATTTTATTTCAATAAATTTCAATACACGTACGCCTTCAATCAGTGGATAGGCAATATACACGACGCTGCGGTGCACTAGCAATAATGGTACCGTATGTAAGTACAATTAATTGCAATCTGTGTTACTTGGGCCCGTGTGATTGATGTACCTACATATACTTGTAAAAAATGTGCACCTACCGCCTTGGTGCACATGTCCCTATTCACATTTGGCCCAAGCATACGTTACAAAATATATATAATTTAGAGCTGACTCCGTGTTAAAGAAGGTGCGTGATTGGGCCTCTCACCTACTTACCCTCTGCAAGGTGTTCATCGTTACCGTCTTCAACATCCCATTTTCTGCACTCAGCCCTTCGCGATCGAATAACCTGCAAAGGGTGCAAATCAATCGCTGATAGTACAAATTTGGTATTGAAGTTCGTTTGATTGGAATTGGATTTCACTCATAACCAGTAATACTTACACCCCAAAATTCGGCAGTTTCCAAAAATCAGCAGCAGAAACAGATTAATTCTTACTCGAGGAGGCAACCAAAACATGTTTTTAGATCAATAATAATTGAAGCTATTCAAATTGAGGGGAAGGGAAAATTTACTTGGAGCCCACAACTCTTTTATGATACTTTTTCTTATGTGATACAATTGTTCACAATTTTCCAAGATGAGGGATAAGGACGAGTGGAGCGTTAATGCGGATGTCTAAAATACTGCGAACTTATTCAAGTTTTTCATTTCAAAAAGCATCTTTTCGACGGTGTAGCGACGTCCTGACGAGCGGCTTTCATCGACTTGCCACGCCTTCCTTTACCGCTGGCCAATCATGCTAGGCCAGGAGATTTAGGTTAATTTATTATACGGCCGAAATAGTCTCCGTATTTGCCGATCTATATCGGCAAAAGACGGTCTCTATAGACCGTTTATCCCCGGTAAAAATTGGCAACAGGAGCTGCGTTTCAAAATACCGTCGGAATGCTTATATATAGCCGGCTATAGAAGGTGATAGAAAATCATATATCTGGCAGTAAAAAGCGAGGAAAATCATACAGACGGGCTGGACGCGATGCGATAAAAATTATATAGCCGGGCAACAGTTCCCATCACCGGCCTATGCTGCAGTTTATCGCCTGGCTGTAGCTTTATCGCCATCGGCTGTAAAAGGTAATAAGAAATTGTATGGCCAGCTGTAGAAGCTATATCTTACAGTCGGCTGTAGGTCTATAGTATTTTGGAACATAGATCCTACTGCCCTGGTAAAAATTGGCGATAAGAGCTGCGTTTCAAAATACGATAGGAAATCTTATAGCCGGCTAAAGAAGGCTCCAGGAAATCATTAAGTTTGATACGGAACCACCTTAATATTTACAAAACACACACTATATTTTCCTTTAATACATATTTTTTTTCATAAATTAAAATGAGAATAATCCATACAGGATGTGCAAACATTTCAATATCACGAGTCTAATAACGCTGACTCCGCCAGATTAAATATTAGAGCCTGACACAAAGCGGAGCGGCGACGCACTGGCGCCTACAAACCTAACAAGGATACTTCACGCATTGCGCAACGCGTGAAGTATCCCTGTTGGGTTTGTAGGCGCCAATGCGCGTTTCGCGATGGCTGCCCGCCTGCCGCGCCGCAGCGTGCCACGGCGCTTGAAGCAACTATTTCACACCAGAGGTATTGCACAGTATCATACGAAACTGAAGGCGCTCTAATATATTAGGAATGGCAGGCACCCATCAAAAGTACGGAGCTTTCCTCGCAAAATAAATCAAGATACTGCGGCCCAAAAAGAGAGCAGTAGTCCAAAACCTCACAAAGTCCTAGCATCCGTAAGTGGTAATGTTTAGCATACACTTTATCGCCTGCCTGTTGCTCAATCGCCATCGGCTATAAAAGGTTATAAGAAATTGTGTAGCCGGCTATAGAAGCTATTGGAAATCTTACAGCCGGCTGTAGGTCTATGGTATTTTGGAACACAGATTCAACTGCCAATTTTTACCAGGGATGCCAATTTTTACCAGGGATAAAATGGACTACATTATGCAATTAGGAACTATAAATTCCAGCCCGGTTTAAAAACAACGTATATGCTTTTAGTTTCCCTATGCACGTATAAGTGTTTTTCCATAAGAGCCAGAATTTATAGTTCCAAATTGCAAAATGCACTCCAAATACGTAACGCTCTAGGAGGAGGAGAGTCGAAGAGAGCGTTGCACGCGGCATTTTGTTATTTGGACTGCATTTTGCAATTTGGAGCCATGAATTCTGGCTCATCTGAAAAAACACTTATGAGCACAGGGAAACTAATGGCACATAAGTTGTTTTTAAACCGGGCCTGAATTTATAGTTCCTAATTGCAAAATGTAGTCCATTTTACGTGCGCTAAAGGATAAAGATCGAGACCTACATCACCGAAACGTTACGATGGGGTAGTGGGAGAATCTAAAAATCCGAAGTTTAGCTTTACGTATTTTATGAACGGCCCCATAGTTTACAGCGTCTTTCAATATCTGGATACACCTTTATAGAAAATAATTGAAAGAGCAGTCCTGTTAACAATATAAGCGAAAGAGAAAACCAGCATTCACTATTCATGATATCCACTGAAATAATAAGGATTTAAAATGGGTAGAAAATGGTGAGTCATGAGCTAGGGGAAATGGCAGATGAAGCATAAAATTTTCTTTAAAAATTCCACGTCGCTCCCATAAATAGGCATGACCATTATTAGAATGATGAAATTTTCTCAAGTTAATTTTCTATCTTTTCCATTTTTCGAAAATTGCTCCATCGTCACCGGGTTCGTATTATAGAATAGCCAGTGGTTATAGCCTTTGCATGAAATCAACGACCGGTTCATAAAATTTCAAGGTTCCTGGTTCGCCGATAAATTGTGCAAATCAATCAAAAGTGAGGAATAGTTTTAATCACATGCCACATAAATATGTATCAGACGCGTGAATTCACTAACCTTTTCTGTAATGCTGTCAATGTAGTGTAGAAGTTGTTTTTCTCTCCTACCGAGAGGATGTAAGTTGTAAAAAAGTTTGTTCTTAAAAAGAGGGACGAAAATTTTTGTGGCGAATATTGCGTTGAGCCTGTGGAAAGCAGAGAAATGCGTCAATTAAAATACCGCCAGATTTCGGTAAATGCGGTTGACCTTAAATATTTAAAATAATTTTAGTACACAGTGCATGGGGCTCAAAATAGTCAAAATTGTCGTACATTTTCGACGGGCCGGCCGGTTAGTCGTATGATCATGATTTAGGGATCTGGCCCATTTTAATTTGTTAGGCAAAACATTTTAAGCGGGACACAAATTTTCAATGACCTAGTCTGTTATGAATCGACAGTGTAAGTCGGCAATCACATAACTCGGTTTGTTACGTCACAGACTTCCTGTCATACTTTATTTTTTAAACGGAAAAGTCTCAACGGAAATTCTTTAAAACTGCCGTGATTTTTCCTTTTTGTGCGAAGAAAATTCTGCAAAAACTTCAAGTAATGATGAAAATTTGTTCTCTTTTAAAATAATATCATAGAGGCGGAGTTTTTCAGACACCGCAAACGAGTTATGTGATTGCCGACTTACGCTGTCGATATACGAAGTATATGGATTTACGTAGCTTGTCCGATTAAAAATGTCCAACCTAACCGACCCTCAAGAAAGTTGGGGTCTGGGAACCACCGTAGCTTTCTTCGCGAGATAAATTAGGNTAGGGGGGGGGGGGGCATGACCTCGAAAGTCACTGTTTCCGGCCATATTTCAATTGGTTCCACCGACAGGAAAAATAGGACAAATTCCATAACATGATTTTTTCCGATTACAGCCATCGATACTCTGTTATAATAGGTGGGAAAAATTGAGGGCGCCTACATCAACGCCTGGATACAACTATTCGTGCTCAAGGGATGCTAGTGTTGCATACCCGCAAAATTGCAGGCGCTCTGCTTTTCTTAATGGAAACCCCAGGCAGCAGCAATCATATGTTTTGTGCTCAAGGGATATCCGTCTTGCTTTTAAATTTTGTTGGTCATAAATTAAGGGTGAGCACTTGAGCAATGCATTGCTGCGGTGTTGCCAAGCCCAAATAGTGCGATTTACGGAAAAACAGCCAGCCGAAAAAGAAGTAAAAACAAGTTGGAAAGGGACGGATCGTCCTCGAGGTTGCAATGGACCACTGAACAGGGTAAAAAATTAAGCACTGGAGTAGATGATTCCTTATCAAAATTATACGAAGGACATGTGGAACACATTGGAAATTTCCAAAATTGACTCACAATTGAAAAATAAATGTTTGCAGTTCACTTTATGAAAATAAAAATCTGAACTTGCTGCTTGCGAAAAGACCTTAATCAATGTAAGTCAAATTAGGCATTGATATCAAACTGTATGTTGAGCAAATAATAACTATAGTGCTTGGTTCTGCTTAAAATTCCTTCCTTTCTGATGTAAGCTACCTTTAACCTTGTCAAAAAAAAATTTAGTACACAAGAAGGCTCTTCCATTGAAAAATATATTCCGAGAGTGGTTTAGTGCTCGATTTCAATCAAGAAGCCTCTGTTTTTAGCAATCTTCTGAGCATCTTTCTTGTTAGCGAGGGGGTTGCTGTAACGTAGACAAGAACCACAAGTTCCTCACTCATGATAAATTCGGTAAGTTGCAATAAGACACACTTGGACGCATTTTACTGCCATGGCGTGAATACGACAAGGTTATGATAGATAACTAATTGCAGTCAGGATGTCGCGATCAAGAAAAGCGGAGTGCCTTCAATTTTACGCGTATGCAAAACGGGCATTCGTTGAACACGAGTAGTTGTATCCAGACATAGTATTTAAAAAACCAAGTCGTCTTCAATGGTTACCCACTTCTGATAACGAAATATTACGGCTATAATCGAAAAAAATGCGTGTCTTTTTCGCAACATTTAAAACCTCCGATCATAATTGACTTCATCGTGAAGAAACTAAAGTAATCAGAATACCTCCTTGAAATCTTCTCTATGTTTGAGAGAGTACCAACGAAAAATTCACAGTAAGTAAAACTATTTGTTGGACTCCAACCTTGCCAATCTCTCGGCCCACGTGTACCTACCTACAGTTCGTGCTTTCTCTCCTCCCTTCTCCTCCGCATATCTCTTTTTCCCTTTTCCCTTTCTTGCTTAATTTTTTCTCTTTTTCCCCTTTTGCCGCGGCTGGCCCACCGAAAACTTCCCAATTTCCCGGTGGGAAATCCACTTCTGCGGAAGAGGCTCCCAAAGTTTAAGAAGCATTCTCAACTATGACGCAGAAACTTTTAAAGCCCTGTGATCCTGTGAACAGAGTGCTCTGGAATCAGCACCAATTTTTTTTTTTTTTTTTTTNTTTTTTTTTTTTTTTTTTTTTTTTTTTTTTTTTTTTTTTTTTTTTTTTTTTTTTTTTTTTGCGAGGTGTTGTTAAAAAGCAATCACCCTGAAGTCAGCGTGTTAAAGTGATAATCCTAGGTTTTACCATCTGTACTGGATGGATTTTTACTATATTATCATCGTATCATATTTCAAGAGTCAAGTTTATTATCATAATGATAAAATATGACAACGCGGGTAAATAAAAAAACTTACTCGCCAACTGCTTTTGAGTAGAAATCATCGTCTGATATTGAGTCTAGGCTAATACCCATGGCTGTCTCTAAAAATAAAAATAAAATAAAATTATTATTTTGCGGTTTATCAAAGAAACTTCGCAAGGAATAAAGATTACTGCATATGTACATATGACTGATATTTTGAAAAGCAATGCTAATTTGCCGGAAAACGAGGAGGAAAACCGCAAATTGTAAGAGACATTGGCGGATCCAGCAAATTGGCAACATCGTTTTTCTCCATCTAAACCTATGGAAATGTATCGATTCTTTGAGGGGTCAGGTGCCCCGACAAGAATCGATTATTTAACATAGCTTTAAATGGAGGGAATCCGATGTTGTCAAATTTCTGGATCCACCTCTGGTAAGAGGTATGTAGAAACTTCTACAATTTTACGATGAAACATGGCTATTATTTCTATTGACAGTACGTATATTGAAATTTAAATTTTCAATACAACCGATTTCATGAGTATATATCATCCCTTTTTCATGTTATTAATTTTCAGAAAACAACCACGGTTTTTCGCGTACCTTCGCCTTACCTCCCACATAATTTCTGAGTATTTAAAAATCACAACCCTTACCAGGGCCGGATTTACCCACTTGCCGCCCATGGGCCACCTGTATTTTGCCGCCCCATTCTCATTCGTTCTGAAACTTAAATAAAAACCATCAAGTGAACGTGCCGGAGGGGGCGGGTTGCATAAGACACGTTTACTCGTGTTGGACACATTTTTTGCAAAAAAATGTGCAAAACATAAATGTGGTTTAATAATTTTAACTTCCGCTGCCGCGCCACGCTGACCGCACTGCCTTTGGCGCAATGGGTGAAGTATTCATGCACTCTTGTAGGCGCCATGCGTTTCCCGCCGATCGCTGCTGACCGCACTGTATTTGACGCAACGCGTGAAGTATTCATGCAGTCTTGTAGGCGCTAATATGTGTAACACGCCGACCGCCGCGCCGAGGGATTTTCCTTTCAATCTCAAGTCCTCGTCATCATTTCACTCTGCGCCGCGCCGTTCCAGGCCAAATAGGGTGCTTGGTTCCTCTCTTAACTCGACTAATTAAAGGTGCTACCTCTTGTATCTCCGAAAGACGACAAAATTAGAAATTACTATACTCTCAGGAAATGAGAGATTTTGTCGCCTTTTCTCGTTTGCAATTTTTTTCTGAACCCGATTTTTTATACCTACATTTGAAAAAAAGTCAAAATTTGCCGTCTACCTAAATTTGCCGCCCCCTAAATTTGCCGCCATGGGCCGCGGCCCATGTGGCCACCCCCTAGATCCGGCCCTGACCCTCACTTTGCGGCGTTGCTTTTTTGTACCATTTATTTTTTTGTAGACGATTCTTTTGTTTTCTTTAAGTTGTAATGGAGAGATTCATATTTCTAGTGTGATCGAGGAAACTTGGTGGATTAGAGTTGGGATTAGAAGAAAAATTATATTTATTGCTTGTGATGCAGAAAAGGTGGAAAAAGTTTTATCTTTATTCCTTAATGCCAACAGGCGAGTATTCTATCATTGTTCAATGGTAGAATGCTCGCCTGTTGGCATTAAGGAATAAAGATAAAACTTTTTCCACCTTCTCTGCATCACTGGCAATATTTATAATTTTCCTTCCAATTAACTACCTAATAAGTGATGTAAAATGCAATCTCTCAATCAAACTTCGCGGAGCTTCATTTTGTAAAGCTTATAAGTATATTGATTGTACTTACCGCATATGTTTCGGAGAGCAAATTTAGCAGAGGGTTCGGTGATATCAACCTCCCCTTTATCAACAAAAGCGCTCATCTCCTCAATGAGCTTTTCGCTGTTTTTATGAAAGACTGGCACAAAATTTTCAATGATTTTCAGGTGAAATGCCGGTAACAAACGTCTCCTGTTCATTTTCCATTTATCCTCTGAAAAATAAAAGCAATCAGATATTTTTCTCTTGGTACCTAGCTTTTTCGAAAAATTTCTGAGGAGAATTTACACACTTTTTACGTATAGGCTACAAAGCAATATTTTACTAGGTTTATAAAGCAGTATCATATGTACTCAATAACTGGTTACGAACATCTTCAGGTGCGAAAAACGCATCATATGACATGAACCTAAACAGAAGGGAAAATATAATCCACCTGAAGTTCGCCTTCAACTCCTCAGGATAGGCAACAAACCAGCTTGAGAGCGTGATTAGTTATTATTCCTGACAATACGAATTATATCGCCTTATTCTGTTATTCAACCAGGAACGTTTTATAAGTGTATTTCTGAAGGAGAATACATCGTTTTTTTAATTCATTTTTATCATGACCGATAATTATGTGCAAGCGGTTTTTCACTGAAAAAAATAATGGTATATTGTTCAAACATAGACATACAGTTCAACTACTTCAATTTGTACTTTTTATGAGCTAATCAACAACGAATTAATTTAAACACCGTGAAATAGGTTGAATTCACTATTTCAAAGTGTACAGTGGCAGTTGTTATTGTGCGTCTGAATGACTGATTAGGAACGCGTAAGGCACGTATAGGTACTGATGGCTAGTGATAAAGAGGAAAATAGAAGCATCTGAGTGTGAAGGGTATTGTACTATTTGTCTCCTTCATATCGTGTTTACGTATTACTCAGGACAGGTGCTGTTAGGTCTGCGGTTTGGGACATTGTTTACAGGATTTTTGCACTGGCTCACAAGGCGTCGCCCCTCTGACGTAAGGGCGTATCTCGATTTTCACTTGGACCCTGTGGTCCATATAACACCATGTTTTCCAGGGCTCATGTCAGAATCGAGATACGCCCTTACGTCAGAGGAGCGACGAAGGGACGTCACGCTTACCTGGTCCTATGAGAAGACCCTCGCCTATCCAAGGTTTCCCTGCTATCATAGAATTTCTACTTTTAGTCAGTTGTTTACTTTTGCTCAGAATAAACTGGAAAAAAATGAGAAATAAAGAATCATTTCCTTGGGCAATAAACAAAGACATGCGCAAAACCTACCTTCTTCAATCTAACGAGAAAAAAATACTTCTTAGAACTGCATTCGACAATTTCTGCTAAAGATGCATTTAAGCTTTTTTTAAAGATGGGTATGGAAATATCTTCTTAAAAGTAAATCGGGTCTGAGCCTCTCAGCATCACGTAATTATAGTACGGCGGTTATGTCCGGATTTTACTGTTTGCCGCCTTTACGGAAGCAGAATTTTTCTACCCCGCGACGATCGCGGTGGGAGAAATATTGCACCAAGGCGAGGGGAGGAGGGCTCCATCAAATATGATATTTTTTTGGAGCACGTTTGATGTATTTTTTATCAAATCTTACTCAAACTACTTTACCAGTTTGTCTTACATGGATTGCATTTCGCAGAAAGGAACCAGGAGAATCGTCGTGTTGCTAAGATTGTGCAACTTCACCCTCCCCATAAGACTACTGTAATCGTGCAAGAATATGACATTTACGTGGACATTTTTGTCTTAAATTTACATGTTTTATCGTGTGAAATAGACAATTTTTATAGAAGATCTGGTTTTTCTTCCAAGACAAAACAAGTTAAGTACACAATCTTAGCAACATTACAATGCTCTTGGTTCCTTTTTGCAAAATGCAATCCATATTTCAAAATACAAATTGGAAAAAATTAAATAAATAAAAGAAAAACATGTTTTAAAATAATTTTCTCTCCCTCCGAGACTTGCTGCCCCTAGGCAACTACGTCTTGGTTGTCCGCTCTGTAAATCTGGGCGTTATGACGACGGGGGCGAAAGGCCAAAATCAGTGGCGTTGCGTGAATTGCGATACATCGATTGTTATGACATTTAAACCTATGGAAATGGATCGATAAACAGGGTGTTCGCAGCGAACACTTAATAATCGATTATTTACCATAGGTTTGAATGGCATAACAATCGATGTACCGCAATTCACGCCACGCCACTGGCCAAAATACTTTAAGATGACTCCTGAAACTTTCCTGACTTGAAATCTCTTTGAGTTGAGGTATTGCCGATAGCTAACATGCCTGCTGAAATCACCGGTGTATACTAACTTAAAGCACACTCTCACGGATATCGACTTTCGTAAATCCTGTAAAGACATAATAATAGCGCTCATCGGCTGAATGTTTTCAAGCAATAATACCCAACTAACTAAAAAAATCAAATCTTACCTCGACATCCTCCGGGTCGGAGAGGAATATCATTAAATCCTGGCCAAGGAACATTCTAAATGTCCTTCCGTACTTATCAGCAATCCCACTCAAAACAGAATTAATGCCTGCAAACATTGGAAACAAAAATGCAATTAACGTGACAGGGTTGGAAAATATGGTGTTGATTCAACTGTTAAGGCAGGAAGAAGTTCCGGTACATATATTGACGTTTTATTTTGAGTAATTTTTTCTATTCTCTTTTTCTTGTACGGGATAACGCCGAATTTTTTCCCACTTTTAGCTGGTAAGCGGCAGTGACCGATTACAAAAATCAACATCCGTCCGTGATTTTTCTTTAAATTATAATCAACTATGTGCTATTTCTTTGGTGACAAAGTGTCGCCAATTCAACACACAATATCGCGCGCGCGCACCGTCCCAGCTTGCCATCCCGTATCCCAGCCAGTTAGCCTTCAGTGAACTGAATAGGCAAAGTAAGTGGCTCAAGAGCCTCAATAGTTGCTTGTATGCGCCTTCCATAAGCAGGAGGGAACCAAGCCACACCAGCTATTGCCGAATTTAATTTGGCGTCTTAATTTTTTACATGAAAACAGTTGTGCGAATTTTTTTGCAATCAGTGAATTTTCTGCATAGTAGGTACGAAGCAAATTCCTTAAAATTTTCCACAGAATATTCGCACAAACGTTCTTTTGTGAAGAATTCCAGCAAATTTGGCAAAAGCTGATGTGGCTTGGTTCCTTTCTGCTTAACGCGGTTCAACTGGTTGGATAGCAAATTTCAGAACCAGAATTCCGCGACATTTTTTGGAGCGCGGTTAACGAGGACGGACAAAACAAAGGAAAATTGAAATAAACATAAAATAATTAAATGTATGGAGAGGATAACAACTCACGTTTCGAGTCGACTCCAGCATTTGGTATATTTCCCAAGAGTGGATAAGGTTTTGGTCCTGGGATTAAGGCACCTAGGCGCTTAAATTTTGTTGAAGGTTGCACCAAATGCAGCACCCACGCCACAGCCGAAACGATGATCAGTAATATTGTGATCGAAATCATTGTTCTGGTGATGCACAATTTGTCACACCGAAAAACTGGAGATTCTTTGTAGATGGATTATTAAGACACAAAGACGACCTGGAAGGACACTTTTTTGGGGTTTGCTTTTTAAAAAAAAGAAGAAGTATAAAAAATCAGATACAGTTTTAGAATTGGTCCTCGGAAATGATTCGACGTCCAGCTGTGTTTATTAATTTTTGGATGGTATTTTTTAGTCAGAATTCATCAATTGTTTGGTGCACTTTAGTCCGGGTTTTTCAAAATGTTTTCGATTTCTATCAAGCCATAATGCGCATTTATGCGATTATTATCGTGTCAAATTGCATTTTAGCCAATTTCTCCTTATAATTGAATTTCATTATCCAATCTGAATTTTAATTCATTTATCTCTATATGAGCGAAGCCAGATCGTAGATAAAGTTAGGTTATTTAATATTTACGACAGTCGGACTTCCTTGAGAACGTGAGAATGTGACAAGGCCATAAGCATGGAGATTTCATGGTTAGTGGTCACCGGATGGCGNGGGGGGGGGGGGGGGGGGGGGGAGGGGTTTGTATCGTATTGCAAAGAAAATGGTGTTAAAGTTAAAAATCCACCGTTTCCTGACACAATGTGCACTTACAACGTAAACAACATCATACATTTAGGAAATGTACATTGCAACTCACACCAGAGCGGCCGATGCTCCTGCACAATTCGCGTTTTCTGGCATTGCTCCTATTCATATTACGATGTATCTGTCTGCAGAGAAGAATCAATTCACAAGTACTGGAGGCATATTTTCCCGCTTGGCTTTTGGAATAGCGTCTATCGAACAGGGAGCAAAAATTAAAGCAACTGAACAAGCGTCAAATGATCGCGTCGCCGAATAGTGTCTTTTAAGTAAATTGTGTTGCGAAACTGGACGGTGACGGTAGGCGAATCGCGAATGGTGGAGCGGGAAGCCGCATACGGCCCCACTCTTTTTCTCCCCGTCCAACCATGTCCCCTCCTCGCTGATCAGCCTCAGCAGTGTTGCCAGACAAAGCAAATAATTTCCTTTTGTTGGATGCGTTGGAGATGACTGGAGATGACGAGCTTGCGAGGAAAGCGCGCATGCGATGGCGCCGTCGAAGCTGGGCCCATGCACATGCGCACGTAGAACGAGGTCAATGAGAACCCTGATACAGGGCCTCCAAATAATACGGCTCCTCTCCGCAAGTTTTTGATTGGTCGCATCCATCTAGTGGTGTAAAACATTTGCAGTATCCCAAGTAGTATTTCAGCGAATTTTCGCGATCGAATGTCATTCATCAAACGAATTGATCAGTGCTGAGTGATGCCGATGATCGGTGATGTCAGGAGCCAATCAGAGCTCAAATTTTTTTCCTAAATGAAATTAAGAAGAAAATAAGAAAACACGAAACACTAAAACACAGAAATTGCGAAAACACCAGACTTGAATCGACAAAACACAACAAAAGATAGAGATGACAGAACAAAAATTTTGGTGAGAGATGAAGTTTCTGACATCGATTGCATCAATTCAAAAATCGAATTCAAGTCCCAAGGTGTATTCGAAATTTCAAATTGATGCATTTCAACGGTCTCTGGTGAGACCAACGAAGAAGTCGAATATCATTGAAAAAAAAATGCACAATCGTCGAATATCATTCTACGGTGAATGATATTCGATCGCGAAAATTCGCTGTTTTTCATCGGAAAAATCGCGATTTGTTGCGATTTTGTCGGCGATAAAATCGCTAAGATCATCAACATCTGAGCGCTTATCCTCGACCTTGTTGCGACAAAATCGCGATTTTATCGCCCGGCAATTTATCGCGATACTATCGCAACAAAAATCGCGATAAATGGCGATTTAATTTCGATTTTATCGACGAGAATTGATCGCGATTTATTGAACAAAAAATTGCGATGCATAGCGATTTAATCGCTACAGATCGAAATTTTTTATTCGATAATATTGCGATAAATTGCCACCGATAAAATCGCGATAATCAACCGATAAAATCGCTATTTATCGCGATCACTGCTACTTGGGATGCACAGGGCCGTATTAACGCATAGGGGCCCGAGGTGCTCGCGGTCGCGGGTGAAGGGGCCCGCGCATTGCGGGTTGTATACTTTGGAAATTGACGGCGGTTCCTGTTCCCAAGAAAACGTTAATCAAAAACACGTTGAGAAAAGATTTGCGGTCACTGCTCCCCCCTTCCCCGGGTTGCAGGGGGAGGGAGAGGTGGAAGAGGAGAGCGAAGTCTAGGGTTGCATTATGGGCGATTCAGCTGTCAACTGTGAATTTGGTGATAAAAATCACTGCAAGCAGTCATTTTTGTGAGATCAACTTAAAACTTAAATCGAATGCTTCTCTCGATAGTTTGGAGAGGGGAGGGGAGTGCTACCTGGAGGCTTCGTAGAAAAAACTTCATGAGAGAAAAAAGTTAAAAGTTAGGTAGCGATGGGCGAGTGGTAGTGGGACTTTTTAAAGACCCTGTATGCGCACCAGGTCTCAACACACACGCCATTATGAAAAGTGAAGATCTGCGCATATCAGCTTTTAACGTGCGGCTCATTAAAGGTCATCATCAGTGTCAATATTCGTTAACACGACGAACATTAAGGATCTTTGATTTGATGAGCTTTGGTGAGCCTTACAGCTTCTCTTTCTTTCAAGTGTCGTAAACGCCTACGAAGTGCCCTATATGTTTCATGTTTGGCGGGGTTGCCGTGTTTTCAGTTTTAGAGTCCCCAAATAAGGTGGCAGCCCTGTCAATGTACTTGCTCCCTATCTTTCAGAGACAAGCATGGAGAGTTTGTCTTGATGTAGAGGTGGACTCTCAGGATAGCGTGGGATATCCCCTCCATTTTGGCCTCCAGCTTGGAGTGGATTTCAGAGAAAACCAGTGGCACCATCGTGCAGGCTCGGACTGGCCATAAGGCCAATCTGCCATTTGCAGATACGCCCCCTTGGCGCGCCAAAAACACGCCCCTCTGACAGATAGCAAAATAAGAAGAGAAAAAAAATTACGACCGAGAATATATACGGAAAATTTCTTAAATGAACAGAAGAAGAGAGAGTTAGGAGTGAAGAGAGGTGCTTTTACGCATAGTGGTGAACAGAGGTCCAAGAACTACTTTCTGAAGCGTAAACACTTTTCTGTGAAATTGTCACCTTTTTGTTGACACATAGGCGCTTTATCATCCCCTTCCTTCATTCTCTATGTCGACGGTGAAACTACCAAACCACGTATCTCGTTTGCGGTGTTTAAAAATCTACGCTAACATTTTATTTTTTTGAAGTAGACCAAATCAATATCATTCCTTGAAATTTTCACGGAATTTTCTCCGCACAAAGAGGAAAAATCACAGAAATTTTCAAGACCGGATGTTAAGTAGTTTTTCATTCAAAAAATAAAGTATGACAGGAAGTCTGCGACGTCGCAAACCGAGATACGTGGTTTGGTAGTTTCACCGTCGATGTGTAACTCCCACTCCCGTAGAAGCCATAGCCAGTCCGGTTTTTAGACATACGCACACCTCATAGACCTCTAATTGAGAGACCTTTAAACATATTTCTTCCTTTTCAAAATGACTATTGATTTGGACATATCATAGCATATCTATCGGGCAAACTTGACCTTAATTTATTTCGAAATTCAAAAGTAAGAGACATCTAAAGTGTAAACGTGATACAACTATTCTCGCAAGATTGATGTCTACATTGCATATGAAAAATGTAAGACGCAATGGCGTGAGTCGTGAACTCGCAATGCTCTTCTCCAGATTATAAGACAAATGGAAACAAACACAATATGGAAATAAAGCGAGGGAAAGGATGCGCGTCACCGACGGCGCAGAGATACAACTATTCGTACTTGATGGACGTCCGTTCTGCATCTCAAAAATTGAAGGCGCGATGACGCGAAGCGTGAGTTCTCGATGCTCTGCTATATGCTGCCAATGAGGTGTCGCTCAGATTCGGGAGAAAAGTTAAAAAGAGGCCCGAACACATCTCTCCTACCTTCGGATGTGTTATTTACGTAGTGCTTGAAGCACCATTACGAATAAGACAAACGCAAACTAACACAATATGGAAATAAAGCGAGGGAAAGGATGCGCGTTAACGACGGCGCAGAGATACAACTATTCGTACTTAACTGATGGACGTCCGTGCTGCGTCTGAAAAATTGAAGGCGCGATGACGCGAAGCGTGAGCTCTCGATGCCCTGCTATATGCTGCCAATGAGGTGTCGCTCAGATTCGGGAGAAAAGTTAAAAAAGAGGCCCGAATACGTCTTTCTTGTCGTCGGCTGTGTTGATACTCGTTCTTTCTTCATTTTTCAGGTTCTTGCCTGATTCTTTTTTAGGATGGATTTATAGACCCACGTCCTAAGCTCGTGTTAACCGCAGCACTGACACGATTCTTATGGAAATAATGGTGCTTGGATGCATCTAGTGGCTTTAATTTTTTTTGTTTTCTTTAAATTCAGAAGTCTGTCGGTCACTTCAATACGTTCAATTTTACAATTTTTACTCTGTACGATTAATAAACTTTGAACCTGAAAATAGCGTAAACTTGTGCTGCTTTGCTATTTTCTGAACCGCTCTCCACGAGGGGATGCTCCATCAGGAAATATCACATTTCGCCCCTTTAACGGAGCTAAGGGTCTACGCCCTCAGATGCGAGCCAGTCCGACCCTGCCATCGTGTTTCTGGCAAACTTTTACTAAGAATCAACAGTCAAATCGCAAATTCCGCACACATGCAATATCTCCATTGTCGTCGGCAGGTTTGCTGATGATAGCTATTATCACAAATCCCCTGTTTTCCGACTACCCGATACAATTTGCAAAATATTGATAGCTATCATAAAATTCGAATAAGAAACAAGGAAGGGATTCATATAATTTCGCTTACGTTGTGGATCAGGTTGCCTATCTTTGACAATCCTGATGTCATCAAGCAGTCTGTATTCTGTATGCAACCTCTGGCAACCTCGAAGAATTCCAATTTTCCAAACAAACAAGATTCCTAACCTAAAAGTCAAAGGATTAAGTGAAACCACCGTTTGACCGACTTCTTTTTACTATTTTTATTAATTAACGATAAGTGTCGTAATTTATTTGAGTGAAATGAAGCTGCATTTGCTTGTCCTATCTTTAACTGTGTATATCCGCGTCGGTAAGGAATATCTTCATGTAATTAACCTACCAGAAAGGGTGTGGCCCTGTCTGAGTGTCCGCCTGACACTTGTTGTCATTCCATCAATCGCACAATATATCAATCTTGTTTTCCTGTTTTAGCAACCTATGCAATCATTTTTTTGGATCTATCATGGATAAAAAATCCTAATTTCCGTCAATATCTGTGATCATAGGAAAAGAAATATGAATCATTTCAACACCTGGATTTCGGCTAACATGATTTATCCTGCAGTACTTATTTTCAGTAAAATGTTTTTTAGTTCAGTCCAGTTTTAAGCCAAGAGCAAGATTAGGCTGTGGATCTGGTTCATGTGCTTTAACATCTACACATCTTTCACCAAACTGCTTTGTCAAACCAGATTTCACTAAGATGAAACAAGATTGGTGAAATGATATTAATAGCTTGATCCGTCCTTCCATCCTGGGTCAACCGCACTCCCAAGTTCTCCTTTGTTTCCCTTGCCAATTTTCAAGTAGCCTGCAGGACCAATCTCTTGCTTAAAACCTCAGCCTTAGGTGACTTTTGCCTGAAACCATCAAACTCGGATCACCTGGCTGGGACTCGAACCCAGAACCTCTTGGTCGTCCGAGCGCTACAACCACTGCACCGCAGGAAGCAGGCTTAAAAACCAGCTTCGGGTTTTAATGATTTTCCCCCATTTTGAAGCACCATAAAAAGAAGCAAAAATTCAACTATAGTTGGTATAATGGCGCCTGATGGAAGCCCCTCTGCAATTCAAATAAAACCAACTCTTATTCTCTGTATGAATAAGATGAGCTAGTTTAGAAATTGAATCCTAAAGATGTCAATAATGTGTCGAACAACACAATTCAGATAACACATTTTCTTGTTTCAGGTCATTGTATTGACTGTTACCAATGCAGAAGCACTGACCTAACACATTCTCTTATTTCAGGTCATTGTATTGACTGTTACCAATGCAGAAGCACTGACCTAACGAATCCTTATCAGTGCAATGAATTTATTGACGAGGATGATATCAACATCAAAGCAGAGCCATGCTCCAGTGTATACAAAGCTGCCTACTGTATCAAGCACACAGGCCGTTTTGAAGGTAAGGATTTTGTCCATTGCCTGGATGAAAACTTCTTTTTTAGCACGTCAACTAATCTAAAAATTCTTCTCATTTTTTTCACTTGATTTAAAGATGCTAAGTCAGCTGTGTCCACTTGATGTGATTCCCTGAATTTTTTTAAAAAATCTAGTATGGTGCGAATCATGCATCGTTAGATTCAAATAGACATCATCACTGTTGCGGCATGCTTTTTAGTGGAATCGAAGAGTGTCAACAGACCTACAGTCCCTTCTTGAAGGTATTCAACCGCCAGACTTTCTTCTATTTTTCATCTAAAAATTTCAAGGAATATTACTGGTCTGTGGCAATTTATCTTCGTTTTTGTAGTTCTATATCAACAACTAAACGCAGATACCACTTATCTTGACTGCAATGTTTCAAGATTTTTCGTTTCATTTTTGCGAAAGGGAACAAGATTTCCACTTAGCCATTGATATGAATGACTGAAGCACAGAAACCTTGTATCTCCATTTCGGTGGTTCAGATTTTCACTCCAGTTTAATTTTTCAAAAATCAACAATCAAACTTTATTGCTTTTTTAAATTCTCAAACTCATTCCTCTCCACTTCTCTTCTCATACTAATATAATCCGAATAGAGTCGGATGGAAATGATGATGGATACTCTCACAGAGATGTGTTGAATAGTTCTCTGATTACTGTAACTTTGCAAATTGAGGATATGGTCTCCAAGTTTAGCTTTTGATACTAATCGAGTTCAGAAGTCACTTTGAAAAAAATCACAGCACTTCTGTGTTATTTTGGTCTTCTAAAATATTTTGTTTTGTGTTTAAAACAGGTGGCCTGGGGACAAAGCGGTTTTGTTCAGCCTTGGACCTTGGCAATTATTGCAATTATATTCAGCAACCTGGAGATAAGCTGGAATATCGCTCTTGTGTCTACACTTGTAGTTCGGATGGATGCAACTCGTCAGTTCTAATCAAACCAGTTTTTACTTCTTTATTATTAAGCTTTATGATACTTTTTTTTATCTCAAGATAACTGTTTTCTAATTTAAAAAATCATCTCTCATAAAAAAAGAATTTTCCTTTTTTCAAGGGATTGAGTGGATGTCACCAAACATCCTTGTGAGGATGTTTTCATCTTGGTCTCTACGTGGTTTCCGATGAGTCATCCTCTGAAACTTTGACTGCATATTATGTTCATTGCCAAATCTTCACCAGTTCGTTGCTCGACACAGGAGATCCACTTTTCTCTAATCTCTTTTTAATATTCTCGAATCGTTTACAAAAACCACATTTTGGATTTGTTTAAAGCGAAAGCAATTTATCAATGGACCCTGAGGACTGCTCATACCTCTGTTCTCGGTTTTTCCTGAAGGGGAGAAAAATGACCTGTGTTCCCTTCAAAGTATAAAGACTGTGTCAGAACAGCACTGATCAAACTCTCTTGACATCTAGGAACAGTGGAAAATTAGTTATAGACAAAATAGTCTCAAGAACATAACATTTTTCCACCAATTCGCCAATTCCTGCTGTAGTATGTCCTCAGAGACCCTCAGTTTTGATTTATTTTTATTGAATCTGTATTATATGTATTATATTGTACTTTTTCATATAGTTTATAGGGCTCAATAGAATTTATTATTCTGATTTGAGTCTGATACAGATCTTGAGTGATCTTGTAGGTAGGTTGAAGAAAGTGCCTTAAGATCGTATGTGAGTATGTGTTTCAGAATTTGAAACAATCTCTGTCTTTTAATTGGACTGCGTTTAACAGAAAGGAACCAAGCCACATCAGCTATCGCCAAATTTAATCTGGCATTTTAATTTTTTACATGAAAACGGTTGTGCGGATATTTGTGCAAATTTCAGTAAATTTTCTCCATAATACAAAGCAAATTTCGTAAAATTTTCCAAGGAATACGCAGAGACGTTCTCTTATTAAAAATAAAATTTTCCTGTTAAATTTGGCAATAGCTGATGTGGCTTGGTTCCTTTCTGTTTAACGCTGTCCAATTATCTTGACCATAATTTCACAAGATCCCTTTTTATTACTTTAAAAATTTTAGATTTTGTAGGTAATATTTTAGAAAGAGATTCTGAAGAGAGTAAAAAGACTTATGCTTGTGCATTAGTAAACTTAACCAGAAGTAAGACCTGAAATTGGGCGAGGATATTTTCAGCAGAACAAGTTCTATCCTCAAATTATGTTCAGGTTGAATGTATCTACTTGCCAAGTTCATGTGCTGTGCTCACTCTGTGTACATAGAAAATGAGGAGCATTTTATCATCTATAGACATTAATAGTTGAACTGCTTTTTCCTTCTTTTTTTTTACTACAGAATTTTATTTTCTGAACAGAGCGATAACCTTGCTGGAGGGACAAACAATGATTTAAATGGGAACTCAACATAGAATTCCTGTCTGTAATTTACACTTTCTGGAAACTTTTATAGATGTTTGAAGACCTTTAGTTGCATGTATACAAAGGAGTAGCTCATTTTTTGTGAGGAGCAACTGAGGACTTACTTGGAACAACTCTTGTTCCCACAGGAATTTCTGCTTCCTGTACGCAACTTTTTTGGTAAATTGCACTCTTCAAGGATCATATTTTTAGTCTCTCCCGTAACTCATCAGCGTCCTTATCTACTGAATTGCAGCTCAAGGAGACTTCAAAGTTAGACGAGAGATGATGAGTTCAGCCCAACGATAAACTACCGTCTGGCTAGTTATTCTGATAGATGAGCCTAGGAATACAAAATATCATATTTTTGCCAAGTCTTCATCAAAGAACCCCGCACAGAGCATGGGGTCAGCGGCTCTCGATGAAAGTCGATGAAACTTTAATAGATTGATATAAATTTCATAATTAAGGGAAAGCCAAAATATTAGCTTGTTTTTGTGAGTAGAAACTGAGCTATTCGCAATTGAATCCTGACTATTTTCTATCATGCCGTAGCATGGCGGAAGACTTCCGAGTCCCCTCTCCTCTCGTTGTTCGACGTTCTCGATCAGACCTCACGTCACTCACGTGAAGATAGGTGCTTATGCGCTCGGCCGGTGCGAATGCCGTACTCCCTCCCTCTCCCCGCATCTGTCAATTCTGTTTCAGCAACTACATTTCAGATTAAACCGACCGGCGGTGCCGGCACGGGAGGGGTGCGAGAAGCAGGGAACTCCATATCGCACAGCCCGAACGGAGCGTCCTAATGAAAGGAGTGAGTGTAAACAATGTGACATCATAGTTACCTGGTGGGGAGAGGGGGTTTCCTGGCCGAAGTGCTCAAGCAAGGTAAGGCGACACGGAGAATTTACCTCCGCCGCACAGAAAATAGTCCGGGTTCAATCGCGAATATCTCGGCTTCTACTCGCAAAAGTGAGCTAATTTTTTGGCTTTCCCTTAATTTTGAACTTTATATCAATCTATTAAAGTTTCATCGACTTTCATTGAGAGCCGCTGACTCCATGCTCTGTGCGGGGTTCTTTATATCAGAAAATCTGCGTTCTGATCAAATTTTCTTTGAATTTTACTGTAACAAAATCCTCTACTGATCTCATCTATCACCAGATTTTATTCATTTCATGTGTACATACTGTACCCCTCATTTGCTTCCTGATCATTGATCTGCAATTTTGACTTGAATATATTTTATGATTTGCAATTTTTTCCTGTAAACTTCAACACTCAAGTTGCTGAACTTTAACCATAAATGTAGGCACAGCTCATTATTTTGTCTCGGGATTAGGCCCATACTAGGCAATCTTTTTGGGTATTAACTCCTTCCTGAAAGGACTATGAGCATGTCATTTCATTACTTATTTATACTTCAAATGAATTTAAAAAATACTCAAGCAGAAAATCTATGATCGGTTGTAAGAATTATTCATGGTCCAAAAATCCATTTTACTTTCAGGGACAGCACTAATGTGCCTTTTTACATAGATCTGTTCTTCACTTTATTTTTTTTATTAGTTAGGTATTTTTATAATTTAGGTTTAATTTTTATGGTAACTACAAGTATTACTGAATCTGTCTTGTCTCTAATTTTATCTCAAATAGTCTGTAATTTAAGGTTAATTTGCACATTGACTGTATTTTTAACTGAATCCATCCTGTCTTCAATCATGTATGATGTTAATTTTTCGTGGCAACCAAGTGTCAAACTGAATCCGTCCTCTTGTAATTTTGTTTTTAATAGTCTATGATTTAATGTCAACTTTCACAATGACTGTATCTTAAATTGAATCCATCCTGTCTTCAATCATGTAGAATAAAGTGGCAACAGTAACACCTCTGTGGACAAGTTTTACTCATATAAAAGTAGAAACTGAATAATTCACTGTAAAGGTCAGTAGGTAGATTGTTGAAATTTTATGTTTGTCGGAAAAGACTAAAATATAATGGAGTTTTGTGATTTGTCAGTTTGAAACTAATTGTAAGCTGAAAGCCTTGCATTTTCCTGCCTAATAAAGCAGTTTTGAATGCCTCTTCAAAGGTTGACAACCACTACATTATTCTGTCCAATATTTTGATGACCAAAGTGCGAAACTCAGTACCTTCACTGTGGTGTTTTAAAATTTCCTCTCAGATTTCACTGTTTCGAAGATAAGCTTCAGTTTGAAATATATACGGAGTATCCTGCTCATATTGAAGAAAACTCAAAGAAGTTTTCAAAAATTGCATTGACTGGTTCTCCAAAGGAGAAATAATGTATGACAGGAAGTCTTCCATGTCTCGAGTGAAGCATGTTGTTTTGCGCTTTGGCCATCGATATGTCTTGCAGCTTAGTTTCCATGATACATCCAACCAACCATAGGAGCTCTATTTTACTCAGGTCTTACTCTCTCTGACAGACGAATATGAGATTTCAAAAATCAGCCTGCTGGACCCTTATAAACTCTAACAGAGATAAGACAGCAATAAAATCAAATGTTTTTATATCTTTTCAAGTATTTTACAATTGAAAGTTCAAATTTTTGTGATGCATCTTATTTCAACTCTGTCTTCCTTGAACGTGGTGTATTTTAAACTTTTATCTGTTTTAATTTGTTTACCTAGGTATTGTGATTTCAAATAAAGCGTAATTTTTTACCATTTTTAACTGATTGTTTGAAAATCTTTTCATATAAACAGATTCAATATAGCCCAGATGATATTGTTGTTACATGATTTCTACGGGTTTGGTTATTTTATGTCGTATTTTCATGGATGTCCACAATCTTCACTTATACTTTTATTTTGTGGTAGTTAACCCCCCTGTAATCTCAATTAATAAAGGCTGAGAATAACTCATAAATCAACCTAAATGACTTTCTCTTTAAATTGAGATTGAGAGGGAAATTTTTCACCAAATCGTTTTGAAAAATTATAGGTTTTACAGGAAAAAAGGATAGATCATTTCTATGATTTGGAAGAAAACATAGTCAAAGGTAAAACATTATGCTATAAATTGACCTGAAATTTGAATACTAAAACAGAAAATGAGTTATCGGGTACAATTTTGCGCAGTGTTGTCTTGAGATGAGTTCACTCAAAATGACTAAAATTTCTATTTTTTTAAAAAATGTTAATTAAACCCTTTAACTATGATACCTTTTAAATGGTTGATAAACCAGCTTAAGAACCTACTTTGGGCAAGAGTCAATTTGTAAAATGCACCTAGATGAAAACCTCGATGAAACTGCAAAATACGTATCTTGATTTGTGATGCTGCGAAGTTCCTGTCATAATTTATTTTCTACATAGAAAAATAATTTTATTTCTTGATAACTTTTCTACTTTTTTCTGTATGTGAGAAATGTTCTGTGGGAACGATGACCGGTAATGTAGTGTAGGCTTGGAAATACTACCATCAAGATTCGCATTTTTGCAATTTTTTATGTTGAAGTATTAAGTACTTCTGAATGATTTTGAGAAGGTAACACTATTCACAAATGGAAAGAAAGGAAGAAGCGAAAACAAAATTGGACAGCTCCAATAAATTATAAAACATTTTAATTATATTGACCATATTCATGATGAATGTGGAAAATGATAAAGATGGGTCTATCAGTTAGCCAACAGGTTAACAGCTGCTTGACAGAAAGCAGCTGAGAATCCAAAAAGATACAAAATCCATGCTTTACGAATCAACGAGTCAAATAAGACCAAAAAATATCAGTCAAAGCAGGAAATGATGTTATGACAATAAGTTACACTTCACAGTTGTTAAACTTCTCTTACCAACTTCTTGAAATAATTCAACAGACTTTAATCAAATTTCTGACAATTTACAGAATTCTCAGACGGAGTTTTGGAAAATAATTAATATTATTATTTTTAAAAACAACTTAAAACTGCCGAAATTGTTTTAAACATCAACTATAACTTTTCACATAAAAGATCTGAGACACAAGTCATTAGACACTAATCAACAAATTTTAAAAATAAAATTAAAAATAGATATTTTTCATAAAACTTTAAAAACCAAACCTAAGCAGAGAGTTATCACAAACGAAACTTAGAAAATAATTCATAGTAAAATCGACAAGAACTTTCCCTGCTTTATAATCTCTTCAACTTTAATTGTGGTTTCCACAATTCCCTAAAATTTCTAAAATTATGTGTGAAATAAAACAGAATACATTTTGGAAGATGAAAAAAAGGTGGAACATTCTCCTGAAGAGTGAGAAAAGCTAGACAAATTTCCAAACCACTACCAGTGCAGAAAGCAAGGCTTTCAGAGCTCCTGCACGTACATCCAAGAGTGCAACTTGACTCCTTTGATACTCCTATAGTTATCAAACTTTTGATCCGTGATAAGCAGAGTATGACTTCCGTAGTAGGAATATGCAATGTTTTTGAACTTGATATCATACAGCATTTTTTTGTTGTTTTTTTTTTTTGGGGGGGGGGGAGGGGTTTCTCAGCCTCATACAGCTTCAAAACAGAAATGAGTGGTAGCTTATGATCAGCTAATACATTATGAATATTTTCATCAAGTTGGACTGGACTTACAACAGAAAATACCAAAATTCTCACAAATCTGCAAGGAACACCCATCAAGTGAGATGCAAGTTTCTAGTATTTTGTCAATCCTGCACTTAATCCATTCCATTCCTGCATCCTGAATTTTTAATTTTACAGGTCAGACAGAAAATGCTGAACTCATATCTAAACTAGTGAGTATCATTTTAGCTGCACCAAAGTCTTCTAGTCTTCTCTATGTTATGATTTAGTATTGTTGAAGAAAGTACGGTTGCGCAATATTGCAGAATCAGTGAGAAGTTAAAGAGACTACAAAGGAGGAGAACTCACTTATGATCTTACTAAGTAACTAAAAACACAATTTACAGAATACTATAGATGTTTCTTGGAGGCGAAGAAGGAGGAGTGTTCACGTTGGGATCTGAAGGTACGGGAGCACTTCCACTTGGTGCGAGACTTGAGTCACTTCAGCAAGTTTATCAGTACTCAGAGGTTGCTGTTGCAGGTTGATGGTGTTTTTATACGACACCGGGTTGTTGTAACACGTTTCACAAACTCGAACTGGTTCATACAACTGCTCGTTTGGGAGGGCTACAACATTTTCTGAGCAGTCAGCGCAAAAAATTTTACCGCAACTTCTGGAAAAAAAACATACTTATAGCATGGGAGGAAATCCAAGGCTGATTATTATTTTTGAGTCACCGAACAAATAATCTTTGTAAGGCTGTTAGATGAATCTTCTCAATTCAGTCTAAATGTAAAGAATTCTGATGTTGCTGCACGTAAAAACAAGGTGTTTGAACATACACAGCTCATACTTCTTTGTTAAACTAAATATTTTCAGCAATCATAGCGCAATTTCGTAACTGGCACAACTTATAATGGAGTGGTTCTGAGAGCCACACCAGAGCTTGGTTTGAATTTTAGCTCCTCTGGCTGCTGACCAATGAGTAGAGAGGCCTATCCTCCTTGCTCTAGCACTCGGCCAGCATCCCCCTCAAAAGGTGGACGCATCCTCATTTCATCAAGTTTTATTTATTTCAATACTGAAAACTGAAATAAAATTACTTTCACCTCAGTCTGCGAATTTTGAAAACGGGGTAGTTACGCGTAGGAATTATTTTTCAGTTTTTCTTTTCCTTTCATGGCCGGTTCAGTTTCCATAAAGTACTTCAAGTTTTCCTCACTATGAGACTTCATCAAAAATAGCTCTCGTGTTGCTCTGTTCGTCTTTCTTTTTTCTCTTGCGGTTTTTTTTCAGAGTCTTGTGGTCAAACAAGAGGTTTGATTGTTCTGCAAACCATGTTTGTAAAGTGGAAAAAAAATGTACCTGCAGTGATGTTTTCTGCGCCCCAACCAAAACTGGGAGTCGCATCCCATACATCTGGTGACAGCGTGATCTGGCACCCAAAGAACAGGTTGAGCCTCTCGTTCTTCAACAGCCTCCCAGGACACATCTGTGCTGCATACTGATCCCTGAGCACATGAACAATGACGATAAGCTGAGCTAAGATAACATTTAAGAGTGAAAAGGAACAAAGAGCTTTGTAGAAATCTGGTTATAAGCATTCTTTTAACCAAGGGTCAGAGAATGAAGAACGCAGACGGACAAGATCTACCTCCTCATTTCTCCTATTTTTCCTCCCCTTAGTTTTATTCTCGATTTTACTGGAGTTCATTGTGAACCTGATTCAAATGTTCCTATTCTTGAAGCTTTCATTTCTCATAAGAATAATGTGGACACAATACCTTTCTATAATCTTGTTCCTAAACGGCATTCTGTCTACGTTTCAATACTTTATCCTCTTTCCTATTCCTTCAAATTTTATCTTTGATTTCTTGGGCAGCAATATAAAAACTCACTAACTCACAAAACTCACAAGCCAAAGGACTGTTTCTCCAATCAAAGCAAACTTTGAGTTACTTGCATCCTGGACTTTAACTATCCTTATATGACATTTCTCTCAATTTCTTTAGCAGTTTAGTCAAGTGACCGTTCTTTCTTTCACCATTTATATTATCTTAATAAGTTTCCTTAGTTACCCATGATCACCACTCCTCAACGAAAGCTGTTTCTGCAGCAGCTACTATTCTAAAATATTTTTCAATACATCATACCTAATCTGTACATACTTTACAGGCAATGTCCAGGACAATGGACCAGTTGCGAACTTTTGCTAGAACAAAACTAAGAGTTGTTTCTCATAGATAATGCCTTAAAATAACGATGAGCGCATCGGCAACGTCTGGGATGCACTCATAACTTCACAATCTGCGTAAGAAATTTGCGTTTTTTTGAGCTTCCCACTTCAAAAACGATACTACGGCACAGGTGAACATTTAGTTAGAGGAGCCGCTCCATCGTCGGCAATATTCATTATGGCCGATGCCAATCCACCAAAACACATGTGATGGGACAAAATAACACCTGACCAGGGTAAGACCAGATAACAATCGGCATGTTTACGTTCATATTTTCCTCGCCTGCCTTGATTGACCTTGAACACTCCTCGAATTACGCGCGGCACTGCGGATTGTCATCGGCCATAATAAATATTTCCGACGATGGAGCGGCTCCTCTAACAAAATGTTCACCTGTGCCGTAGTATCGTTTTTGAAGCGGGAAGCTCAAAAAAACGCAAATTTCTTACGCAGATTGTGAAGTTATGAGTGCATTTCAGACTTTGCCGATGCGGTCATCGTGATTTTTTTGAGGCATTATCTATAGGAAACAACGCTTATTTTTGCTCTAGCAAAAGTTTGCAACAGGCCCATTGCATCATTTGACTTTGCTCCGTCATAGTCGACAATGGTTATCCAACTCAAGCACGACCTATATTGTGACACCTTCAACATCAATGCCTGGTTGACAATCCTAGGCTAGAGAGTGCTATGGTATCACAGTTACAGAGGCTCCACATTACTTGTGACCTAAGAAATTTTTTGATAGATTTTTCCTGTGCATTAAAAAACTTAAAGCCACAATTTGGCCACTTTTTCTGGATATCTCGTCTACATCACTTTGTATATGATTCAAAAATATCTTTCATAGCCTGAAGAGCTAAAACTGCACCATGCATGCTATCTAAATGAGAAAAAGGCAAAGGGTCTCTAATTTCAGGTTATTCCTTGGTGTATGAAGCTTTCCACTTAATTAGAGTCAGCTGACTATGTATAGAAATTTTGGCCTTAGAGTTGATTGGAGGCCTTAATTTGACAGGAGGCATCCACAAGAGGAGAGGTTTCCTTGTAAGCTAGGTAATACAAATCGCAACGTGAGTGCCTTATTGGTTTCAATTCTTAACTTGATTCATGCTCCAAAGCTTGAGAGTATCAAGAAGATGCCTCTCAGAGTTCTATAACCCTGGTCAAGCTTTGAAGAGTTTATGCAGGAGGGAGCCAACACATCAAAATTTGGGAGTTCTACTCACAACACTTCGTCATCAGGTTCTTACCTCATCATCAGGTTTTTCAGCACCATTATTGTTGTTGATGTGCGTACATTGGTGACACATTTGCTGAAGAAGCGTCACCCTCGTCGAATGCAACTCTCTCTCCAGTGCTAGCTTGTTTGCCTGCAAAAAAAAAAAATTAAATGGATTAAGCTAGAGATAAAATACATTCGATCTTTTCATGAAAAGCTTCATTTTCACCTCGGTGAATGCGATGGGCAAGAGGATCATAACTGACATTTTTAAAAAGAGAGAGAGAGAGAGAGAAAAAAAACTAGTTACTCACATTCGTGATGTGCTCGGGTAGGGCTCTATATGAGCGAAAAAATTTGGCGGGAGTATCCAACACCGGTCGCAAGATACTAAACTTCAAAAATGTTTAATTGCGTTGGAAAGCAATATGCCATCATGGAGTTTTCTTGTATTATCTTGATTTAAAGAAAATGTAGTTATAACCCTTCTACTTTAAGCTACTAATATGCTTTGGTTTGGAAAAAAAACCTGACGACATATAATTAACAGCATTAAAATAATGAATTGAGGAAGTTTCAGTTCTTCATTTGCTTCCGTTGCATGGATGCTGCTCAATAAATAGTGGGAGGTATTTGCCCTAAAACCTGGAGCTTGGCTATTTTCATCTAGAACAGTTGCTCCAACTCCTAAAAGAGACTTTCTGCATTCATTCGTGACCTCATTTCTCTAAAGAGGCGGAGGTAAAATGTATATTTTGGTATATCATAAAATCGAATAGCCTGTGTCACACTGTCAAAATACTCCATCAAAATGTCGAGGTCAAGTGCTGTGATTGGTTCCAGTCATCGAATAAGCCAATCACAACACCTGACCTTGATATTTTGATGGCTAGCTTTCATAGTGTGACACAGTCTAATGCTTGCATCTGGGCAGAAACCCTTTTTCAACATTTTCATGAGTCAAAATATGAGCAGTGCGACGAAGCATCTGATCGAGCCTTGCTGATCTGTGCAGTAATTCCAAAATAAAATATTAAAGTGAGCTTGATATGACATGACTCACTACCATATGAAGCAAATCAGTTCATCTTTTCTATTTCTTTATTTTAAATTTTTTAAAATTGAGCTTCAACTCTTTTAAACCAAATAAATGTACCACTTGAGAATTGCTGAAATAATTGAGAAAAGAGATATAGGATACTACAACATAGAAAAGAGGACACTAGTCATGTATTGGGGAGAAGAGGATATGAGATAAAAGACGAAACAATTTTGACTTGATTCGTGCAACTTAAATATGAAAAATCAAGCGGTTTTTAAAAAATGGCAAGAATTTTCAGCAAATCTAAAACACCTTTTCATCATTGCATGCAAGGAGTGAAGAAGGACCGCAACAGGATGATGGTCTCAAGCTTGCTAAATCTTACAATTTTCAGACGATGAAAACTGTTCAAAAGGAGGGCGGGGGGGGGGTGTGTGTGTGTATTCATATCACTTTGTCATTGGTGTTATAATATGAAGACACACTCAGAAATTAGAATCCACTCAAAATTCTTTGATACAGGAAAGTATTTTTAAAAATTGGTTGCTAGCTAAAGTTCAAGGGGTTTTTGAGGACCCATAAAAATAGAAAACCAAAAAACTTTGAACGCCTTAGAAAGAACAAAAACTCAAAAGCAAGCATTTCTATAGTGTTTTAAAGGACACAAAGGGTCATAGACATGTCTAATTATTAGAAATTACATATAAGTTTTAGAAAAAAGAAAAAAAATAGGAGTCTCATACTGTTGCTGGAGAGCTTAGATGAAGAAGGAGAAATAAAGGAAAATTTCAATTAAAGATATCAGAAAAGAGGTTATTTCAGATAAAAAAATTTACCATGAATTAATTTTTGAAATTTGATTTCTAGAGACCTTTTCTGGTCAGAAAATTAGTTCTTAGTTGTATCCACTCTACTCTTACTGAGATTTAAACTTAGAAAAATCAGTCTTAAAATATATCCATACTTGGGCAGAATATTACTGAGGCCTCTTAAACAGACCTTGTTAAAGTGTGTATTGAACATTCTGGAACCGAGAGTGGAGATTTTTTTAAAAATGATTGATATCTTAGGGAGATAAAGTAGAAATTTAAAAAAATTGTATTAGAAAAAGAAGTATGTCTAGCTCCAGATTTTATGAGAGAGTAAGCTTTTTCAGCATGCCTCCCGAGAGGAACAGAAAAAAATTCAAGAGTATGTTCTGAGCAACATATGAAATTAGATTTTGAACAGTCAGTTACAATTTTTAAGATAAAAAGTTTAAATCCTCTCTCTCTTGAATACCTTCCTAAGCAATCTCAACAAACATCCTTGATAAAATTTGGTATTTTACATTCTTTTTATTCCTTTTTTTTAAATCAGAATCTTGTAAAAAACGTTCATACAGGTAAACAAACAGGTGAGGTTTTAGGTGTTGAAAGATGAAGGTGATATAATTATTGAGGACAAATGTGGGATTGAGAAGGAGGAATTCTGTAGTGATTTGCCGCTCCATTTCTTTTTTGAGGGCTATGCTAGTACCAGTTATCAATGACATGGTCCTCAGATTGCAGGAAACAAGAATAATTTAGAAAACTTAACAATTGAAAGACACACACAAAGATGAGTTTTCATGCGATGGTTTAAGTATGGATCTTGGTAGGTACAGTACCTATTACAAATACCGATAAGATAGAAGATGTAAAATATACTTGGCTCATAAGCCGAACTACTATGCACACATTATTTCTTTAAGTAGGGGTTCGGATGCTGGGAAAATTGCGGCAAGTAAAAGGTAGAGTGAAGAATGGACGAAAGCAGAATGAACAGTACCGTAAATATTGATTTGGTTAATTTAATTGTTTTAGTGTCAACACTGACTCTTAAGTTGATCAATTCAGATCAGCATGATTGACAATTGTTACTACATGAAACTGGGGTACAAATTGTCATCCTTTTTGATTCTCATAAATTAATATAGGAGAATGTTGAACTTAATCAGTGAAAATTCAAAGGCGGAAAGAGATAGAAGGTGGAATGCTTGAACGAGTTACGAGATAAAATGATCAACATACATTATATTCATGCATAATCTGCTCTAATCGAGACTGCACATCATCTCTAAGAGGTGGGAGTCCATCGATTGAGTCCAACACTCGGCCTGTCAACAGAAACATTTTTCAAATATTTCATTGTGCTAAGCCAGCTCAAATTTCGTACATGATATTCAAAAGAATATTGGGAAATTTCTAACTTACAAATTTGAAATTAGCCGTATTGTGCTTGAAGTTTCTTAAGCAAAGGCTACTGTTAATTACATCTATTCAGTAAAAACATGTTCACTTAATCTTAATCATAGTTCTGTACTTTTAAATTTGAGCGACTCAGGAGTACATCAGATGACAAAAGCTCTCTCCAGAAGCTGTTTGAATTTTTGGCATAAATATCTGAGTAAATGACAGAATAGTAGAATAGTGCTTGGTCTACACTATTCTACAGAAATCAAAGCCAGAAAATATCTGGGTGCATAGTTTTCCTACTTGGTAAATTTTCCTCCACAGATGAATTTCAGCAGTTGTGAGACAGTCTGCTTAGTCACTAAATTTGAGAAATTTCTGATGAGAAATAAAAAAATTACCGCTTGCGGGAGAGATGGGACTTGATATACTTGAAATTTTTCTGCTGCCATTACTGGAGCAACCCCTAGAAAAAAAAGAGGAAAAAGTCATGGAAAAAATTCCAAAAATAAATGGGCACTGAACTCATACTTTGAACGGCAGGACTATTATTTTCAGATCATTGATACTGATAACTTACATTGGATGTGATTTTAAGTCTCAGGAACAAAACCCAAAGCACAGAGACTCTAAAAGTTTATTGTGACAGTTTCTTTACTAATATCGACTGATATAGTGTCTACATCATTTGCTGTATCACCATTAAATTGTGCCACCCTAAAAAAGCTCGGCAAAGTGATTGATATTAAAACAGTCCACTTGTTCTTGATGGAACCATCGAATGTATTGAATATCAAATGAAAATCTAGGCCTTTGGTTGAAAACCGTATAATTTCTTGGTCAGTTAGCAACTGTAGTAAGTATCTTCTGTAAAAACTTCCCTCCAAGACGACTTGAGTTAAAAAGTTAATATGCAAGAAAAATAAAACTTAATTACTATTTTTCATGACCCACTAACTCTAAGACTTAGGTAACATTTTTTAGGAGCTTATGTCACTTACTTTTAATCTTGGCGGCCAGAAAATTTTCAACAATAAATAAATGTCTAGAATGAACAAGTATTTAAAAAAGCAGGTAAATCTAATACTTTCAATGAAGGGTGAATAATTTTTTTCTTTTTCATTAAACCTATTCAACTAGAACTAGGACTTTGCAATAATAGGGAGAAAAATTTACCTGCAGATGTCTGAGTTAATGGGGTCAGAATTAATGGTGTCATTGACGGGTGGAGAAACGCCATTTTCAAGGTTAGGTCTGCAAACAATAGAAACAGGCAAATAAAAATTAATTGAATAACAATAAAGACTGAAACGCAAAGAGCAATTTTCCACAGAGGTAGGGGTTAGTAATCTTAAGATAGAGATTCTTTTGAAATTTTGTGACCTATTTTAAAAATTTTAGTCATCCTTAGAATATTTCGATAGAATCAACGCTTACAAGACAGCACATTTTCTGACTTACTACATTCTTTTTTTGCATGAATTTCAAAAAAATCTCCATGCATACAATGTTTGAAATTCAATGGCTATTTCGAGAAAAAGGAAGTGAAAAATGAATTTCCTTTGAAAATACGCTAAAAAAATGTCTGCCAACTTCCCACTTCATACTGCAGAATTGAGTAAATTTTACCTTAAACTTGATTTGATATGATGTAGAAATGATTCTACATTATTTGATTATTTGTATAGAAATTATTTTGTACATATATTATATTTAATTGACGACCTATAACAGTTAATTCTAGAAAAACATTATCGTCATCTATATTTTTTGCAGTGAAAATTATAAGACAATTTTTCTTTCCTCACACTCTGCTACATTTACAAATACACTAAAAAAATATACATCAAACATAATAAAATAGCTATTGGGTCGGTTAGGGGTCGTTATGATAGGGGCACTGTAGCAAATTTTTCCCCTCATCCAAAAAAAAAAAAACAAAAAAAAAAACAGAATAAAACACCCATTTCCGAAGGTCCAAAAAACAAGGGAATAGAATTATATTAGGGAGAGTCAACCTCTGGAAAGGCAATATTTTTGCTTTCAGAAAAAAGGACAGAGGGCATACAGAATCAATCCAAAAATAAATCTGGTATGAAATTATTCCTTTTTGCACACTCAAATATAAAACGAACATGACTTACTCCGTGACTGTGGGTTCATATCTGCATGGATGCAAAGTGGCAGGTACTAAAGTTTCAGTCGAACTATCAACACTGGAGTCACAGTTGAGATTTAGAGTTCTTACAGCCGATGCAATATTGTCAATAATATCGGAATCACAGGTATTTTTACAATAGTCATCACTTTCAGACTTGGAGGCATCATCGGGCTGCTCTTCAACGATGAGAGCAGCAATTTCATTAACAATGGAGCCTTGATCAACAACACAATTTTTAATATTGCCAGAATTTCCGTTAACTACATTAATCTCTAATTTATCTGCACTATCACTAGAATTTTCGACTAATTCGGATAACGCTAATTCGGTTTCTTTTTCTTCTCTATTTGCCATAGTTTCACTGTTATTTTCGCGTAAATCACTTTCCGCAGCAGCTGCCAATTCCTCACTACTTGGATCATCTTGAAGGGTTGAGTATATGAGAGGCTCTGAGAAGCCGTTTAAAATAGGTGAGTCAGACTGTCCCTCTCTTTGGTTGTCACCATCTGCTGTGAGTTCATCTCCGGTCCCATTCTGCTCCTCACCATCCACAAAGATTGATTCGCTTCTGTAAAATCAGGAATTTAACATTTAAAGGAGCTACCACTGATGACAAGGCAGACAATGAGGACGAAATATAGATACACTTACCATAGCATAATAAAATTGCTGATAATGAAGCACCTGTCTCATGCATCAACTAGGGGTTTTAAAACCTCGATGAACCTCTTTAAAGAAGTTTATTGATGGAATCGTTGAATGTTGCATTTCAAAGGTCAGCTCGACAATCTTTGAGGGTAACTAATGTATTCAGGACACATCAGATATCAGATCTTGAAATTTTCAAGGCATTTGATGTAGAAATGGCTGAGAAACTGAATAATTAGTGTCCGTTTGAGAGCCCCAGTTTGTGCATGGGATGGGTGCTTGTGCGGGGGAGAGAGTTTGCTCAACATTTTGTTAATCATAAAGGAAGTTCTGGTTTGTGTTGCAGATGTATGAGTAGGGGCTGAAGAGGGAGAGAAGATTGAAAAACCTGTAAAATGTGTAATAATAAACCTGTACTGGCCATACATTTGTAGAAAGGGGGGAGGGGGAAATTTGGAGAGGCTAAAGTTGAAAGTATATATTATTATATTATTTGTTTATTTTTCACAGGCTCTTAAAGGTCCTGTTGACGAGAGGAAAAAGGAAAAGTAAGTATGAAAATTGAAGAAATAAAATAAGAGGACGGTTCCTGAGAAAAAAAATATAGTATATGATTTTATTACATTCAAAACTTGGGCTAACCGCAGTTTCTTTTCTTTGACGTCACCTGGTCTTTTTTTTTAAATCTCTAGATAATAATTGACAAAGTTTCTTCCGTCCTTAGAGTTTGTCTGCATTTATATGCGAATTAATTTTACAAATAAAATCAGATAAAAACCAGGTGTAAAATCACCTCCATCTCTAACCTTGTTTGTTCATGTGAGTAAGTACAAAATCACTGAAAAATCTTGCGGAACTTACCCATTGGGTAACCGATTTGGCTCTGACAGCCCATTGTTTTCATTAATATCTGTTCCTAGGTACAAATCTCGCCATAACTGGAGGTCACGCAGATGGTAGGAGGGGTAAAGAACCTAAAATGAAATTGGTGAATTAAAGAAAGCAATGATGACAGAAAATAACTGTTAAAGATTTTAATCTTTGGTGAAAGCAAATTTTTTCTAATTTGGCACAAGTACTTATAGATTGCTAATCATTCAATCTTCAGTTTTTGATCAAATCAAAACCTATTTTGAACTTATAACAACCAATCACAGCTTGTGTCAGCCTAAATGCTAGAGCATTATATTCTTAGCCATCAAACCCATATTTCTGAAAAAAATTCAGACAATTTTCTCATTGAGAAGGAATGTCACATTTTGATGATATTTTCCTTCAAAGGATTTTCTATTTGATGCAACACTAGATATGATCAGCTGGTCATCCTTAAATAAATTGAGACAAGTTGTAGCAAAATAGAATTAATGGACAGTGATTTTAAAATAAATGAATTTAAGTTTAAGTCCAAAGAGTACCACAGTGTTAGGTCTTCTAAGAAAATTTTCTGAAAAAGATACAAGCATATTGACTAAAAAAACCAACTGTCTTCATTACCAGTACGTTAAATTGCCCATAATAAGCAAAATGCTACAACGTTCACTTACTTGATCTTGGTTTGGCCAATAAAGAATATTCCGGAATTGCGGTGACTGTAAGAATTTCCAGACAGAGAAGGTTCTTTGCTGGATTCCTAAGTTTGTTCTTTCCATGTTCGAGTTACATAAAAATGTTCCGAAGAGGTTAGAGTAACTGTGTTGAGCTAATTTAACCTGAATAAGGAGAAAAAGAAGTGATTAGAGGAAAAACTCAGTCGGTCTTTTCACATGAAAGGAGACAATTTGGGTAGTAATTACTACCGTAATCAGTTTGGAATTTTGTAATCAAATCAACTTGAAAAAAATAAAATCGTGTTTACTGGTTTTCTGTGAGTATCAAAATAGATAGTATTCCCTTCTCCTTGCATTAATTATCATTAAAGTAAGCCAATGAAATCTACTAGAAAATCATGCTTGGGCTCTTAGAGCCATGAGACGTTGCCCCAGTGGCACCTAGAAAATAACTGCAACTTCGATTTGGTGTGACCTTGCTTCTTGCCTAACTTCCTGCTTTAGTATCAAAGATTTCTATGGCTCTTAAAATTGCACAGGGTATCTAAAAATGAGATCTCCATAGCTCCTAAAATTGGATGAGACAGGGTACAGTTAGAATACTACCCTTTAGACATGGTCTATTCACAAAATGGACGAAAAATCTCAAATTCACTAAATGTCTGGCATTATTTCTTGGACTTTTACGTGTAAATGGCAAGTAAAGCAGAAAAAGCTAAGTCTGATTTTACTGAGTGAAGGCAGTTAATTATAAAAGAAACCAATAAAATATGACATGATACTTCACTACATCGTAACACTTATCTTAGTATTTTGAAATTAGGCTAAAAATATTTTAAAAGAAAGTTTTGAGTGAAAATTGAACTTACTAGATAAGACTTAGAAAATTCAAAGGCGCAGGGAAATTGTAGTAGAAGGTTATGTAAACAATCAAGCCACTGAAGGAAAACGGGACATCGATCATTCTGATCGTCACCCTGGCCACACCTATCAGCAAACTTGTGACCAAATTCCAGCCACTCCCTTTCAACTAGAACCTGAAAACCCTGAAAAGGATAAAAGTAGGTATAAGTAAGCATGTTGAAGTAAAACTTCACCAGTTTATTGCCAACAATGATGAAACAAATATTTCTCAGGCGCACTTGTTGATCATAATAATTCAACTTCATTTTTGCATTGAAGTTTTCATTTCTGCCCTCAATATCCACAGTGAAGTGCAAAAATGTGTATCTCAGTTGCAGTGTTTTAAAATCTTTGCTCCTGGTTTACTTTTTAAAAAGACTTAACTAAGTCATCGCTTGAATTTTTCAATGAATGTTATTCACATAGCAAAAAAAAACTCTCATTAGTTTTAAAAAAAAAATACATTCAGTAATTTTTCATGCAGATAATGAAGTGCGACAGGAAGTCTGCGACAAATTAAGAACAACTTAATCAGTCAAAAAAAGTAGTAAAGTAACAACTTTATCTAGGGAAAGGCTGCTGCAAAGTATAGAAGGTCTTATTAAAAAGAACCGGGACATTTTGAGCATTGTCTATTTTCAAAGTCTGCAATGCCGCAAACCAAGATACATATTCCTGATGTTTCAATATCAACATCCATTGCACTAACATAGAAAATTTTCATTCCTGAGCTATTAGCAAAACTTAAAATGGTAGTGTCATTTGATCTTGTCTATTCCAGGTTGCCTCAAAATTTAGAGAGTGGAATTCCCTGACATTTCTCAAAATTCTCAGAAGCACTTTGGTAAAATTTTCTGACAATTGAGGAAATGCCATATGGTTAAAATGTCATAATTTGAAAAAATTTTCATGGGAAATTTTTTGTTTGAAACGCCAAACCCATTCTGGAACCCAAAGAAAGGTGATTAAACAATTTCTCTCTCTAACACTTCTGTCATTTTACGTAACTATTTAAACTCCCAGACATTCCTAGCATTTCCCGACTGTCGCAACACTGTCTGTAGGCAAAGTAAATATTTTGCATAGCCAATCAGTGCTGAAGAAGCAGTTGCAAGATTGCAGATGAGTTTGCACGTCCTCTTACCCATTCCATCTTTGGCCTTTGCTTCTTACTTTTACTTTGAACATTCACAAGATACCCACATTGAGACATCTGACAGGGATAACTCTCCTATTAACACCAATTCATTGATGAGATCCCAGGTATGGTAAGATTGCGTACATTCGTCGCCCGCTTGACAAAAGAGTGTAACGACACTGAGAGATGAGCCAAGGAAAGCATCGAGTTAGGTGGACGACAGGGTTCATTGTACAGGGTAGTTACATCCATGCATTAAGAGGGCAACAAATTAACTAACTAATTTGATAGTTTAAGAAAAAGCTTACTTCAATTGTCCTATAATATGGATCGAGTAGAAGTTCTGCTAGAGAAACAATTTGGGGAGTTCGGTCCCAGCCGTCAGAGCAATGAACTAGCACTGGGCGACCAGATTTTTCAATAGCAGACGTTACTGTCACGGCGGCATGCAGGAGGCCGGACATATTGGCCAACCATCGAGTGCTTTCTAGTAAACTAAACCAACTGTAACAAAATGTAAATTTGAGGGTCACAAATATGGATAGGAAAATTGAGTTACTTCAATACTGCCATCATAAGAAAGAATGCCATATGAGCCTTAAGAAGTTGCCAAAACTCCTTTGATAATAACACATTAACTTTCTAGGAAATGTGGGAATATGTTTATTCCAATTTTTCAAAGAATTTTGTTCACAATTAATCTAAAATATTGGAAAATTTCAAGGTTTTCCTATTTCTAACTTTCCTCCAAAATAAACGTTTTGTCGAGGAGAAATTTGGTAACAAATGAATATTCATGCAACATTTTTCCTTAGCACGGCAGAATACTGATACTTCTTTCTCATCCTTTTTTTCAGATTTGGAGTAATAATGTGCTACTGCTACTAGAATTCATCAGGTATTCTTCGCATACATTTTGGAGGCCTGTACATGAAACTTTATATTCTTTCGCCAAAACGTAATTAAAATGTCTGATCAAATACAAAGTTTTCAGCATTTTAGTTTTTTTTGTAGTTCATGAAAATAGAAAATAGATGAAATGCATGACTAGAAATAAAGCCACAAATGTCTCATAGTTTATAACAGATAGATGAGCACCTTCAAGGTCAGGCTGATATATAATGACTGGCAAGGTAAAATTCTCTCTGGTCCTCCTCATAATCTTTTAAACTATTGAGCACTTGACCTGATTGAGAATCGATCCAAATTTTCTGCTAATCACACTTTGAAGAAGTTATCAATTTCCGGAAGATGCCGAGTCGTTGCTGTTGTTGTTATTTTTTCCTTCAGTTTGTTTACAAACCCAACGTGATCTCTTATAGTGGTCCATATATGCTTTATGCGGTAACCAAATCGATCAACTTTTAAATATCCAACGCAATCCTTCTGCATTTCATTTCACAATATCACGAGCTCCGATTTTTAGGTTATGTTGTCAGTTTTAGTTGACCGGAAATAGCCGCGAGTTGCCGTCAATTGTTTCCGTTAGAAAACTGCCCCCAGACGCGGGAAATTTGAAAAAGCGCGTTCCTAACGACGCAAATTGCGCAGTAAGGAGTGTATTTCAGACTTTTTTAATGTGGCCATCGTAATTTTCGTGTCATTTAGCCTCCAAAAAGTCTATTCGCAAGGCTGTATCTCTTGCATGCAACAAGCCCATTGTACAGTTTGGTGTTTTGCGAAGAATTACATAAATTTTAAAGGAAAGCAGAAAAGTAATATGAATTAAAAAATTAATCGGGACAAAGTTTGACTTACTTAGGAACATCAGAGGATGTGGCGCAAAGCTGACGAAGAGCATGGAAACTTTTCCGAATAGAATGGATGTTTGCCAAATTCATGAATTGAATCTCACAGTTTGGATAGTATTCAGGGCATTCGCAGCCTCCTCCACGAGCACGGTTTGCTACAGCTGTTGTGTACGATCGGGCATCAACAATTAACAATTTCTGTAGACAACAGAACAAAATGTTTCAACAAGGAAATTTATGATACAGAGGGAACACGAAAGCACTTAAAGTACTTACTTATCATGCATGTCTGTTTTCAAGCTTTCACGTTGATATTATAATAAATACATTATTCGTCTTCATGTAGATTCCCTTACAAAATGCAGATATATTTTTTTTTCAAATTTTTGAAGGCTGTGAATGGTTTCGTTTACTGAATTTTGCCCATTCACATTTTTTTCTCCTCTAGTAAGACTCTCCTGATAGGCAAGAAAAAAAAGTCACGTTTTGGTCAAAGATTGATCCTCAACGGTACGGTGAGGCAAAAAGGGTAAGAAGAAAACCTTACCTTAGGCTTGGCATTCTTGTTCAATCCAATCATGGTCTGAGCACAGGCCTGAGTGATTGCTTTCAACAATGTCTCATCTTCTTCAGAGCGCCAACCCAGCCAACCAACCTCAGGTTGGCTACACCTTGCTATTACAGCTCCACTGCCTTTGTGTCTGTGAAATTCATGCGAAATCATCGTTATGGAATATGATTGAGCTAATACGATCATTTGTATAGTAATAATGAATTTAGGTGAGTGCTATTGGACTAATGTAGTAGTGTTGCTAGTGGGGGGGGGGGGTATCCTCACGGTAGGCCAGGGCCCAAAAAGCTTCAATGGGTCACTAAACTACGAACGTATTTGGACTTGCGAATACATTCTACATACATACATGCGTCTGAAGGTAAATGATGCGTAGAACACGATGCGCACATTGAAAATGCAAAAAAATAACTCAATAACCGAGAAATGCGCAGTTAAAATCGCGCAACTTATCCAAAAATTTAAAACGCCCCGGTTTCGCGCCGAACCAAATGATGTCATCCGGCACTAATCAGAAGCAAGCATGGCCGACTATGACTTCTGTTAAATGTCTATATACTCCTCGTATGTGAGGATAAAACTAAAGTCGAACTTATATCTTCAGAATTAAAGAATCAAATCTCTTTTATGTTATCTTTAGTGGACAAGCAATGTTCACAAAGAAAGACGTGTTATTTTAACACATGTCAGTGAAAAGAGAGAGAAGATTGCGATTTGACTACCGCAGTACATCACCACCGTTGGTTTCCCCCCATTCGGGTGCGCTTGAAATGTCTTGCAATTTTTAGAGTTCTTAAGAGCGGTTTTCTCCGCGATTTTGGCTCCATAAAAATGCGGAAAAATCACCCCATTATCTACTCACCTAGTACTTTCAGAATATTAAAGAAAATAAACAAGGTTTAGTGACCCATTGATGTATTTTCAATATAAATAAATAAATAAAAAATGTAAAAAAAACTCACACATATGAAATCAATGTCTGGACAGATCATTATGAAATCTTCTTTTCCAAGTCCTGCTCCACTACTAGAGGGATATAGTTAGATTTTTCATGACAAACTAAGTAAGTCAAAAAGTAGCAATGAGAATGTCAAGAATTATTTTCATACGCTGTACTTTATTCTTGAGCAAGCTTGCACATTAAATTTTACGGAAAGAAACAAATTAATGCTAGTTGAGCTCACTGATGAGTTTGATCTACTAATAAGGTCCAAAAAGAGCCAAAACGACTAAAAACTCTTGGCGTCGGCTCAACTTAATATTCCATTACAAGCTGCCTGAGCTGAACATTCCCCCCCCCCTCGCAGTCTTGTACTGGCACTCATTAGAGCTTAACATTTTTGACTATTATTGACTTTTTTTTTTTTATCTTTTTGGCTTTGTTTTCCCCGCAAAATAGTATGGACCCAGCACTATTTTACCCCCTCGTTACAAACAAATTAATAGATATGTAAATGCATTAAACAGCGGGAGTCCAGAAGTTTTGGCAAGAAAAAATAATTTTTAGCAAAAAAAGCCTAAAAAAGTACCCTTTCTTAGCCGATTTTTGGGAACTAGGCCTATGTAAATTTCCCTAGGCCAATCAGGGTTAGCTTTTAGCACAACAGTTGTCCATTGGATCCGCCTTACAGTGGTCCAGTAAGCTGCCATCAGTAAGTACTGAAAGCAGGGTTAGTAAGTGATTGACAAGAAAGACTCACCTCCAGACAACAGCAGGTACTCTCCGTGCGCTCCTGAATTTTGCAGCTACCTCTAATTTCGCATCAGTGATGCATTTTGGGACAATTAGATAACGAGGATAAGTGGGGCACAGCCCATACTCGCTGTTTACGTTCGAGATACGCCAGACGCCCGTATCTACCTCAAACTTCAACCGGTCCACCTAAAATAATCAAAAGAATGCCAAAATATGTAGGATATTTTTATTTATACTTAATACTTGAAGAGGCGAGATGATTTCTAAACATTAATGCCTTTCATGTGTAGCTTTATCTACACACATCTTTTACATATTTACCAAAATCTCACTAAGAGGAAAAATTGTGAGTCTTCTTATCATGAGAATTTCTCTTATATACTAAATTTGACACTTGACAGCTCCAACATCATCATAGTCAAAGCATCTCAGAGGGGAAAACAGTACTTTCTGCTTTAGGTATCATTGTAAAACATTTGCAAGGAAAGTAATAAAAGTTGTATTAAAAAAGAATAAACAAAGTAAATATATGAACTGAAATAAAGGCTGGAAATGTCACAGTCCTGGTTGTTGTTGATTCTGTAATGTTCGTGCATTGTTAATTAATAAAAAGTGCACAAGCAACCAGAACAAACTAGAGGGGAAAATCAGACGGCCCACTCCTTTCAAACTGACTATTTGGCAGCTGTTCATCATTCTTTTATGAATAAATTTAGAATTGCTTGAGTGGATGCATTTTTTTTGTTCAAGTTGCATGGAAGAAAATGCACAAAGATAGATATTCAAGGTGGAGAAATGGTGCTGGGTCCACACCATTTCGCGGGGAAACCAAGACAAGAAGTACCAAAAATTAAAATTAGAGTCAAAAATAAATTTTTAGAACTCTAAAGCAAACCAGTACGAGACTGAGGGGGGAGAGTGTTCACTGCCTGAGCTGAACACTCTCCCCCCTCAGTCTCGTACTGGTGCGCATTAGAGTTCTAAAAATTTATTTTTGACTCTAATTTTAATTTTTGGTACTTCTCGGCTTTGTTTCCCCGCGAAATTGTGTGGACCCAGCACCACTTCTCCACCTTGTTACATACAGTTCGCGCCACTTCTTAGTGTTTAATTTTTTTTCATTTGATAGATATACATATGCATCATTTTGTTTGAACTTTTAGGGCTAAACATAGTTCCAGATCCCAATAAAGTGCACATACAATGCTCCTTTAAAAATAGCTAAAAGTAAAAAAAAAGTACTCACTTCATTGCGAAAATGAGAGCCAGGAACCGATAGATCTCTGCCGAGTCTTCCGTTTAGATCATTACAGCCTTCCTCGGAGGCCCAAGCGTAAAATGCAAAAGCGAACAGCTCTTCGGTGCTTTTTGGAGGAGACACAGCTTTAGCCAGTCTCCGAAACCATTCCATACAGTGTTCATTAGTAGTAAAGAAACACCTTGAAAGTAAAAACAAAAAAATTAAGCAATGAATCTCAAGTAAAAAATCAAATTCTTAAGTACATTTTGTACGTTCATTCTCAGCCAATAAAATTTGACAAAATTTGGTTACTTGACTTAGCCCTGAGCTCCGCCTGCCCCTGTAATGCAGGTTCGGACTCCACCCCTTACCGCTAGAGCGTTATGTATTCCATGAACGGTATTCTTGACTTCTTCATCAGATATACTTTCCAAAGAGCTATTTTTCAGGCCTTTATTACTCAAAGTCAATGCAGGCAGGGTTACCATAGAATTCAGAGTATTAAATTCCCTGATTTCTTTGACACATTTTGTAGAAATTCCCACTAACGTCATTGAGAAAATCTAGGATGCCTGAAATGCAATCCCTAGTAGAACACCTTGTAAAATAACTTAAGGTAAAACTGGTATATTTATAAGTTAGAAAGTTGCATGTAAAAAAGCTTGTAAAAGGGTCCTAAATAATCAGAGTTCAAGAATTTTACACATAAAAATTATGATCAAAGAGGTTAAAAATAACTGAGAGAATGAACTAGATTTTTAATGTATTTTTCTTGTATGAAAAACTACACATGCATTTTCGTATTTTGCTACTCTTTTACGATACTTTTTTTGAAAAAAAATTTAAGTCTTCTTACTACTCTGCCGTATGAGCTTTCGGACCCGGCCAAATTTCCCTCAACCAAACAGAATATTATGGGGAAATCAGTGAATATTTTTCTACCGATTTTTCAGAGAATTTTCTTGGTAATTTCATTCAAATGTCTGAAAAGCTCATGAAAAATATTCATAGCATTCGATTCGTCACAAACAAATATTTTTTAGAGGAAATCTAGCAACATTCGAATGCTCATGCGACATTTGGACGTATTTATGCTGCCACTTACAAACTGGGGCTCTCAAACTGGCACACCAATTCTTCTATTTCTCAGCCATTTCTGCACGGAATTCCTTGAAAATTTTAAGATCTGATCTGTGATGTATCTCAAACATATCGACGGTGTAAGTCGGCAATCACATAACTCGATTTGCGACGTCGCAGACTTCCTATCACACTTTATTTTTTAAACGGAAAACTACTCAACGACTATACTTTAAAACTCCAGTGATTTTTCTTCTTTATGCAAAGAAAATTCTGCAAAAACTTCAAGGAATCATGTCAATTTGTTCTCCTCTAAAAAAAAAATAACTCAGAGGCGGAGATTTTCAGACACCGCAAACGAGTTATGTGATTGCCGACTTACACCGTCGATATCGGTTACCTTCAAAGATCGTCGGGCCGACGATCTTCGAAAGGCAACAGTCGATAGTTCCATCAATGAGCCTCTTCGAAGCCCCTAGTTTGAAGGTGGGCTGGACGCTTAATCTTTATTCCCGTTTGCGACACTGTGGAGGCCTAAAATGCGGAAACCAATCAGAAATGGATTCACACTGTCTTGACTCTCAGTACAAAGGGACTCTACTTTTCTCTATGAATGGCTTTGGACCAGGTGGAGGATTACCTATAGGTGCGGGCGTCCTTGCAGCTGATCTGGAGATAGAACAAATCGCGGACCTCGACTTGCTCGACAAGACCGAGGGGGATGTTGCTGTGGTTGGATCCGTCGTCCGGGAGGTGGTAAATGCGGTAGTTGGAGAGGGCGAGGATGCCGTCCCCGGTCCTCCCGAGGAACTCGACCGCCTCCCCGCAGAGGGGGCTGAACGGGACGCTCAGATCCTTCTCCGCCTCGAGGATCCGCTTCGGGTAGAGCTCGGCCGCTCGCACGTGGAAGATGGACTGCAGACTTGCCGGTCCGTCGCAATCATCCATCTGAAACCAGAGCAAAAATTTCAGGATAATACACCAATAGTTGCATACAAGCATTGTCATTGAGAGCGCCTTCAATTTTTCGCATGCAGCACGGGAACCCGTGAGCACGAACAGTTGCAACCTAGCGTCATAGAGAAAAAAAAGGAGGTGTTTGCATCTTGAGGTTTGTTTACCCTGTGACGTAGGTCGGTACAACCTGGCCAGCGAAATCCGAAATTCGAAATACGAAAAGCGGACCATAATGTCCGATTTTTTTACTTAAATCAACTCATTATATAATTTCATGCACTTTTTATAGAATGACTTTTTCCTTAAATTACACCATTTCCAAGAAAATCGACAAGATAAACGTCGCTGTACCGACCTACGTCATCAAATCATCAAAAAAATTTCCAAAAAAAAGAGAATAATGTGACAGATATAGATTGGAAGAATTTCATCACGATGAGTTGGTTCGTTTTCTTATCAATGCGGAATTGCACGCTCTTGTTGAGTACACAATCAAAATCAGATTCAAGATTGGACGCTGTTTGCCCCTCAGGTACTTACGTGACTCACGTCATGCCGAGCGCAAATTTTTCCAGAGCAAAAATCAATCATGCAATTGTGCAGGGCAATAATCTTAAAATTTTGGAAAGCTTATGAATAATTACAGGTAATTTCACTCCTCAGTCGTAACCTATTTCTGATCCAAGAAAAGATAAGTTGCGTCAGCGCCATGCGCAAACGCCGTCCGATTTTGGATTTTGATTTTTAAAGGCGGATCAGAGAGTCAACATTTTTTTCGTTTATAATTTTAGGTGTAATGTCAGATAGGTATAATCCTTCCTCAAGAAACGCAACTGGTGAAGGATATTACGAACAAACCTTACGAGGCCTTCAGACCCTCAGGTTATACAATTCATTTTAATCGATACTTACAGACCCACATCTTTTTCGATTCTCTTGCAATAAATGGAATCCAATAAAAAAATAATATTTCAACGCCGGTGTCGAAATATACACCTCTGACATTATTTTTGAATCGGCTGAATTAAGTAAATTGCTCAATGTTGAGCTCTTATTTGCTGAAAGGGCATTGCTCCACGTCGAATTTGTTTTTCTTTTACTTTTTTAAAATATATACTTTACTTATAAAATTTGACCGGTTTGACGAGGATGTAGAGTTCAAAGTTCACATCGAGTGCTTCCCGATTACATTTAAAAACAGCTTTAAAAGCAAATATTGTCCACTCGCTATCTACCCTTTTTGCGTTATCGAAAACCTCACATTGCACAACATTTGAGGAAAAAGCGTAAGCAAGGCTGCGCGGGTCCGAAGGAAGCCTGA